GAAGCAATCGGAGTTCCGTCAGCAGTGATAAGTGGATATGGGTCCTTCTTCTTGCGTAAGGGTAAATCCCACTCCCTCGCATATCGACTGCTCAAGAAGTCTGCCGTAGCTCCTGAGTCAATCATGGCCATGGTAGAGTTGCCTGCAATCTCAACTTCTACCATCAGCTTGCTCTCCCCTAACTTGCTGAGGCTTCGAGGTTCCTTCCAAGAGTCAACTATTACGCCCCTTAATAGTCGACCTCCTCATTTCCCGAGAAGTAAGGGTGCTCGCTTTCACCGTCATCAAGCGTCTCTTCGCCTGACTCCCATTCCTCGGAACTTCCATCCGGGTTGGACATCTCTTTTGTTACTTGCAGGTTTAGTCGATACATCTTTTATGGATCTTCAGAGTCTGGATCTGCATTCATCTGAAATCCAATTCGATACGGGTCCTTAGGCAAAACCCATGTAATAGCCCTTCTTGTTGCGTCATCCATCATATAGATAAGCTTCATGATGCATTTGTAGACATTTTCCATCATCTCATTCTCTTCAGGGTCAAGATTTCCAATTGTACTTTGGATTCCCTGTGGTGATGGTCCTGCGTCAATAGATATATGGTTATCATCAATAATTCCCCACTGCATCACTGGTACACGGTGTCTTGGACATTGACAACTCCAAGCTGTGCAAAGGTTAAGTGGAAGGTGCTCGTGGTGTACGTGACAATCATTTCCTTTAATACCTTCAATCTGGAGTATTCGTTATACTTGTGTAAAGGAAACTTTAGGTGGTCCATAAGGATATTCCCATGATGGTTCCCCTGGGTCCTTATTTTCACTATGCTCCCAAAATCCACAATCCTGGACCTTACAATGGCTAATCAGTAGTGCCCAATGGAATTTATAAGCCATATTTGTCTGAACGTCAGGATTTCGTTCTAGGATTCCCTGAACCACAGTCTCGTTCCGTAATCCAGTATTTTAATTTGGTCCCCATCAGTACGTGTTGTGAGAGCCTTTCCTGAGCATCGCAATCTTCCTCATCTGCACGCCTATTCCCAGAGCCTTAATTGACTGTTTCTTGGGTCTCGAATAATTTCGAGCAAAATATCCGGGTTGACCACACTTAAAACAATTTCCCGTGTTCTTCTTGAAATTCTTGGGCTTTCTCGGGGCTTGTTCGCCTTTCTGGAGCTTATCTATCTCCATAGGCTGCGGTCCATAGTAATCGGTAGAGCGTCGTGGTCTCCCATAATTAGGTTGGTACCTGGGCGTCTTTCCTTATTTATCAAGCTTGTTTTCAAATAGAATGGAATTGACCCTAATCACTGATTCGATGAGTTCAGTAAAGGTAGATATCTCCTTCTCCCTAAGTCGTAACTGAACCTTGACTTCTGGCTTAAGTCCTGCAAAGAACTTGGTTCGAAGTGCATCGTCATTCCATTTCAAAATCGCTGCCCATTTCTCGAATTCGACCGCATAGGAACTTGTGTCTGACTTCTGGCATAGTTCCAATAACTTCTTTTCAGCTAGATGAGCCTTATCAACTCGCTGAAAGTACTGATCTATTTCTCTCATAAATACTGAATAGCTCTGGAAGATCCTTTTGACATCATGCAGAACGTCTCCTTTCTTCAAGATGTATTAATCAACTCGCCTCTGGATCCAAGTATATGTGCTTCCCCTTAAATAGGAAATAGCATATATGACTTTCTTTTCTTCAGTATCGAGTTTATCCTGGTTCCAATAAATGTAAATCCTAAGCTAAGACCTAAAGGCTTCATATTTGGATCATTCCCCTTTAAAAGGTTCAGGTGGATTAACTTTCGGTCGAGCCATGTCGTCGTCAAAGAGGTTCTCGCTTCCAGAATCAGAATTCGAGTCGGATGAATCAGAATCGTCAAACAATTGAGCGTCTGGTAGGACTTCCGGATCTCTTGGTGGTGGCGGAGGTGGCGGAGGTACTGCTGCTCTGTGTGTCGATGGCCCAGCAGCACTGGTACTTAGAGTAACCTCAACCTTCTTCCTTGGTGGACCAGACTGTTGTTAACTTCTACTGCTTCTCTTAGAGACAGTAGATATAAGATATTGTTCCTTGCCCTATTCAATGGTTCGGTAATTCAACTTTTGTTAGGAATACTTTCCCAATACCGACTGGCTTTACCAATGTAAGCCACTTCGGAAGGGATTAGCTTCCTAGAGCAAGGGAACAATGTATAACCAGAGCTTATTAAGGAAGGAATATAATAAGATAGTTATGTTTGTGACTTAGAGTGGTATGAGCTTCTGAAGTATGAGAATGTATTCAAACTAACTACTAGCTACGCTAGACAGTTGAATTACAGAGACTGAAATATCTGTAGGGACAGGGCGTTTATATAGACCTTATTCTTGATATCCTTATTGCCTTACTCCTAGCGATCATTTTGATCATTATTGAGCGAAATGATCGCTTCTGCCAATCGGCGTTCCCTTGGTCGTTAGTCATTGGTCGGCGCGCTCATTTTGCTCAATACTGAGCGAAATGATCGCTCCTACCAATCAGCGTTCTCCTGAATCTACTCACGTGTTACTTCGTAACACAAAGATGGAGGTGGTTCTATTATTGTTATAATTAATGAAGAGATATATATCCTTCCTACTTTAAAAGTTTGAAGCTGAAAATTATTAATATAATATAAAAGATATAACTTAGAAGTTATATATGTATGCTTATACTAGAGGTCTTATATCTACTAATAAACTGCGACCATTTGCATTTAGACCCTCAGAGGGTTTTCGAAATAACGGCATCTAATTGGTGCAGGAGTTTAAAGGAGTTTAGTACGAAAAGCCTTACCCCATAAGGTAAGGCACGAAACGCCCTCTGAGGGTCTGAGCCTGCTGAGATAAGGACCGACTTTGTCGCTTGTGCGCTGTGGCGCGACCCTTCGGTTGCCGTCATTACGGCGGCTGGAGCTGTTCCGCATTCCTCACGTTAAACACAAAGTCCAAGGCAGCGACAACGGCGGCATCTCACGAAGTAGACACATCTGCGTATCTTCGACAATGCTCTTTTTATTTCCGAAATCTAGTTAACACAAGCTGTTCCGGAAAAGGCTCTCTCTTCCCCGCTCACGCCGCGGTTGGCTGGACAACATCGACGAGTATGTAGCGCAGAGGTTACGACGATAGAGTCTGGGCTATTACTAACCCCACATAGCGGATTTTAGAACAGTAGACAACTATGCTGCGGTAGCAATTTTGGTCGAAAGTCGTAATGGCAACCTTGGAATCGCTACCGGAGGAAATACTGCAACAGATAGCGGATCTGCTTGACAGGCAGGGCCAGAAGAGCCTCGCGCTGGTGAACCGGCGAGCTTGGGACATCGCGACAAACGCGTTGTGGCGAGATGTCAGACTTATAGACCAACGGGCCAATCACTGGGTACCCGTAGAACTTGTCGAACAGTGGAACGGAGCCCTGATCAACGGGCGTGACGAGCACGACGATACTCCTATAATTCGCAAGCTACTGGTTTTGGCAAGGAACAAGAGAATAGCAAGAAAGGTTCAGATCCTCACTCATCGTTGCCATCTCCCGTTACCGGCGATATTCCAAGAGTTACCGCACACTTGTTTCGAGAATGAAGCACTTAGTAGTGACTGGAGGACAATAAAGCTTGCATTGCTTGCGGTGCAGAATATGGAAAATGTGAGGGTTCTTAGGATACTCAATGGACACTATAACTTGGTTTCTGCGCTGTTGAATGGATTCTATGGTCCGAAAAGAGTTCATGTTCCCGCACACCTCTGGGTTGAGAGCTGCACTCTGCGAGGTTTCCCATTGGGGCTGTCGAGCTCCGTCATGGCTCAAAATGGCGTCCAAAGCCTGCGTGTGAGAAGGTTAAGGATGGCCAACGTGTTCGAGGAGGACCTGCAGTCATGGCGCTATTCAAGAGCAGGAGGATTCTCTCATTTGCACAATGGTATTGGAAGTAGGGATGACCCGTTCACCATGCGGCTAGGCTCTAAGGGACATCTGGACGTGAGTTTGATGCGCACACTGCGTCCATATTTTCCCTTGGTTCCTGCTCAACTCGTGAGTTGTCAATAACTAATTCCAATGTGTAGGTAGATACGTAACCACGACATCGGAAGGTGGATCGTCAGACTGGGACTTGTTCGTGAACCCGAAGACTTTCGATCTGCTGAGTCCAGCGGTCAAATGGCTTAATGAGAAGACTTACGACAAGACTCCTGAAGCAACGGCGTTCCTCAACCAACTGGATGAGGATTCCGTACCTTACCCAATCCGTGGTAAAGTGCCTTCGCTGCAGCAGCTGAGTTCAGCCTATGATGATCCAATTGGAATCATAGCCCATTTTAACTCGGAAACACTTCGTTCAATCAACTTGGATTGGATACTTACACCAAGGTATCCGGACGAGGCATGGGTTCAATATCAACATTTCTCCAGACTTAGCTCGCTACGGTTTCCAAATTTGCGTGCTCTACAGCTGCGGAACGCGGTTACGGATAATACTAGGCTGCCGCAGGATGTTTATTTGCTGAAACCATCAAAATGGGTTGGATTCACAGATACGAAGCAAATTGTCTCCTTCAAAATTGATATGCTGACATTCATGGAGCATCATCCTAATATAGAATGCCTCGCATGGCCTATGGATGGGTTTTATGACTGCTGTAGGCCGTCTGAAGATGATCGAGAGGTTCTTGAACGCGCTGCTCTCGTTGTTACCAATCTAGGACGTACCTTGACAACCCTTCGCGTTGACTGCTATTATACATCGAGGGGTGAGCCGCAAACCGACGAAGACAACGACTTTGAGGCAAAGAAATTGCGAGTTCGGCGTCGACGTTTCATCAGTGAATTTGCAGCCCATATGACCAAGCTTAAAGTTTTGAAAGTCGAAGGCGGCATACCACGAGACGAGAAACGTGAACTTATAGCTGCTACACACCATTCTCCTCTTGAAAAAATCGTAATGATCGGAGTCAGCTGTCCCCTGGGTAACACGTGGGGGGTAAACGGCGATGATCTCGCGGCAATTGATGAAGGGCATCTGCAGTTTCATGGCCTGCTGGAGCCAGAACCTGAGGAGGCTTTGATCGAGAACACAAAATCTGATCTGGTACCAGCGACTGGCAAGGTTCCATTCAAAGCTGAATACGGCTGGCCCCCTGGACCGTCGCTCCTGCACTCTATCGCCATGCATCATGCATCGACGCTCACAGAGCTCAAGTTTTGCGGATACAATGGATCCCCTGTCCTGCATAGACCTACGGCAGTTACATCCCTGTTGCTGCATCATCTTCGCCACTTCCATAAGATACGTAAGGTAATCATGAGCTTCTGGCTGCTCACTTTTTTCGATTTTGATTGGAGAGAGCCCGAAATCATTGATTACTGGGTGAATGCGCGCGACCCTAGCTCATTGGCACTTCAGCCAGAACCTGAACCAGCTTTACCACCAGCACCACCAACGGAAGCTCCTAGCTGGGAGCAGATGGTTTCCGCAGATGTGGGGCTGGATGCTGACGGGGACACATCAATGCAAGAGGCGTCTTCTTTGCCTGTAGAGTTGAGCAGCACAATGAATGCTCTCGCAGCTTTGAGTGGCGATGTCAATTCTGGCGGCAATGTGACCGCAGATGCAATGATGGTGGCCGCGCTTAGTACCGGCATTGTAGGGCCTACGCAGGAGCAGAGTAACAACGTTGTGCCAAACGATTCTGACAATTCTGTTCCGACAATGCATCCTCCAGACATGGAAAACCAAGACGTCACAGCACCTCCAGTCCCAACGCCTGAGACGAATCCTTTAGATATCGCTCTGAAGCAGTATATTTCGCCTCCGGCACTCTCCAAAGGCGTGTATGATATCTTGGGCCCACATCTTTCTCCAATCGCCAAAGCGAATGGCGTGCGACTACGAGCGAGTTTCTGCTTAGGCGTGGAAAGTGGAGATATATTTGATCTTGACTTTGACGTGGACGCGAATGGCGTCGTTGAAGGCAGCTGGATTGGGCCGAGAGAGGAGAGCGAGAGAGACAGATGGTGGGGCAAATTAGAAAATCGAGGATGGTTTGCTTAGCGTGATACGAAGTCTGGATTCAAGTCTGTCCAAAATTGGTGATCTAAGGTCATTTTGTTTGTACGCTTCAAATTGCTAGCCAAGATCCAATCCAGCCAAGCTGATGCTTCGAATTGACGTTCGTGCAGGCTAGTTGATACGGTTCATGAGAGCAAAGATGCACATTTCACATACTGCACAGGCAAGGCACGAACTTCACGCAGCCATCAACTTCGTTGCTCTGCGAAGGAGCTGAACGAGATCGAAACTGAGCAAAGGGCGAAAAAGGCTCAGATGTTGAAGCGGTGTTCCGACTTCTTGGCGCTGCAACGTTATTTCGAGATCCCGCGCGTTTATTGGACAATTGAGGTGTCGCTGCAGCAACTTACCGAGTTAACAAGCCAACCTTGTTACTGATCGAAAAAATGCTCATCTAGCAATGCTGGGAGACCAAGCGGAGAAAACCAGTCAAGCTTCGGGAGGGACATCTACTGCTCTATACCGCTTCTGACCCTGCCGGAGCGCTCTCGTCAGGACGCCGGCTTGATCTTGCAAAAGTGTTCGAGACTGGAACTCCGATGCACGAACTGTCCGTCGACGCCTCGAGCGACATTCACCCAATGTCAGAGAAATTGAAACGGAAAAAATCGTTTCCTGCCCTACGACAGTCCCCGCTCTTTGCGAGGATGGGGCATGTTGCTTCTCTGTCTAAAACACCCTTCCGATTTCTATTCAAGTCCTCGAAGTCTGCAGACGACGGAGTTGAGCCTCCGCCTTTAACACTTGATGGCGATGTTCAAACCGAGCAAGGGAGCAGCGTAATAGAAGACATCGATGAAACATCTGCCACAAGCGAAAATCCCGTGTGGGCGAGTAGTATGCTCATCATTCCAAGGACACATTATTTCCTCTTTACCCGAGCAACTTCAGAAGCCTCGAAAGACACGAAAGATGTGCAGCCGATCGGCCTAGTGGTCAAGCAACCCAACCCCAGCTTTCAATTAGCTGCTCTTCGTGCAGAACTCGGCCTGGCGGAACCAGCCGTTACGACACCAGGTACTGTGAAGCTTCTGACATGTCTTATTCAATCCGGCAAGCGAGTTGTCCCACTCGTTGCTCCCGACGAAAGTCCGAATTCAGCTTCTGCATCTGCACAAACAAATCAAGCAACCGATACCACAACCACGGCCACTTCCGGCCCCGACGAAGCGAAATTCAAGTTTAGTGGAGATTTGCTTTTTCAAAAAAACGTCAAGGCCTGGTTGATTGTGGAATACGAACAGTTCGGTGGCCTAACAGCGCAATATCATATTCTTCGCCGCGTGGCAGAAAGCGTCCTCCAGAGCGAAAACCAGATTCAGGTCGTCGATGGGGAAATTAAACTCGTGCATGACGGCCGTGTCCGTGGTGATTCGAAGCTTGAGGCACTGGACGAAACCCTGCTGGAAGACGTAACGAGCATGATTACCGCTCCCATCCAGGTTGGACCGCTGGCCAGGTATTGTAATGCCTGCAACTCCGCTCGTTTTGCGATGCGCCGCTGTGCGGCATGTAAGAGTGTGTTTTACTGTGACGTTGAGTGCTGTAAAGCAGACAGGCAGTTGCATAAGGTGATATGCGGAGCAGTGGCAACCAGTGCTGTCAAGAGCCATGAATCAGGTAATCAGGACGTGGTTTGAGCCGCGAGTTTTGTTCAAAAGGTGGATTTTGACTGCAACAGAACAATGGTATTGAGAGTAAAGACCAAATGCTGGCTCTACGTCGAAAAAATAAAGCTGTATTGGCACGCATGTTGATGGTAAACTTCACACTTCTCAAGTACGTGCTCGAACTTCTAGGTTTATGCTTTCGATTGGATGATCTGTCATCTCTTCGGAAAGTGTTATATAACTGTTTATAATGACTAATGATGAAAGCGTTCAATTTCCCAGACACTTTTGTCGGTGATTCCACGCAAGACAATCAAGATAGCTGAAAAGGGTTTGCGTCAAGGAATTCCTCAAAAGTCCTGAGCTTTCCTCGTGCGTTTTCCTTCGCCCATTTTGCCTTCTCCTCCGTTCCAGGACCGAAAGCTCCGAATTCTTCATAGAAACTAAAGCCGTCGAGGAAGATATCGGCAATATCGTCGCCGACTTTAGCCGCCAACCCTTTCCAGAAATCTTCAGGGCTTACTTGTTTGTAAACAACAGTCTTTCCGGAGGATCTTGATATGAGTCTGCATGCCTCTTCAAGGGTGTAGAAGCCTTGTGCAGCACAGAAGGTCTTTCCTTCGTATTTGTCGGGCTCGGCGAGGATAGCACCAACGAACTTGCCAGTGTCTCCAGCTCCATCAATCAGTGCATAGGGCACCGTTGGCGAGTTGTGACGTGAGAAAACCCAGGTGCCGTCAGGAGCTTGTTCGGGGCCCAGGAACTTTTGTTCCTGAAAGTTAGACATGAATGCCGCTCCACAGAAGAAGGCACTTTTGACCGGCAAGCTGCGGATGTATTTCTCAGCCCTTGCTTTCGCGTCGTACGGATAAACCCTGGTGTATTTCCCGCCTGAGATCTCCGTGATGTTTGTCAGGGTGCTGAAGATGATATACTGAGCGCCCTGCTGAACCGAAACGTCGGCAATGGCTTTCGCCATGTTATATTCGACGCTGACTTCACTTGGCTTCAGCGCTGGTGCCGTCACAATGAAGACTGTGTGCGCGCCTGCGAGGGCTTTCTCTAGGGACTGACGATCAAGCGCGTCAGCCTTGACAACATCGACACTCTTTTCCACTAGCTGTCTGGCTTTTGCTGAGTCGATGTCACGGGTGATACCACGAATTCTATACATGGCTGACAGCTCTGGGTCGTTCAAGACGTGATCGACCACTGAGCCACCTTGCGTGCCAGTTGCGCCAAAGACAACGAGAAGTTGGGACATGTTTGTATTCCGAGATTAAGAGGACTTGCTTCAAAATAAAGAGAACAACTCTGCATGCCTTCCATGGCGACAAGACTGGGCCTTTTATAATCTTGAACGATCTCATCAAAAGGTCGTCCTAGTCCTGATGATGTTTTGAGCTCCGTCATTACTAAACTACGTCAGTCTCTTTCAGAAGGCGGTAAAGCGATTTTGCCGAATTATTGTGCATAGAACTAAGCTGTCAGGTCAGAGACAAACATAAAAATAGTGGAGCCTATGGGAGGATAGCAGAATGGTGGATTCTGCCGCACACCGCCATGCGGATCCCCTCAAAGGCTTGACTAATACAGAGGGTGTTGACCGTGGCGGTACGAATGGCTTCGGTCCAATTGTGTAAACAAGCGATCATGCGAATCGTCAAGAAATCCCCCGATGCCGCTTCAATAAGTTCCCTAAACCTTCATTCGCTTTCTTAATGGATATGTCCGTCGAATGTAGGATGATCCATCTGAGCGCATTAGCATAGACTAATGTCAGTTCTTAGAGCCGTGACGCTTGAACTATCATATATATAGGTACCGCAGGGTTGTACAAACTTTCTAAAGTTGAAGGCTTGTTGGCATCGGCTGGAAACAAAAGTGCTGGTTAAGAAATTATTGTGTGGATGGACTGCTTCCTTGGTTTTTTAGCTAATTAATGTTTCGACGTCATCATTCTTACCACTCAGCCTCGCACGTCTCGTTCATAGGCCAAAATAAGCTCGACCAAATCCAAGTAGTGTGTTATCAGCTGGAAAGCTTTATGAAACGAAAAATTATATCTGACCTATTCCTTGCAATCCAATGCGTTATCTAGCAAGCCCAAAAAATTGCTCGATTTGAATGCCAAACTGATGTAGAGCCATTAAGTTCCAAAGCTAGGCAATCAAGGAGAAGCAGCCAAGATGCCAAAGGCACCCAAGTCCCTTAAACAAACCGTCTTAAAAACAAACAGGATGACTTCAACTCCACAAGCAGCCGGTGCTAGCAGATTTGGTTCAAAACGAGGAGCAACGCACTCGCATCTCTATACGGATGACAATCCTGAGACTACCCTACATGGCACAGGATTCAAGGACTCAGACACCGCTAGACACACAATAAAGATTGTCAGCAAACGGAGCTTAGCGTATCAGTTCCAGACTATCAACCCAATGTAATCCACGCACCAAATTAGTGACAACCGTTTCAAAACGCCAACAGACTGACCGTGAAGTAGGTATCACCGCGCAAAAGGACATCCAAACAAGACTCCTGGCATTAAGGCCGCAATGTCAATATTCGGAGAGTGGCTCACTATCACATATCCGAACGCAAAGAAGTCGCTACGGGCCTCGGCCTTCAAGCCAGTCCTGAGCAAGGAAATCATGTCGGCGTATGCATCCAAGTGTCGAGCCGCCATTTCAAAAGACGATCTACGGTTCTTGGACGTATACACTAGACTACCGACAAACAAACGCATTACCAACGTGTTGCTAAACAATTCAGAGCCCGGAGGGAAAGACTGGGAACAGGAACGATACGACGTGCTCTGCAGGATTGTGCCGGAGGGAAAAGAGGAATTTAGTGATTTTACTCTGGAAGAACTCTGGGATACAGAGAGTCAGCCAACAGATGTGCACCTTAGATGGATTGCGTGGGGATGGAGCCCCGTTCCACACAGGACACTTGCGGGAAGAGCCAAAGCCCTCGTGTTGTAGTAGAAGATTCGTATACTATATATTGAGCGTTTCCTGCCCGCTCGGGGTATCTTAGTCGTTCCTCAGTCACGTCTGTCTTTTCAACAGTCTCCATGTCTCAACAGCAACTGCGAAGCCGTCCGAGACACTGCAAACGAAATGGTCTCGGCGTTTAGTCATCCTAAAATTCTATGTCTTGCGGTACAGCCATGCTCTTTCTCAACTGCCGCTCCCTCTGAGTGGCCTGCAACTGCAATCGGTCAATCGCAAAGCTCAACCTCTCTTTCTTCTGTCGAAGTTGCTTCATCTTAAGTTGTTCTGCCATGCCTAGGCTTCCACCTGCCCCTCCACCGACGCTCTTTCCTCTGGCACGAGAGCCAAGTCTTGAGCTGCTTGGTGTTTGTTGCGATGCGTCCAATCGACCTTGCTGCAGCTCATACTTCGCGATGAGGCCTTGCTCTCTCCTCTCAAGCTTGTCCAAATACGTCGACACACGTACGAGAAGATTGTTAACTTCCGGCGTGATCTCGTTGAGCAAAGAGGACTGCGCAGTCTGTAAGGCGCTCTCTGGGATAAGTTCAAAATGCTGAGTCGCAATGTAAGCACAATTTCAAGCGCAAGCAGGGCACAACGTACCCGTGTTGTTTGCAGCACTTTCGATAGCCGCGGGAAATCGTTCACGCCTGCGTCAAGCGTCGATATCGACGAGCCCAACAAGGACATGGTCTCGCGGAGTGACGAAACGCAACCTTCGAGGGAGTGCGCCATCTTTGAGTGTGCAAGACTGGAGCGAATGATGGTTCTTCAAGCGTGAGCGTGGTGATTGGGAGCAGTCACGGCTTCTAGCTACTGGAATTTGGTGAATCTATCCCGCACAACTTGGGTCGCGTTTCGCGTAAACACCAAACAGGGCAGCGGGTGCCAAGACCCAAAACCCCCATCGTCGCCGCAATCTGCGGTCTCGCTTCTTCGCATTTCCCCAGTTTACACCAGTTTCCACCAGTTTGTTGTCGCAATACGCAACGGTCGCAACTTTTATGGAATGGATCTACTGGACGAATATACAGATATATGCGACCATACGGTATTATCCCAGTCTTCATTCTTTTAATGGCCCGCTTACCTTCTCAGAGGAGGCTTTCGCATGTAGTTATTCTGGACATGGCTACATAAATCATTGCAAATCTCTTGGAAGAGCTGATTAATTATCTGAACTCGTATTGTCCGTGGAACAAGGGGCCGAATCTGCCACCAAGGCTGACTTTTCCTGATCATGGTATATTCCCGCCCCAATCCTTGGTCAAGAGTGGCTGAGTATCTGCAGACCACGATTAGACTCGCTTGTCCCTGTGCTCTCAGCATCTTGGCTCAAGATTCATGGATAGTCTGCGTTGATACGAGGGGTGCAGGAGTACATTAAACAGGGCCTCTGCCGTCCGTTTCGGAACTTCTAAGTTCATCAGCATGCTCACATTCAACCTTTACTGCTGCTTCCGCTTCGCTTCCAGCGCAGAATGTCTTTCATCTGCACAAGGCTGGGCTATGTGGCCTATTTGAGCTTGTTGCTCATTCCTTCGTCCGTAGAAGCCTACGACTGTGCTATAGCGCCAATCCAATTAGGCATCACGAACACACCATTGGATAATGGCGTGCCGATGAACAGAGGTATACAAGTCAAGTTTCCTGGTGACCAGATTCTTGGTCTGAGGCTTTCAGCTGCATGGAACAATACCTTGTATGCGAATCGGATTTCAAATGTGAACCGCGGGAACCCTAACCGATCCCAGCATAAGCAACGCAAACAATTGCCGGCGCGACAATAGCTCGTACAACAACGCATGCGTCGGTGCCGTTGGAAGCACTTTTAACCCAGTATCCAACGATGGTTGGACGCCTTATCTCCAAGGTGACTGGGAAGCAATTGTTGGTCACGTAGACGATCCACCGGCAGATGCGAATGTCATCGTAGGTGTTGCATCCGCAGACTTTGACGATGGTCCAACAATCGATTTGCCGATAGCTGTTTGGAGCAACCCAAAAATTGATCCGGTCAGCCAAAAAGGATCACCACCGTCAAGAAGCGTCCTTGGTATCGGTCGAAGCTCAGACCTCATCCAAAGCTTCCTAAACCAGAGCTTTGTACCATCTGGATATATGGGTCTATACTTTGGTAGCAGGAGTCTGAACTGTTCGGAGGATGGATTGATTACGATTGGGGGGTGGGATCAGTCGCGCGTTGCCGGACCGTTCGTGAATTACACGATGAACACAATCCCAATGAACTCGACTTGCCCACTACAAGTATGGGTCTCTGCGATGAATTTAAACAATGACGAGGGCTCACATCCATTGATAACTGGTGGCCAAAAGGTCCCAGCTTGCGTGGATCCTTTCCAAAGTGCCATCGGAGTCACCGATGCTCTGTACGCAATCTGGGCAAATGTAACTAGGCATCCCACGGAACCAGATGGACCAGCATTCACTGATCAAACGTATCCTCTTGCGAATGAGCGTCTGATGGATACACTAGATATAGAGCTCGAAGGAGGCTACAATACAACCATTTCTCATTGCGAGCTTATTTCGCTACAAAGAGGAGCCAACTTCGATGACATCGGTGAATATTCTGTTGTGAATACGTCCAGAATTCAAGCCAGCGTTTCTTACGGACCGACAGATCTTGGGGACAATTTCGGGATTCTTCTTGGAGGCGTCTTTCTCGCCAGCACATATCTACGAATTGACTACGAAAACAACCAGTTCAGTCTTGCGCCATCAGTTGTCGGCGGAAGCCCGTCGCCCAACGTGCAAAAGGTATGCTCAAAAGACATAAGCCTACCGTCAAAGACGAACAAGACAGTCCCTGAGGCCTCCTCTTCCGCGGAGTCTGGCAACGTCGCCACTGGCTTATCCGCGGATACTAAGGCAACAATTGGAGGAAGCGTTGCCGGGGGTGTTATTGGCTTGATGGGTGTAGTCATTACGTACTTGGCGTACAAGCACTCCAAGAAAGTAGAAAAACACCGGCGAGAAAGTGAAGCCGAGATGAAAAGGATACAAACTATGTCTACATATGTCGGAACTTCTCCTGTTCCGAAGCCTGAAGATGCTTCATCACCTACTCACAGTGGTCTGGGAACGGGAACTTCGATTCTTGCTTCCGAAGAATTACCTAAACCTGCATTGGAGAGCGCATGACATTGCCACTTAAAGATTGATTATCACAAAAAGCTTTGAGAAGAGCAAGCTTCTCAGCCTGTCGTGATTGTTGATTGACCTGATAACTCGAAAGGAGCTTATCTATTGATCGCTTTATGGAGGAAGCCTAACCACTAAGACAATTAGAATTTCCAATGACCCGCTAAAAGGGTGTACGCCGCTCTCTCTCCTTGGCTCAGACGTTGGAACAGAAGTCACTTTAGGTACACCGAACAGATGCAATACGAACCAGTAATCAATAGCGCTCTCTAAGTAAAACAAACTAGGCCAGATTGAAAGTAGTTTGCTAGCTGCGAGTGGTCAATTGATTCTTTCAACGAAAGCAAACTAGAACCAGTGGTTAATGTAATTTGTACGGCAATTATCGGCTCAGACGTGCAATATTATCTGTGTCGTAACTTCAAAACACAAAATACAGCATCTCTCAGGGTATAGAACAACGGAAATAATTTGAGCATGATGTGCACAAAGGAGACAAACTGTATCAACGTTGCCTAATCATGTCATTGACCAACTTCGTGGAATGTGGCACAAAGAATCGCTCTCTTGGTCGAAAAATGCTAGACATCAAAACCTAGTGCTTATCTCCAACACCGTATCTAGTTCAGTTCATATTACCATCAGGCATATATCTATCATAATTAAGCTCTACGGCGTCCCTCAATGAATGAAAAATACCACGAGTAGCAGTCAAATATTATCGGCTACTGGGACAAAGGTTATTCCTATGCGTAGAGTTATGCTTCGGCACTTCCAATCACTTTAGAAGTGTATGTCAGTCACTGCTGAGCAAGGAGAGCAGCAGTATTTCCTTCGAGTGACTTGGTTGTCGTTGGCAACTGAGCGCACATAAAAAAAACCCACAGCAGTCAGTCTCTGCATCTTTCCTCTTATCCGCTCTAAAATCGAACAAACAGCCTGTCGAGCACACCTTTTACAGGATATTCACCCTTTGATAAGGAAGATGGAGCTGCTTAAAGCACTTACAAGCATTCTTTGCGTCATAATTTGGCAAATTGACCTCACCTGCCCTGGCACCAGCTTGGTTGTCAGCAACTTCATGCAAATACCATGCGTGCCGACAGTACTTTGCACTTTTCCTTCCATCTTTGTGTTCCTCTGCTAACTTATGAAGCTTAATATGACCGTCACTACTGTCGTGGACGTATTATATACGGCAAAAACCTCTTCTGTTGCTGGAATTCCGCAACCTGTCACATTTCACAACTTTGTTGCGACAAAAAATATTGCAAGACATATAACTCAGGGTGGTCCATCTCCCACCATGCCAAAGCCAATGGCCGCTCAAGGCATTCATGGCCCTTCCGGAGTTACCCCCTTGTCAGCATCTCCCACAGTGTCACATCCACTACAGCCGTTTGGTCGACGCGTTGTGTTGGGTTCCCAGATTGCGAAAGCTGTAAGGCTTCAACTAATTGACTCATTTCACGGCGTCAAATTGCTAGTATATGCAAACATCGCCGTTCGTGCAGAGTTTGTCAAGGTTTGTTTTAAGCACACCCATGTTGAACCTCTATTTAACGGCTTATAGTACTCTATTCGATACGCCGGCAGTTCATTTAGTCGCCGTGCTTATGCAGTTATATCACGCGTTGACCATTGCAAGTCACGCGTTCAGCCATGGGTCACAAAGGTTTTTATCCTTTGTACCAAATACTACAATGCTAGCGATTGGAAGGACCTACCTAAGCAATATAGCATTCGCATTGCTCAATCCATGCTCGTCTTGAATCTGGTCCTGGTTCTTAAATATAGGAAACAGATTCGAAATACACTAGCAAGAGCGTGCGAAGTTGCAGGTGAGGCTTTCCCTCCCGTATGGAAAGTGGTGAGAAGGAAAACAGATCCATACACGTACCCGATTCGCGAAAGGTTTGGTCCTGTGGTTGACAAACTGATTGAAATTGCCCCGGGTTGCTTTGACGGCTGCAGAAGAACAGTCAAGTTCTGTGCTCCAATCCTGCGAACTCGGGCTTGGGAGATGGTGAGCAATCTTTGGATCTCGCTATACGATTATACTCTCGCATTCACTCTTATATCAGCAACAGTATATTGCGCAATCGCTCTCTTCACCTGCGCAATATATCTCGTCGCTGCTATCGTCGCAGTCTTAGCATGCATCTGTATCTGGCAGACAATGTACATCCCGATACGAACATGCCTCGCAATTCGAGACGAAAGGCTGAACCGAGAGTGGCAACTGACTGTCCAAAAACATAATGCACACAAGTGCATACCGAAACTTCCTGGTAGGACACTCAGAGAAGCCAAGTTGCTGATTCAGAGAGAGCTCGAAGCAAAGTCACTGGGGTCAGGACCAAACGTCGTTCATATGTACGGCCTATCACGTAACGTTGGCGCGGCAAGCTCAACTTTCCAGTACGCTGGTCACAGAAGCGCTGAAGTTGGTCGATACAAAATGTGGCAACAACAGAAAGTTCGAAAAGAGCCACTATATTTCTTCCCGAAAAGGCCAACTACTCGTCAAGATTTCAAGTCTTTGTCTCTATCGCGCTTCAATGGACACAGTCCTACAGTGAAGACGGAGCTTCAGGATTTCGTAGAAATGGCCAAGCCATTAACAAGGTTCTCAGATGCAATTTCTCAATCACGGCAAGGCACTGCAATAGAACCGTCCTTTCGGCATCCCAGATCCTTCAACTGGAGTACTTTCCAGGATGACCCAAATCCTGCGTATAAGGACGCGGTCAGGCTCGAGAGGACCTTACGTACTCTGGGTGCAATCCAAGATCGACCATCGACTCACGGCACCGCATTGTACACCAACCCATACAATGGGGCAGCTTTGGTGAAGATGCAGCACGACTTTGACGTGATTAAGAAATTTTGCACTCAATGGGAACCTAAATGAATCGAACGCGCGGTCTTTTTGAACTTGATATCATGGCCGACAATTCTCGCCATTCTTCGCGCTATCATGACTTCCGCGGAAATTACAGGCACTCTTCTCCTCGGGTTTTGTTCTCCATCTTGATTCGTATTGAGAGCTTCACACCGTACGGAACTCACAATCTGCCTTTCGTGCACACATCAGTAGTGCTGGGGGTTGGTATGTGAAGTGCTGTTGGTAGGTGGAACTCTCAAGGACTCAAAATGCAGCACTCTTTCGGATACTCAGCCAAGCTTTCTTAGCTCTTCAGAGGTCACAGATAAAGAGGCGCCAAAGGCTGAGAGTGGACAATCAAATTATCATCCTCAAGAAGGACTGTAAATTGAACGACGTGGGATGTGATCAGATTCAACTAAAGTGCGACAACACTTTGTTCAACTTTACTTGACGCCTTCAATGCCTCACAGGCCACATTTGCGTATCCTTCAATGCTTGTTCACTTCAACCGCAAGAGACATTTTCATCTTCTCATTGAGGCTTCCAAGCAACAAAGTTTTGATATCTGCATCTTTCATCTTAATGCAGGTATCATCACGACTGGATCGTCGAGGACGTTTATCAACCCAATTATGCAGAATCCTCAATAAAAACGGTTGATTTCATCGAAATCACCACAGACACGCCAAGCTTACTCTGGTATATGGGTGTACGTGTGTCGGGGAGGATCTATCCCAGTCCCTCCCATCATCACCACCATCGGGAGGGTTACTGCTCCCCCAGCAGAACAATTAGGTCGGCAGAGCTCGCCGAGGCAGTTTATGTCTGCCTCCGGTGTAGCAAAGATGTCGACCTCATCTTAAAATGCGACATGCCACGATTCCAAAAATGCGATGGGTGCTCTAAACAGCAACATAGATGTTTAGAGGTTGGTTTGTTCCTCTCCTGCGTTTGTACCATGTTGACTGGGTATGTGATAAAGGTCCCGCCGCAGTTCGGGAAGTGTATTGAACATCTTGTTTGGCTCGCCCGTGCCTCTCAGGATTACGAGACGGGCCTCATGTCGTCTGTACAGCACGACCTAGCTTCTTGCGCGCGACTCTTCGCACGTTGGAAAAGGGCAGTAGAGGCGCAAATCACGCGCGACAACCGCTTGGATGGCCACCAGCGATCCACCCGCGATCCACCAGCGACGTAGTTCGTCTCCACATACTGTTTGAGTCGCGCAGGCTAAATAGAAATATTGAGCTTTTAGCTGCAGGCCTAATCAGCGAGGTTAGCAGTATTTCAACATTGTACATTTTGTTGCTGATAGAATGTAGCATCCAGCCCTGTCAAGTCTTCTGGGTGCCTCTGAGCAGGTACTCCAAGCGATTTTTTCGTCTCGGCACGACGGTCGTCGTGCATTCCGCCAGAATCGCGCGTTAGATGTCCTCCCGCGTGTGCAACTCTCGTAGCCTTCTGCCACCATCCGCCTGGTGGGCATCACTCGTCCACAGGCCTAGAAGGCGCCGAGCTAGTACGGGCTCGGCATCTACACCACCAAAACGCCCTCATCGTCGATTGGCGTTTGAAGTCCGGGAGTCACCACCCTCTTCAGGTGGTGAGACGCAGGATACGCGCGCTGGGGGCAACACCCTTGCCCGGTAAGAGGAGGAGGAAGAGGAACCCGTGGTGCCATGGCGCCACCGGCTCGGGTCTTCACGCGGCGAGAGCGCTGCTCTCGCGTAAGAAAAGGGGTCAGCGGAGTTAACCAGGCGGCGACAAATATCTGCATTTGGTGCAGCAAGGATATTGACCTTATCCTTAATGTGATACGCCGCGCTGTCAGAAGTACGATGGCTGCTCCAAGCAGCACCATAAGTGCTTTGAGGCTCGTTTCAGAGCGAACCTCGCATATGCAAAAAGCTAAACGTCTGGTTCTTCGTGGTTAGCCACGCCGATCGACCAGAACATGAAAGTTACCATAATGGCTTATGACTTAATGTGTGGGAACATGTCAGCAACGTTAATACTCATGATTGTCGGTCATGCGAGGTTTCCGAGAGTTGCTCCAGGATAGTCCTCATCATTTAGGAAGCGATATAAATAGTTAATATCATGATGCATAACAAAGACGAATCTTATTTCGTGTAGCAACATCAAACACGACGCCGCGAGTATCATCCACACCTGTATCAGGACCAAATAAAATAGCGCAGCCGAGATGAAAATCTACTCTAAAGTCGCGCCTCATAAGTTTTGAGTCCGCAAACACCCTCATAAGCAGAGCTTAGGTATCACGCTCGGCATCACTTCATCACCTCGAGCGGATATCCTGGCAGAGATGTTACCCTTTGTCTTTGCGCATCCGAATGCGATAATCAACCAAAATTATGTGCTCTTTCATTTGGAACGATATACCTTGCAGGTCGCGTCCATGTAGGGTCAAAGAAGGGTCAAGGTTGTGCAACAAACATCTTGACGACAAGACATGTGCGGAACTGGCAAAGATTGCTGTTTGCTTGTTTTTTACCTTCTTCCACTCCCTGCTCGTTATACTATGCATGAATTCATTATATTTTAAGCAGGATTAAGAACAATCGCAGATGCAATATTCCTGAGCCAGGCAAGTTTGGGTGATCTTTGATGTTAACTGTATGGAAAACGGCACGACGCTTGGGCCAATTGTCCAGTTCTCCAGATGGGCGACCCACTATCCGTAGATCCTAAAACCCATTCTCCAAGCTGTGCATAGTGCTACCTATGCCCTCAGAGATATGATATGAAGCTGAGGCATATTCACTTGCCGAGTTTGACTCATTATAAACATGGCGACAGAGTTCAGGACCTCATAGTTCGGCAGCATCTCGCTGCCAAGGCCGACCCATCTCTCCCAAGTTTGTCATCCTCCACCTATTGCCTGGTCTACAGCTCATTTTCGCTCTAGAACCTCCGCCAACAGTCATAACAGCCCAATTCCATCCTGTGTATACCACAGGACGGCGAGATTATGGCCGGCTGACGAACGAAGCCAAGCAAATTCTTCGCGACGGAGGACGTGCCGAAGTGTTTGAAGCACTTCGTGGTGGGCAAACCACGTACCACGGTCCGGGACAGCTGACTGCTTATCCCATCATCGACTTGAAGCAGCACATGCTCGGCACAAGGGACTATATCTGTGTGCTCGAAAAGTCACTCATCGCGCTGTGTGCCAAATACGGCGTAAAAGCTATGACTACCGAAAACACCGGTGTCTGGATTACCGAAGACAAGAAGATTGCGGCCGTCGGCGTTCATCTTAGACGATACGTCAGTTCTCATGGTATTGGACTAAACGTAGATCGGCGCGTGGACTGGGGTTTTGGGCGGATAGTCGCATGCGGGCTTGAAGGAAAATCGACAACGAGTCTAGAGGCTGAAGGTGCGACAGGACTTCAGGTCGAACAAGTTGGAAAGGATTTTGTAGAAGAACTCGCGAGTCGACTAAGCGGCGTGGAAGGCATTGAAGTCGTTGATGATCCGCTACGGAAACCGCTGGAATAGCCTTGTTCGCTGTTCTCACGGCGATTGAAAACAAGACCTACCAAAAACCCTGAACCTGAATTTGCCGCCGCGTACATCTACATACTCGAATTGAATAAATTTATAGCCAGTCATTAATTGTCCATTTCCTAACCAGTTTTTAAACCGACTCAAATCTTGGACAAATGCGCTAGCCCAAATTTGGCGCACCCTCATCACTCCACAACTTCCACCCCACCAGCCTCTTCCATATCACCAACACTCCAGAACTTAATAGAAATGCTTCAGAACCATAGAAATCAAAGATTCTCTGGTAGCAAACTTTCTTCCAATACCTTATTCGAATTGACCTAGCGAAGATTCGTCAAGGACTATGAATAGTGGCAAAGTGCGGAGCAGTGGAAAGCGAAAACCATTCCGCGGTCGTCGCATGCGTGGCTTATTTACTAACGGTGTTTGGTATTGTGCGGCTAGCTTCCTATTTTACCAGCGACGAAACTTATCTGACGCAGGTGATTGCAATCCAAGATTACCGGCGGAGCATTTCAAGGTCAAGAAAGAAGGAAAGAATCAGGGCCGCTGGTTCTACACGTGCCAGAAACCCGAGGAGCAACGATGTGCATTTTTCCTCTGGGACGAGGATGCTAAGATAAGGGAAGAAAGTGCTGTGTTGAATAACTCGAGGACCGAGCCGAGAGCACCCCTGACCGTGGGAGCAAGTGGACGAGACAGAGAGCAACATCATTCCGAGAATGCGAAAGCTCCTGAAGAATCAGGTTCACAACGCGAATCGGTGATTAAACTTCGAGCGGATTCCCCATCTAGCTCCCATCACGAGGAGAGTGGTGACGAGCATACTAAGGACAGTGACAGTTCTCTCGTCAGTGAGGCTGGTTTACGAAGTTTAGAAGAAAACGCGATAAGGTCATTACAACAGCCCCAATTACCTTTGGAACCCAAAACGCCGGCAAAAAGAAGTCATATCGAGATGCATGGGTTACCAACACCGGACACGATCGGTCGACAACATCATTCTTTAGGCTACCCTGTGTCATCACCTTCCAAGCGAAGAGCCACAGATGTTGAACTACTCAATTTGGTGTCCCCTACAACAACACCGACCCCAGTCAGATTCAGAGATGCCGTGGGAGGCTCAGGAGATGACACTCTGTTCGCGGAGATCGAGCAAGTCTTGTCAAGTCATAGAGTAAAGTTGAACGCGGATACATCGAAAGCGGTGAAGGCTATATGCCACAAGCATACATTGCGCATGCAAGGTGTTATCAAAGGGTGAGAACCTGTTTTCGATCTCGTTGGAGTCACTCTAATACATACCAGGCGTGAAATATCCAGACTAGCTTTGAACGCAAAGGATGCAAAAATCCTCGAGTTGCAACGCCGCATTGACACTCTCGAGGCGGAGCACGAGACCGAAAGAGCCATCGTCCGGCATCTGCTATGGGAAAATGAAGTCAATGATGAGTGAAGGTTAAAAAAAATCTAATCTTGTCTTTGGACGAGAACTACGATCAGTTTGAACCCACTAGGCGTCTCGAACACGAAACTGGCTGTTGTACCCATAAATACAGTACTACTAGTACCAATTATTCAGCTTCTTGAGGTCTGGACCCTGCATTTGTGCCGAACACGAAGCAAATATTGGTCACATGCGAATACTTCCAAGGTAGATATAAGAGCATCGCTCTTCGAAGCTCCCAACAACCATCATAAGCCTTTCTTACGAAACGGAATAATTTTCGGCCCAGTCCTGTTTGTCATGTCTGCCGCCATCCGCATCGAGCTTTTCCCGGCAAATCTCGCCATCTTCATCGACTTCTATACCCGAATCTTTGGATTCAAGCTGCTCAAGCAGACAGGTAACTACGCTTACGTGAATCGCGGCGGGATTTACATTGGCGCGATCGAAACACCGAACAGCGACAGTCTCGCAACGAAGGCTAGTTATCGCCAACCGTTTAAGGGCGTAGAGATTGTGTTCGAAGTGCAGGATCTGGTTGCGGAGCGAGATAGAATTGTCGGGCTTGGGTATCAGCTCGAGAAGGACATTGAGAAACAGGAATGGGGATTGGAGGACTTTCGAATTGTGGACCCAGACGGCTATTATATTCGTGTCACTACGCTGCCAAAAAGCGAGGAGGTGGCAGATGCTTGACCTAAAATTCGAACGTGAGGCACGACAGCCAATGCCCATAATGTGTCAAATTCAGTGAAAATCTTTAGCTTGGAATAGCCCATTCTTCCTTCTATCTTGGCCCCATCGCTCAATCCACCCTTTCATCCTCTCTCTACTCTTAGCACTGCCCACGTTGACCGTGGGAACTATCTTCTCAATTCTCAGCGCACAGCAAAACATAGTCAGCTCCCGGAACGAGCTGTGCTCGCTGTATGGTACACCATAGCATGTAGCCCTGTTTGTCGACCCGGGTTGCGGTTTAAGCTCACGCATACTGTAGTTGCTCTTCCAATTGCTGGAATAGAGGACAGTCTGCACAGAGGGCGACTCAGTGAAACGCGAGTTGGGTGGTCTGTAGTTCCATCCCGAGGGTCGAAATGCTACGGCACGGCTGAAAGTGTCCCGGAAATCTTTCAGGTACTCATCGAGAGTGTCCGCGCGAATCTCAAAAAGTGGCGTCATGTGGACCTGAGCTTCGCGTGGATCACTCGTCAATCGTTCCATTAACTCCGGATCCTCAAGAGCAGCGCAAATCCGCTGTTTCCCTGCTGACGCGAAGATTTTCGAATTGAGCGCTTTGGCAATCCCCATGCAGATTCGTTCTTTGCCTATGCTATACGTCCCTACGACGACAAGAAGCCGGCCACGCTGGTTCTTGTCTCCGTCGACGACAAGCTCTGCAGCCTCTTGCTTGACGCTTTCTTTGCCTGATTCTAGAAACTGGACCATCCCCGCGTTAGCGCGTTGTCGTTTCATGGTTTCCCATTCATCCGTGTCATCAACGGAGGCTTTGTTTAGGCTCACACACATGTCGGCACATGCTCGTATAACGCTTTCTTGGGACGGAAATGCAAATTTTGGGTTGAGATATGTGGTGTCGAGGTAGCAGACATCGATTTTTTGCTCTTTGCTTTTCCCAGTTATGTGGCATTGAACATCTGGCCTAAGCAGTGGGTGTTCAATGTGTTCTCGACAAGCCCGGAAGTCACCGCAATGTAGGATGCGTTTCTTCTTTGAATTAGGACCTTTACCCAGTGGCTTCTCGAAGAGAAAAAGGGAGCTGCCAGGACAGTGATTCGCAGGTATCATCGTAACACGTACTCCGGGTGTGTCCGGAATTTCTCGCTCCTCTTCAAACTCCAAGTCAACCACATATTTTGGGTCCACCTTAAGCTGCTGCCGAACCAGATTTCCAGTCACTCTGGAACAGTAGATAGGTCCATGTCGCCAACTCGATGTCAGGCCGATGTAATGATCGCTGTGGAAGTGGGACAAGAAGTAGCCTTTGCATCCTTCAACAGCACCATAACGGAACGCATCAACGCATATGTTCATGTCAGGCATGATCTTGTAAAATGGACAAGTTCTCTCAAATGCCTGCTTCCCTCTCGCCTCCTTTTCGGAAGCCGCAGCGATCTTCCAAGCAGTATCCTCGGCATGACCAGACATTAGCTTAGCGAATGCTGATGTCGGTGCATTGATCGTGGATGTGAGCATGATCGGGTTGTTCTGACCAGGCTTAGGTTGTCTCATCTTGAAGGGTGGCTTTCTCGGTACCAATTCCGGGAACATTGGCTCATTCTTCTCACTGGTAGCCTGCGGACCTGGCAATGGTGTAGGATTCCCGTCAAGACAGCTGTTGACATGTACTGAAGCTTGTTCTTCCGAAACACCTTTCATCTCTATGGAACAAATGGGGCATCTGGCAGTTTCACTTGCGCCTTGTGCCATCTCAGCAGATGTTATTTCTGGACCAAGGATATGGCCTAGCGTGTTGCTATCCAAACCATCAGCGTAGGTATCGTCACTCATCTGAAGCTTGATATGTTCAGCCATATATCGCCTCTCCAGTGCTTCCTCACCATCAGATGGAAATTCCTCGTCATCAAAATCATTAATATCTTCGAATCCTTCGATATCACCCAGCTCGTTGTAGGTGGTCTCTTCTTTTTTAAGCTGTGGCACTGACATAGAGGCGACTTGATCCTGCCTATCAGGTGCAGCGTACAGATCTTCTTCGTTTTCCGACTCATTACCCGGCTCGCCAAACATACTGCGTCTCGAAATCACTGCAGAAACCGGCATGCGATTGTAGGCATTGTCATGACCACGATTGCTGGAATGTCCTCCTCCTGCTCCTTGCGACGATGCAGGCTCATCATCTTCGCTATCTGACTCATCCATGAATGGGCCTCTCCGTTTCAATGCTTGGTTTTTTGGTTGATGCACAACTGGCGTGTCCACCTGCTCTTCACCTGCCACCTCCAACGCTTTCAGATCCGCGGATTCAGGAACAGTACGGACATCTCTTTCAGCAGACCCACCGAGTTCCTGGGCTCCATCTCCGAGATCCGTCGTCCTTCTTCGCTTATCCGGACCCCCAAATTCATTATACCTGTCCTTCACGAAAAGATTGTCGGCCAATTCCTCGGCCTTCTTGAAGAACGACAAAATATTGCCATTAGGCGCTGCCTTGGGTTTTGTAGGCATGATGTTGACCGCATTGAGTTTTGTCTGTTTTGTTTTCGCCGCTGGCGCTTTCGCAGGCATGGGCGCTGGTATATTTGATTTTCTCCTTGGTGGATGAAGTCGAGGAGGAGTAGGTGGTCTGCCTGTTGAGGGAAGAACTCGGAAGTCAGAGGGCAGGTCGGCATTCTCTCGTGGATTACGAAACATGTATGCGGGTCATGAGAGCGCCCAGATTCTTAAACGAGGACTGAGACGTGCATAACTTGAAAGCTTTGGGATATCAATCCTCGACAGAACGCGAACAAGGCACCAGAGCACGTGAGTGGCACTGGCGTAGCTCAATTCGGCAGTCTAATTGTTCCAGGTGGAGTGACGTCGCCCCGCAGTGGGAAGATTCTCGGAAAAGGGCCGACGGCGAGAGAAATGACTCCGAATGCTGGCAATTCCACCCTCAAGTCAATCCTCACTCATGATGTATAGACAATAGTGCCAAATTTAAGCTCAGCGGGCTCCGCTACGAATGCTTAACATGTCCGCCTTACCAGAAACAAAAGTACTCGCCATTGCGAGCCATGTACGTCGTACCATCATTACTGCCAGCGAAAGTACCTTGTGAATTGACAAACTTGTTTAGGTGTCCTATGGGTATGTACATACGACCCACTTGATTTGTTCCGAGATCTCACAGTGTATTTCAGATACGTCGGCAACACAATGGCGACCTTTGTGATGCAGAGTCTGGGTGCTGAGGTGTCCGCCATAAATACTGTCTGCTATTCTAACCACACAGCGTACAAACAAGTCAAAGGCCGCAAGGTCCCGGCAGAAGAAATTCTTGACTTGTATGAAGGACTCAAGCAGTCTTTTCTGACGGACTTCAATGTTCTCCTCTCGGGATACGTTCCGTCCGCGGAAGCTGTCGAAGCCGTGGGGAAAATTGCAAGAGATCTGAAGCATGAATCCAATCGTAAGCCAGGGAGCTTTTTCTGGGTTCTGGACCCGGTTATGGGCGACAACGGGAAATTGTACATTCCTGAATCAGAGGTTCCGGCATATAAGAGTTTGCTTCGTTATGCGGATCTGATCCTACCAAATCAATTCGAAGCTGAGCTCCTCTCCGAAGTCAAAATCACGAATCTGTCTACTCTCGCCACGGCTATAAAAGCACTTCATACCAGATACAATACCCCACACATCATCATAACATCCCTTCGCCTGTCAAAAGTAAGCGGTAGGACCTTGCCCGGTACGACGGCCGGCAATACAACTCATGCAGAAGAAGAAGATGATGATGACGTCCTAAGCGTCATAGGTAGCTCATCGACGAGCAAAGGAGAGCCACGGTTGTGGCGCATAGACATCCCAGCGTACCCTGTCTTTTTTTCTGGCACGGGAGACATGTTTGCCGCACTGATGGTAGTCCGTCTGCGAGAAGCAGCAGCAGCAGCCGGGCTTCTCAACACGTCGTCGTGGAGAAGTCCTGACGACGTGCCTGCGACGGAAACCCCTCTCGCAAAAGCCGCTACAAAAGTCCTGGCGAGCATGCAGTCTATTTTGGGAAAAACATATCAATACTATAAAACAGAAGTGTCCGAGATTAATACGAGATGCGAGCGAGCAGGTAAATGTGAGTGTGAGGACGCGACGAAGGCGGAAGAGATGAGAATGCACCTGAAAAAGACAAAAGCGGCCGAGGTACGAGTAGTTCGGAATGCGAAAGATCTTATTGAGCCAAGTGACCTTGACAAATACGCTGCCAAGGCAGTGGAAGTAGAGTTCTAAGAAAGCACCTACACAGGAGTTAGACGAACAGGTAGCATGTATAGCAGGGCCGTCATCGATAGAGCATTTTGTACACCGCTATCCATGGGACACGGTGATCATGGAGACGTAGACACATGATTCACGGCTTAGGGTAGACTGAATAGATTTGCAGATCCATAGAGCTAGGCCAAAAGCATAAACTATAGGGGCCTCTTCAACCCTTCCAGAGCCTTCCTTCTTGCTTTTAAGCCTTCCAATACCCTCTTCGCCTGTGCCACACTGGCCTCTCCCTCGATCATCTGCTCGAGTACCAGAGACTTAGTCTTCTCACTGGCCTCTCCAGCTGCCTTGGCCCATGAAGAGGTCTGTGTTGAGTCTGGAGGAACCAGCAAACTCTCACCCGCAAGACGCTGAATGATGTTGTTGGTTTCATCGGAAGCGAGAATGAGCTGTCGTCTAAGGTGTGATATTTGTTGCTGGAGAAGCGCCTCGTCACGAGTTGTTGATGTCATGATTGTCAGGTAAGGAAGCAGCTGTGAGGCTTGTATAGGGGATAATCTCGACTCAGAGCCAGGCTGCATCACCCGTTGAGCGGCCGGGGCTTTGTTAGCTCCAGCACCGGTTTGCTCTGCGACTTCCAGCTTTGGAGCACGATTTAACGCAGCCTCAACTTCGGCAATATACCTTTGTCGCGAGACAACGTATTGGCTGTACAGTTCTTCAACCCGTTTCGTAACTTCGTCGTTTGACAAGTTGCTTCCCGATGCTTTCACATCGTCATCTTCTTCCCCGATGAAGGAGAGTTCGACTTGCGAGGCCTCAACTTCATCTTCTGGGATCTTCGCGAGCTCTCCTTCTACCCAACTGATTAATTCATCCCTCGCCTCACGTAAAACTGAAACCTTCTCTCCAATATCGGTTGCTCCATTTGTTTGGCGGTTTTTGGCAGCTTCTTCGGCGGTTTTAGCCTCGGAAAGCTTGCTCTTCGCTATCAGCAATTCTTTCTTCAACTGGAATGTGAGCTCTTGGACTTTTGCATCAGCATCGCCTCCGCCCTCAAGGGTCGTCATCGGAGGCTGAGGTGGATCTCCTAACATATCTCGTATAGATGATTTCATATCAAGAGACACGATGTTTGGTTTCGCGTCGAGTAAGTTGGCGAGCGCGGTTTGTACTATTTCCATTTTTCTTTGCTGTCGCCGCTGGCGGAGCAGATCTGCATACTCTCGGGCGATTTCAGTGGAAATGGCTTTGGGCACGCTTTGCTCTTGCTCTGCATCCTTTTGGAGAACATGGTTTAACTCGTCTTTGATGGTGTCGTATCTCTCGCGTGCTTGGCGGTATGCTTCAAGTGCCTTGAAATATTGCTTGTACAGGCCTTCTATCGGTATCGCTAGACCCGTTGAGTCACGGAGCTTTATTGATGAAAGTGGCAGACTCAGTGCGACATGCGTCGGTTCGCTGTCGTTCTCCACATTTTTCTTCACAAGCTGAGTCAGTATTTGGCGGATACGCGTCGTTTTCTCGCGCGTGTGAATGTAAGGCGCCAGAGCATCCTCAACTGATGAGATTGGACATTCGGGCTTCGTCATGGCGCGTTCATTGAGGCACTTAGACGGGCCTTAGTAACAGACTTAGGATGCGGTCAGACTTTGTTAAGTCTGAAACGAAACGTCCCCTTACTCGCATCAGCCTTCAGTGACTACAATAACGTACAATTTCAGGCGAACTCAAAACAAGCTCACTTACAAAAAGATGTTTCTAACTCTTCAATATTATGTTGATTTGTTTAAACTGCAATCTGTATAATCCGCTCACGACTAAGGTAGGCACGTGATCTGCAAGCGGTCGTTCCGTCATCTTCCAATGCATGGCCGCCACTTCCTTGAATACTTTGTTAAATTACAGAAAGTCGACCACGAGAAAAAATGATTGACTTGGAATAAGCTGCTATCCTACGTTAACTCCAGAGCCTCATCATGCTGGATAAGCTATTTTCATGGAGTCGGACGCCATCATCCACGTCTACCTCTGGAGCTTCGGCTGCATCTGCTGATTCTACAGCGTCCCTCGGAAGAGAGCCTGTCCATTTACCTGATGAAATCATCTTGCAAATTCTTTCGTACTTCCCCGAGGGTGAAGCATCTCAAGGAACACTGTGGGCCTGCTGTCTACTCTCTCGACAATGGTAAACGCCCGGCTGAATTCATGTTCCATCATTTCGTCACTATTTTCAACAAGGCATCAATATGAATAGAGCTAATGAGTAGTGTAGGCATAACCTGGCTATAGCCAAACTGTATGCTGCTCCACATTTGTATGGACCAAACTTCGACCTGTTCGTTAAGACAGTGTGTCCCTCATTAAATGCTCATATTCGCAAGTCGGATCTGGCAGGGCTTGTGCGGACATTAGATATGTCAAAATTAGCTTATCAAGGATCTCGAGCAACCACTGCACGCTTACTTGGTCGAACAAAGAATGGGTTAGAGGTGTATGTAGCACCACAAGCCAACTGGGGTATCAACTGTCTGGCTGCGCTCTCAAAATGCACTCGACTTCGTAGCCTTGACCTCAGTCTCGTGTCCGAAGCCCTGAGCTATCGGGAGTTATCAAACACGATACAGAAGATGAAGGACCTGCGAATACTAAAGTTTCCTCGATCTGCAGCGAAGCGCGATGCGGATGTGTACACCAGATCTCACATGCACTGGCCGCCGAACCTCGAGGAACTCACGCTGTCAGGAGATCTGTTTGATTTCTTTCATAGCGATGTCCAGCCACTTGATGGAGGCACTCCAAATTTGCCACTCAAAATCACAAGGCTTGCATTTCAGCACAGCAGCCTGGATGGAAGAATGTTCAACGCTACGCTTGCTGAGCTTGGAAGCAAATTAACTTTTCTGAAGCTGTACAATTTAACATGCTCTGATTTCGATTGGCCCTATCCCGAAGGTGAGTACATTCTCCCTTTTGCACACTACATTTCATTCGTCTTGTCGTGGCGCTATCTAGTTTGCAAACGTAGATTTAACAATTTCTAGGAGCCTCAACGATCCTCCATTTATGTCGAAACTTGAACACTTTAGAGATTGCTGTAGATCTTTTGACATCAAATCTCATCTTTTCGCTCGAAATTGAAGACGATGATGACGTTCTGCCAATTGCGCTTGAGCATCAATTGAAGCATCTGTATATTGCTAGTCCGACCCGAACTGGAAGCTTCATCGAGGAAGAGTTAATGAATACACATGACTTAGCCCGGGCAGTTGATAAGAATGCACTGCCTGCTCTACGTACTGTCACAATCGAGGTTTTCTTTAAGGCCCCTTCAGAGTGGTCAACAGCAGATCTGCTGCTTCATCGACGACTGAAGAGAAGGGCCCGGGAAAACGACGAAAATCCAGACGCCGCAGGAGTGCGATTCGCGGTATTGCAAGCATCTTAGCTTTATATTCGGAGTTATTGGTTATCAATATGGATGGTTTATTTTTATTCTTTAGGCTTCTGAGCCAGAAATAATCATGCAACGTGCATTCTGGAAGCGATTAAAGCTTCTGATTTTATGTTGGCCAGTAGCCGTTCCTAAAGGACAACGGGTCGAGTTCATACATATTCCCACAGGCACTGAACAAGGCCATATGTAGAATGGACCAATGAGAGTAGTCTCCAAAAGAAAAAGATACAGTCCACCAAATACTTAATTTTTTTCAAGGCGAGAACACTATTTGAATGTGATGCGAAATGACTGTGTTCCTTCGGCCAATCGAGGGATTTCCAATGCTATTTGGCCTTGACAATGCGATACAATTGATGGGCTGTTAGAGCTGAGATTTTGAGCACAAACGATGAAGTGTAATTCAGAGGATTTGTGTCTGTGTTTTTGATGTAGAGGCTATCAACAACATGAGGTAAGGACGTGGTTCGTGGTAGGTTCTGTTGAAGAATAGAGCATAGCAAGATCCGCCTAAACAGAACTGGGCTTCTGATCGTGCACGAGGTAGTCAATTAATCAAATATCAACCAAGGTGCAATTGATCCTTCATTATGAGCATATAGGGTGATTCATCGCACCGCGAATTTCAGAACTTTCAATTTCCTCTTTCGTCGTTTGTAACTCCGCTTTGCTGTTCGGAGACGACCTTGTAGAAAACCCCCGATGTCGGCGATTGCGGACGTGAACTTTTCTGTGACTCTTAGAAGCGTGAGGTTCGAGTATTTTCATTCAGGACAATTGAAAGGATGGTGCAGAAAAAGAGTCCCTTTGATTTGCAAAAATGCGCGCGACCAAACATACTGGCTCTGCAGCCGTACCGCTGCGCAAGAGAGTGAGTCAAAGCCCTATAAGCCGCTGAGAACTGCTCGTTGACTCGCTGCAGTGACTACAAAGATGACGGCACCAACATCCTACTTGACGCAAACGAGAACGCATATGGCCCTGGTTTGAGCATAGATCCCAACGGCACCATCGACGAGCACAAGTCGTCGGTCGACCTGGATCTGCTGGGCCTTCATCGATATCCGGATCCGTAAGTTCATGCCTAAATCAGTGGCTATAACGAATGGACTTGAGCTTATGCAGCTCAAGACACCAACCAGACTTGAAGAGATTATTATGTAGCCTACGCAATACGCATACACACACATCAAAGGACCTCACGCCGGACAATCTCTTCGTTGGCGTAGGATCAGATGAAGCCATCGACAACCTTCTCCGATGTTTCTGCACTCCAGGCAAGGACAAGATTCTCACATGTCCACCCACATACGGCATGTATAAGGTCTCTGCTTGCGTAAATGACGTCGCCGTTGTTGCAGTTCCTTTACGCGTGGAGGACAACTTTCGCATGGACGTTCCTGCCGTGTTGGAGGCGCTGAGTTCGAACGCAGATATCAAACTGGTGTACTTGTGCTCGCCTGGGAATCCCACGGGCACTCTGATCCCGAAAGAGGACATCAGGCCTATTCTGGAGCATCCGACATGGAACGGAATTGTCGTTCTGGACGAGGCATACATTGATTTTGCGCCAGACGGCGCCTCGCTCGCGGAGTGGGTTCTGGAATGGCCAAATCTGGTCGTCATGCAGACACTGTCGAAGGCGTTTGGCCTTGCTGGCATAAGGTTAGGGGCGGCATTCGCAGACCCAGCCGTTGCGCAACTCCTCAACAACCTAAAAGCTCCATATAACATCAGTAATCCAACGAGCCAAATAGCACAGGCAGCGCTAAAACCTGATAACTTGTCAGTTATGCGTGAGAACAGAAAGAAGATCCTCGCACAGCGAGATCGAATGATTGAGGAGCTCCCCAAAATACCTGGAATTGGCAACTTCAAAGGTGGATATACGAGCAATTTCCTTCTCGTGGAGATGCTCGATGCGCCGAAGGAAGAAGGAGGGAAGCCGAGCAACGACGTTGCGTTAAAGGTATACGAAACGTTGGCAGAGAGTAAAGGGGTCGTTGTGCGATTCAGGGGAAATGAAATCGGCTGTCTCGGCTGCTTGAGAATAACGGTAGGCACGAAAGAAGAGGTCGATAGATTTCTCAAAGAGATAGAGGCTGTTCTAAGCGATATATACACTGGTAGAACTTCAACAAAAGCCACCACCAAAGGGGCGCAGCGAAAGGATCTGGCAGCGAACGGCACTGTAGCATGAAAAGAGAGCAAATTAAATGTCGGCTGCATCTTGCGCAGTAAAAGATATGCTAGTTTCAGTCCAAGTCTTGGTCATACCCCATATTCAATTGTGACGGCGTCACCAGATCTGTTGACAGCCTTACGGTCAGCCTCAGTACTCAGCAAAAGCGCGTGCACATGCACAGACCCACTTTAAAGTTCGCAATGCAAAGAACTCGTGTTGCTCGAATCATTTCCATGCTCGACTGCCTCACAAATGCGACCATGGCGCATGCTCACTCAATTTCGCGTAAATGAGTGAATTCGAACATCTTCATTACCCAAAGTATTGCCAAGAGGCTGTAGAATGTTGAAACGGCCAGGAGAAAATCTCGCCCGCACCGAGGACGGCGCAACCTACAACAAACTACGGCGTCCGGATAACTGGCCCATAGAACCACCCATCGCTTCCGTCTCGGATGACACACGGACACAACATAGTTGCGCAAAAGATGAAATAGCAGGCGACGATGCGGAGCAGAGCTTGTCCGAAAAAACAACACCAAGAGGCAAGCAGCGAAACAGACCAATCTTCAGCTTCAAGAAGAACAAGTCGACTACTTCCGACGGGTGCCTGCCCATGGAAGATGAAGACTTCTCAGGGTCCGAAAATGACGATGTATCGTTTGCTGCTGTACAGTACCTCAAAAGTGTGAGGTAGGTGCTACAGTTCTCATTCCGTTCTCCAATTGCTGAAGCAGGTAAACGTTCAGGCTACCAGTGAGCACCAATGGCATGCAGAACTGCATCAGAAAATATCTAAATGAGTAGAAATGATGCAGTTAAGATTCAAGAGCCTGAATCTCGGTACAAGCCTGCTCTTGACGCTACCTGATGACTGGATGGTAACTCTGTGACGTAGGCTGATTGCAGCGCAGAGCCGAAGCGAATGATTTACCTCTTGTATCCGCTATACCACTCGTTCGAGAACCGTCCACAGAAGACTTTAAGGGTTACTACGAAGATGGGGCGTACGTAGTAGCACCCGAACTTGGCCCTGCCTACCCGGAAGATTACGAGGAGGAATCATATGACGATTACGGCCTCAACGAGGGTGTGGAGGAACAAAAGAGGCTTGCCAGTCGGATTATTCGCATTACGCCTTGCGAGGCGTACACGAATTCCCTGCTCTCTCGTTTCCATCAGCTTCGCAGCGCGGTCCAGGCGCTCCAGGTTGACTCAGTGGTAAACGCAGGCTCATCAGCTGCTTCAATCAAAATCCCACGGGCCATTGATCTTCGAAGAGCAGACCGCAAATACTGGGAGTCTCTGATCATCAATAATTCCCCCAAATTGTCAGCACTTGCTGTGACTCCGATCGAGTCCCTCCTCTCTCTTATCTTCGTCATTAAGGAGCAGTGCATGCCCCGCAAGCGAAACATAAGCAAAAACGTCAGCCTCTGGCTCCTCGCTCTGCTGGCTGCTTTTGATGAGCGCACAATTGACAGTGATACCATGTATGACTTGCGCAGCTTAGCGAAGAAGGCGATCTGGCTACGGATCGATCACGAGCCGCGCTTTGCAGAAGCCTCCAAGGCCATGGGGCGTGAAGCAGGCTATATTTTCGACCGTGTACCCTACGAAGATGAAACCTCAGGCCATGTATCAGAATCGCGGCCTGAAGGCCGAGATCATGCGCAGGCAGACGAAATTCTCTCTGATCTGCTGGTCGATGAGACCGTGCCGGACGATGCGACAAAGGCAACGCTTGACATGATTGTCACAGTGCTTGGAGAGATCTTTGGACAACGTGACTTGCTAGAATCGCGGACTGTTGTAGATTGGCCCCAATCTGGGCAAGGTACTGAGGATTACGCATGCGACGAAGAAAATTGAACGACTGAAAAACAGAATACTGCCTTATTTTCTGCCGCCTGAACTTCCTTCTTATCTTCTGAATTGGAGGGGAAAAGGGGAAAAAAGCAGTAAAAGAAAAAGGGCACCCCATTCGAGGCGAGAGCATCACGTTAGAGTCTTCAGGACTTCGCGCGATATACATGACGAGAGTGGGTTGGGCCAGACTAGCTGTGGATAACAGAATTGGTCAAGATCTTCTATTCGTTTGCTCTATGCTGTTTAGATCATGGCGTCACGAGCGCCGTGAATATGGCCCGTTCCCGACGCTGCCTCAGCCCTTGGCAGGTCCATGTCGACTAGCCAAGCGGAACCGTTCGTGTCGTAGCCTAGGTCCATGATACAGCTGTTGACGAGAAGCGTCTCACTGCCGGCGCGCAGCGGGCGCTTCGAGTCGGAGCTGACGTCGAGGTAGTTGGCTCTGCGTTCGATGGCGTCCTTGTCGGACGGCGTTTGGCGGTTGGGACCCGGCACCAGCGAGCCCAGCACCTCCGTCGTCTCGCCGAACCTACCAACGGGGGCGGTGGCGCTGCCGCCCACACGCGCACCTGTGTCCGCGGGGCTCCAGGTGACGAGCTCGGCACCCCAGGCCTCGTGGATGTGGCCGAAACAGTGCATCCGCGGGCGGACCCTGTTCAAGGCGTTGAGCAGGTGCGGGCAGCCTGCGCGAGCGCCTCTCGACGTTGCGTCGAGGTGGCCGTAGGGCGGGCCGTGGGTGATGACGACGTCCAGATCCGCGCCGTCTGGGATGGGGTGCGGGTCACGGTGCGGCGGCGCGGGCGCCACCTCGGGCGTCAGCTCCGACGTCACGATGCGCTCTGGCGGGTTCCACCGGTCCTCGGTCAGCGGGTAGTTGAAGGCCCAGTTGTGGAAGAAGGGCTGCCAGGGCGATGCGTAGACGGCGAGGCGGGCGCCGGAGGCGAGCGTGAACACATGCGCGCCCTCGTCGAGATACGTGACGCCGGCGCGGCGCGCCTCGTCGCCGGTCCACAGCTCGCGCGCCCGCCGCGCGTCCGCCGCGTCGTAGTGCCGCCCCGCGATGCGCCGCGCTGTCGCGTCGTGCACGTAGTACGCGCCGTGCAGCGACAGGTCGTGGTTGCCCGCGACGACGAGCTTGAGCTCCGCGTCCACGCCGGCCAGCAGCCGCAGCGCGCCGCGGTACTGCTCCATCGTGCCCACCATCGTCAGATCGCCCGAGTGGATGAGCACGTCCGCCCGCGGCAGCGGCGGCCGAAACGACCCGTCCGCGCCCGCCCACGGCGCCGTCCGCCCAAGTCGGTGCTGGAAGCCCTCGTGCGTGTCCGACATGATCAGGAACCGCGTCTTGATGCCGTCCGCGCCCTCGGCGCGCTGCCGCTGCCCGCTCGCCATGCTCGCCGTTCCAAGCCCCTCGTCGAAACCTGCGGGTCCCTTCGAAATGCCCAGAGGGGCGAGTTGCGTTTTGTAGGATGCTGTCGCTCCGACTGCTGCCTCTTGCCACCGCTGCCGCCGTCCTCGTCGTCGCTCGGAATATGAAATTTGTGTGGGGTTGACCAAGGGCTCGCAAAGCTTTTTTCGCAACCCAGAGGCCACCTTCTTTCTTTTCGTTCTTTTTTTCCACCCTTGCAAAAGAGGAAAAAGAAATTGTTTCTTTTTTTTTTTTTCCCTTTCGTCCCCCTCTCTTTTGTTTAGTCCCTGATCTGATGTGCGCAGTACCCCGAGGCGGTACGGCTTTTTCCAGATCAACGGTGCGCTTTACAAAGGCCGTCGCGCGAGGTTCTCCCCGCGATCAAATCTGCTGAGGGCGGGAAATGCGAGCGTGGCTGGTCCAAGTCTGTTGGGTTGACAAATCACAACGGCCGTTAAAGTGACCGGCCAACCAGCCAAAGCGGTTCTTGCAGATTTCTACGGAAGAGGGGCGGTGTTGCTGCTCCCGACAGCGTAAGGAGCAGTAACGGCGGCGAAACACAAGCAGTCAATGTCAGACGTGCTGAGGGGAAAAGGGATAAATTTAAGGTGGTACAGGATGGTATCATTGATTGACCGCCAGCAAGGCATTGTATAGTAATCTACAGTAGAAGGTTGGAGAGGTATCGTGCTTGAAACCAATCAAACCCATCGCCCAGGCAATAAATGTCGGTTAACCACAAAGAGTCATCTATCGTGCCGCGTGAAAAAAGTGTGCTTCATGTTTGGTGTGCTTTAGCAGGGGTTAATTTCGTAGTCCGTCTTCTAGTCGGCCTCATCTCGCACGCTGCTGATGAGTCTAGATCTACACACACATGTGTGTGGTGTACGCGTGTCTTCGTTCGCTCGATGTGCAGGTGTTTGCAATCAAATTAAAAAGCATCGAATCTATGCCTTCTCCTCGGCCGCAACCTCCATAGCCTTCTTTGCCATGCTGACACCCTCGACTGGGCCCGAGCATGTCTCCACGATGATGCCGGTGATCTGGTATGGGTCAGCGTTGGAGGCTGGGCGGCGATCCTCGAAGTAGCCCATGCCCTGCTCCGCAACGGCACGGTTGACACGGACGGAGGCACCACGGTTGGCGATGCCCCAGGTGAACTTGTCGTACGAGGCGGTCTCGTGCTTGCCAGTCATGCGCAGCTGGTTGTCCTCACCATACACAGACATGTGCTCCTTGTGGCGGAGGGCAAGCTTCTCCATGGCAGCCTCGATGGCCTTGATGCCGCCTGGCTTGCGCATCTCCTTGGTCGACACGTTCGTGTGCAGACCAGCACCGTTCCAGTCACCGGGGATGGGCTTGGGAGCGAAGGTCACCTTGGCACCGAACTCCTCGGCGATGCGGTGCAGCAGGAAGCGCGACATCCACAGCTGGTCACCAAGTTCGATGCCCTGGCAAGGGCCGACCTGGTACTCCCATTGTGCGGGCATGACCTCGGCGTTGGTGCCGGAGATCTTGATGCCGGCGTACAGGCAAGCCTTGTAGTGGGCCTCGACGATGTCACGGCACATGACCTTGCCGGTACCAACACCGCAGTAGTATGGGCCCTGAGGAGCTGGGAAGCCGTTCTTGGGCCAGCCATACGGCCAGCCATCGAAGCCGAGCAGGGTGTACTCTTGCTCGAGACCAAACCAGTACTCTTCGTCGGCGTGCTTCTCCATCAGGAGGTTGGCGTCGTGGCGGAAGTTGTACGAGTTTGGTGTGCCGTCCGACATCCAGGTCTCGCACATGACGAGGATGTTGTCACCGAGGCGGAGAGGATCTGGGTAGTAGGCAACGGGGCGCAGGTAGACATCAGAGTTGTCACCTGGAGCTTGGCCGGTGGAGGAACCGTCGAAGTTCCATTCTGGGAGGTCTTTCAAGCTAGTGACCTTCTTGGTGATGGTCTACAAAACATCGAGCGTGTCAGCATGCAGTCGTAGTGGAGCTAAGGAAAACGGAATGCGGATGTGCAAGTGTGTCGTGAAAAGAGACGAAGCCCATCATCATGATCGGTAGATGCTTCAAACCCCCAAGCGCGAAAATACGACCGATGCTGCGTCTCTGGTCGTGTCCAAAAAAAAAAACGCTGTGGAATGTACTCCTTCGTTGTAGGCGCAGCAACACAACCCCTCTATTTCGGTCCCCCCGCTAGACCCACTCCCATTGAGAGGAGAGTCTCAAATGGGGTTGCGTGAGACGCAATGGCGGGGCGCGCCACCGAGAGATAAGAAAACCAAAAAGCAAACGGAGATGATAAAAAAAAACCCAACCATTTGCCTAGCTCAAACTCGCAGCAGTCAGGTCGAACCAATTGAGCCAGCCCAACGAGTTTTTTTTCCCGTTCCGAAAGCGCAGGCCTCGCCGACGGCTTCGAAACGGGAACCCATGGGCCGTAGCCTCAACCGGCGTGACCAAGACTGGCTGTGACGTCCGGCCGTGGCAAAAAAAAAAAGGATCTCAGGAACAGGGCGGTGCGGCAGAGAACGCATAACGTAAGATGACTCACTCACCTTGGACTTTGAGCGGATTCCGCCAGAGCCATCTATCCAGACGTACTCGGCCATGATGGAACCCTTCTGGTCGAGGGTGCGGTACTTCTCGAGCTGCATAGAGTTAGCAGGGCGGAACCACGGGAGAGCCTCGCGTCACGGGCTCCAGAAAGACGGGCTGCTCACGTTGCCATAGTTGGAGACGATGGTTGAGTCCTAAAGGGCATGGTCAGCGTGACACGCGAGATTGGTGGTTTGCGACGGGTCGCCAGAGCAAAGCTCACCATTGTGACTGTGAAAATGTGTTGCTAGACGCAAGTAAGGCTGACGATGGTGACGGGAGACGTAGACAGAAGGACAGTCGATTTTTTTTGCTGGTGAGGACGAAGTGTTGTAGAAGGGTTGGACTGGCTGGTCTACGACGCAGAGACAGACAGAACGCAACAGTGACGAAACACAAGCAGAAGTCTTTTGTTGGCCAGCGAGGACGAAGCCGGGCAGACGAAGATGGTTGGAGGAGAGGGGGGAGAGAGGGAGGCTGCGAGGTGTGGAATATATATATATTCGCACGACGATTGTTCCCTTCCGATCTGGAGCTGCTCGATAAGTAGCCGAGCGGCGACCAGCCCGAACTAGGAGCTGGCTTTGTGCGTGTCTGGAACGGCGTTCGTCAATAGTAATTGACTTTATCCCACACGTCGCTCAGCCCGCGGGCCAGGAAAAACCGTGCCCAAGCCCAGTTCCCATCCATCCATGAATTGAATCAATCCACCCCGTCCATCCATCCATCCATCCATCCCTCCAGCTATCCACGAATCCTGTCCACATCGCTCGCTCCCTCCCCCCCATCTTTGTGCGGTTTTCCCCCCTGTCCACTGCCGCTCATCTCTAATTGCCTCGCACTGTGGTCCCCGCATGCGCTGTTGTTTTTTTATTTCCTTATTTTTCCATGCCCGTACGAAACAGTAGTAATGCAAACCCCCCCTGGGCCAGCCATGACCAAACACACAGGTACCGCCGGCCTCGCGCGGCTCTCACCGCATTCCCACCTATCAATATCTTCCCATCGACATTTCGGTCCCCGTAATAAGAATAATGGCCCCAACAAAGACCACAGCACAGCCCCGGTCCGGAATCTTCTGCCCAGCACTTGGGGAAGGGGACTTGCTGCTTTTGCTTCCGTTGCGCTAGCGACAACTGTACGACTACCACTACGACGACTACGATCGTGTACCGATAGAACGAAGACATGCGCCTGTCTCTGATGGTGTGTGTTGAGTCGACAGCGCGTCTTTCTCGTGCGCAGACCCATCGAATCGTGCCCTTTCGCTCACCCATCGACGGTTCGCAAGACACGGATACGCGGTTTATTGACACCTCAACTCTTCTCTTCCGTCTTTGCTTGTCTCATCGGTGTCGTTTCTCCCTTCCGACAAGGCCCGCCGAGGCTGCTTTTTGCGATAGTTGCCCGTGAGACCGTGGCGGGGCCCTGGACCCAGTAGTGGGGCAAGCGTACAGAATATGCGCCCTTTTACGCACCCATTGCACACCGTGTACGAAAGGTTTTATGGCTTTTTGGCTACAGGAGTCGCATGCTTGCCCTCGTGCTTACTCTGAACTTGCCGTCGCTGCTTGGTGCTCTGCTGTTCTCTGCTTTTTTTCCTGCTTCTGCATCCATGCATGCATCGTACACCTGCATGATGTGAGGGATCCGCCAGCATGGTCCCCTCTTCTGCAGCCCTCCAACGTCACCAGCCACGAGTTGTTCCTCCGCTGATAAGGCCGACTTCTGTCGCATCAACTCGTCCGATGGGTTGCGCCCTGCCTGAGTGTCGACCGATCTGGAACGGGGTCTTCTCATGTGCTAATGTGATGTTTGACCCGCGACGCTGCGCGATTTGCGTTGTTCCACGCGCGTTTGCAGCAGAGCGACGGGGGGAGAGAGTGTGGCCAGTCATGCCTTACTCTACCGATGATCAAGTCTGACGTCGTCGTTCGACAAACCTCACATGGACGATTATGCTCGTGGTGTGCAATCGTTATTACAGATCGGCCTGCTTCTACTGGTCCAGCAAAAAAGGCGCTGATGCCATAATAGCATTACATGGACCTGGTCGTGTGCCCAAGTCGCGCAGCCTGCACACCGTGTTTGCGGCTTGAGGGATCTGCTCGTCACGGAACCACTCAGCTTGAGGCATTTGCCAACTCATGGTCGCTCGGCCCTTCAACAAAAATGACTCTTTTAGTCAGGGAACAAGACCATTGTTCGGAACGACAAAGTCCTACCAGCGACCCGGCCCTTGATCTGGCTCAGGGTCTCCGGTGTCTGTGTCTGCGTCGTCTGCGCCTGCTGTGGCCGCACCCTTGCAGCCGCTCCGAAAGCGCAGGCGCGACCCCACAGTCCACTGATAAGAGAAGTCCCGCCCAATCACGGTGCCGCCCGCGACTGCCCGACTAATTCCCTCGCCTCATCAGCCCGCCGCCGCTGCGTGGGGCTCCGGCTGCGTCTTTCTAGACGTCAAACGCCAAGCACGCTGCTCTTCCGAACCACTCCACGCAAAACCTCCCAAATTCGAGATCTCTTACAACCACCCTTTTGACATCCAACCGATCTGCCGGCCGCATTAGCCTGACTCCCAGCCGCGAGCACGGTGTATCGTCCGTCGCCTGGTTCGTTTGGGGACTACAGCACCCTTCGAGCCGTCTTCTGCCCGCCTGCGCCATCAGCGGTCCTAGTGATTCCACCCTGCTTCGTTGTGCTATTGTACTGACGCTACCTCAGTACGCCTTCTAGACTCCCGAAATGGCCACGAAACTTGCTGCACTTGAAGCAAAAGAAAGGGGAAAAAATTGAAAAAAACAAAAACGACCTTGCGTTTTGTGAAACCAACGCTAAACGCCTACCTCTATCAGGGAACATCCACCCAGAAGAGCCTCGTCGATAGCCGAAGGCGATGCACGAGACAAGCTTCGCCCGCGTTTTGCTCCAGCTTAGGAGAAAAGGGAAGATCTGGATGAAAGCACCAGACGAGGTACCTGCATCATCCCTAACCAAAGCCTTCCCACCCCCTTCCCACCCCTTCCTCCTACGACTGTCGCCCTCCTAGGTACGGCTCGCGACTATTTCACGGTTCCGGTCCTCTCATTGGTGCAGCAGCCGGTTCGCAGGCCTAACAATTCACAGCCCGATCTGGTCGGAAGGCTCGTGTTTCTGCTCTTTACATGCGACTCATCGAGGCAGGGCCGGCGGCTTCGGCCGCGTCGATCCGGTCCAGCAGCTCCAGCTGGAGCAGCAGGCTTGTTGGGCTCTCCATACCGGGTTGAGATGGCCTTGGACAGGAATGTCTCCCAGTACGCCCAGAAGGTAGCTCGTGCTGACTACAATGGGTTTTAAGGAAGGGTCTCTCCAATTATGTGAGATTGGAGAGTTGCGGGAGCCAGACGAACGGCCACGCAACAATCCTGCGGCGCTTGTCTCCGGGCTTGGTTTGGTCCACAAACGCAGCGTGTCTTCGCCCGGCGCTCATGGAGTCATTGCTCTACCCTCTTCGCTATTGTAAGACACATGCCCATTCCAATGTCCCTCCGAAGAAAACTCGCACGTCACCGCTCCGGCAGGACAAGTCGAAGCCCTGGTTTTACGTTGGTTGAGACTCTTCCATGGGTAGGACAAGCTCTCGAAAAGCTGACCCCATGCGTCGCATCCGGCGCTATCCCCACACTGCAAGAGCGGGTTCCATGGAGCGGAAACACCCGAGCAGACTTTGATCGTCGTTCCTGCGTACCAAGAAAACCAGCACAGCGTGTTCATGTTGCTATTTTGGGTTCGACCGACTGGTACGCCAGAGCGAGAATGTGTAAGCAGAGGCCGCACCCTTAACCACGTCGTAAGACAACCCTGCGGCGTCTCGCCGCTGTAACGCGTCCTGTGCTGTATGATTTTTGTGGACGTGCACCCGTCCAAGCCGTAGCCGCTGCCTGTCACCACCCGTTTCTTATCAAAGCCTGAATGGCCTTTCATGCCAAGAACTTCGTCCAACTACTGGCCACTTGTCGATGGAGAAACCTCCCCCTTCTCTTTGATAACAAAAACTCCCTAACCTGCTCCTTCTCACATGTGCCATACTTTCCCATAGCGGATGCCTCGGATTCGTGCTTCCTTTTCAGTGTCTAAAATCAGTCAGCGCAAAACGTCACATTCTGGCACGCGCGTAGAGGAAATTGACTTACGGTGGTTGGCCGTCTGCGACAACAGACACCCACCCTTCTCTATTTCTCCGCCCGGCCCACATGTGAACTATGTCAAACTTAAGAGAGCAGTTCATATTCAGCCTTTCCTAGCGAATCATATGTATATTTTCTCACTCACAAGAACTCATCTGGTCACCCGGACAGGAAAATAAAAAAAATTTTCTCTAGCATGATTTTACCGTTTTTATTTCCTACGCTTCCGCTTCCTTTTCCCATCTGAGTCAGCCTCGACAAGAACGTGACACGACAGAAATTTTTTTTTCTTTTTGTTTTTTTGAAGAGATATGTCGATGCCTTGCTTCTTAGTGCTTAAGTCAACTTTTGGGATTCAGCATCTATTTTTCTTTGCTTTGTTTTCTCTTTTTGGTCATATCGACCGACCGTCGTGGACGACGTCACGTCTACCTCGCCTCCGGGAATGCACCGTCACGACCCTGCGGTTTCAGCCTTTCGAGTTCTCTTAAGATTGACGTATCTAGCAGATATCACACGCGCAGCTGTTCATGCAACTGGCTACTCGCCAGCGCTGACGACGAAGTGGGGGCAATAAAGGAAACAGTCTCTTTGTTCAACTTTGCATCCTATTCGAATCGGGAACGGGGGATGCAACTTGTGTATATTCATTACTCAGCTTCCCAGCAGACAGGGACGCCCCTCCTTCCTTTAGCTACGTTCTAAATCGTGAGCGATAGTGTACAACCCGCTTTTCCATTTGCCGCAAAGCTTAAGGGGCAAATCTTGCTTCTCCTTCTAGTCTTTTTTTTGAGGGCGTGGCGGAGGTCTGAAAAATAAAAAAAACCACGTCGTGCGATCCTTCCGAATCCCACCTGCCTCCTGCTTGAAAGCAGTGGGTGTAGTTTTCCTGCAGCAGCGAGTGTGATCTGTCGCAGCAAGCAAACACAACGAGCGGCACGTTCTGACGCACTATTTGGCACTGATGCCTTCTTCGGCCCTTGGCTTGACCTTATTTGACTTTGGAGCAATGCGCGCCATCATCTCCTCTTTCGTGATCAGATGGTCAATGCGCTCCAAGAGACCGAGCAGAGTTTTCATGTTGCTACTCCACTCATTCAGCACATCGTCGGCGTCTCGAGGCTTCGCGAAGCTGATGATCCGTGCGGGACGATCGATCTTGGCGTATATGGTCTTGGCTGTGACAAGATCGCTGATGTACTTCTCCGTCTCATCTTCCGTCAGGTTGAGCAGCTGGCAAAGGCGCGGCATGCGAATGCGCGTGTAGTATTTTGCCACGACGCGTACGTTGTGCTCGATGACACGCTTGCGCAGATCCTGCCAGCGCTGGAATGCCTTCTTGGCGTTCTCTGGCGCCGAAGGCGGCGGCTCGTTCACAGAGAACACGTCTGTCGCGCCGAGATAGTCGGCATAGCTGGCCGCAATGTTGGGCCAGTGCATGATTTCGTGAGTGGTGAAAAGACGTAGGAGTTGCTGCTCGCGGGGGAGCTCGGCGTAGCGAGTGTCAGACTTGATACGGTGGAGAAGGTCGGACTGTTCGTTATCATAGGGAGCAAGGAGGATGTACCAGCAGACACGCTGTAGCGTCTTGATGGCGTTAGTCGACACGAGAACACTGTCAGAACCAGAAGAACGAACTTACCGCTTTCAGCTTTTCTGGATCTTCTTCGACCAGCTCGGTGTCCAAAACTTGTCGATAGTGCTTGCACACCTCTAGATACTTGTCGTCGTGCTTCGCCAGGGTGATCTGTTGTTCGTAATACCGCAACTTGAGGTCTGTGACGTCGTCCTCTGGCTCTGGAACTGGATCATCCACGCTACGTTTCTTCTCCGCCTCTTCTCTCTCCTTGCGCTCCTTCTCCAGCTGCTCAGGCGTTTTCTTGGGTTTCCTCGTAAAATATCGCGTGCTGATTTTGCGTCCTAGTATGGCGGCCTGCGTCCAGTCGCCGCTATCTATACAAAGCTGAGTCTGATCTAGAATGAACTCAGTCTTCTCCCGCCTCGACATGGAGCCGAAAGTTTCGACCTGCAGCTCGCATAGAATGTCTCGCGCCGCCTTGATGTCACCTTGCCCCCTTTTAATATCAGATAACATGCGTGTCACGCGGGCTCGCTCGACCTCGACAAAGATCTAAGCCGCTTTAGTACGCGCATCCCTTAACCTACAAGGAGCAACCGGTGCCACATACCTTGCCCTCCGTGACCGTGCGTAGTGTCTCAATGGTCGCCAGCTTTCTGTCGAGATCTGGCATGTCGTCCAGGAAGCCCATGACGACTTGAACCATCTTGGTGGTGGCTTGCTTCAGCTGTCCATGCTTCTTCGACAACGCAACCACCTGCTCGTCCAGCAGCTTCCAGTCCTTCGCATCTTTACATATCGTGACTATCGCTGTGAGGATCCTCGATGTTGAGGGGAGATCTGACGCCTGTTCGAAGTGTCAACATTTCGCCCTCGCACCATTTGCTTGCGAGCAACACTCTACCTGTCTGGTCTTCTTCTCTAGCACAAGAAGCTTGTCGATGGCGGCTTGTGGATTCGACTGTCGTCCTGTCAGCCCGCCTCGCATTTTGCATTGCATTTTACGCGTGTGTGTACCTTAGCGAGCTGCTCAGCTTCTGGCAATAGCTTGTCCACCTCCTTCGAATAGTCCTTCTCAGCCCGTAGCACCTCGCCTGACATCTTGACGAGATTTCGAAGAATATCTAAAAGGGAGGGCTATGAAGTTTTGAATCAACGACTGTTTATTTGGAAAGAGGGTTTGCGACGAATGATGCAGTGATGAGTTGAGATGCGCTCCGAGACCGTGAACTCGCGGATGCTGATGCCTCAGCCGCTAATGCCTCAGGCACTCAGCCTTATCAAATTCCTCGACGAACGACTGGCTCGTCACGCAACATCTGCACTCCAACGTTGTAGCAGTATGCAAGCGAAAGGCGATACGTTTGTTATACCTTATTTTGGAATATGGGCTAAGCTTATGCTAAGCCTGGTTCCGACAGGCTGATTTGAAAGGCCCTTACATACGACCAGAACTCATCAGCGACAGAAAGCGAAGCAACGAACTCCTAGTACGTGTCGTCTAGAGTCGAAAGAGCCGTGCTTTCCGGAAGTCCAGCGAACCCTCCTGATGTTTCATGCGCAGTCCGCTTGAGACGAACTGGGCCTATCTTCCGCTGAGAAGACGCTGAGGGAAGTGTGTTCTGACAAACTCAAGTTCCTAGGGCTCCAGCTAGTCAAGACATAAGCCTTATTGCGTTAGAACTTGGACCAGGCGAACGCTACATGTTATGTATCTCGTCTAGTTGTGATGAATCTACAGTCCTTAGCCGTTCCTGATACGTCACATATCTACCCCGTTAACCTCGTTGTTTTCCGCCTCTTAGAACTGGAGACTCCACATGTCAGATATGCCACCCTGAATCAGACTCCTCCGTTTACAACATAATTGTCTGCTAGGTCATGCAGAAGTGTGAGACCAGTTCTGAACAATGACCGTTCTTGAAAATGACATTTAGCTTCGTGCGACCATGCTATCCTTCGTATTTGCACAAGCGGTATATTAGTGTCGTTGAAGGAAAGGCAAAATTGCACCAACTATACACTCCTCTCGGCGTATGTGACCGCAACACATGAAAACATGGAGCGAAATTGAATGATGCCAGAGAACTTACTTCATTTTAGGCGCAATACTTCGGTGTAGCCTTAAGGATGCCGGCTTTCAAAGCACGAAGAACTACGCAAAATCCAATACGATGCTTTCTCAAGTCAATCTGGACCTTAGATGCATTGGATCTTCAGTGAAAAGACAGTTGGACGATGACGTATCGATGGCGAGCGCAAACGTCGAGATTGATATCGACCAATCGCAAGAGTATGGCACATTCATGGAGCAATTTTTTTTAGCAGAAATTGGAAAAATCATCTTTTGGCGAGTTACAGTCAGCACATCTCACATCAAAATCATAATCCGAAAATGAGAAGCATTTCCTTAACCGTTCCTCGTCCATCGTAGACGCGTGCTCAGGCTATCAATCCGACCATCGCCGCTTTCAATGGTCCTCTTTATCTCTCGATATACCTTCGCACTATGCTCCTCTGTGCCAGCATCTGGGGATGGACCTACGGCCACCCTTTCGATTCTACCATTCAATTCCACTCGAATGCGTGCAAGGATATTGTTTGTGAACAGGATCTCGATTTCCTTGGCAGTGGAGTCCAGCATCTTGACGCTACTGACGCCACGTCTATTCTCCAGTTCCTCTTTCAAATGTTTATAAGCTTCAATTCGTTTGTGATGCGCAACCAGCTCCTTTCTCAAAGATCGCACAAATTTTGGCAGATCTTGCGGGGGCCCAGCTTTCAGCGAATTATCTTCACTGACCTTGTACGGGAGGTACTTTTTGACCAGTGATTGCAGCGGTATGCATACAGGGATGGTGTGCTTGTGGATTTTCAGAAGACCAGCATCAGACTCCGGTTGATTCAAAAGCACATAATACGGGGTTATGAACGCGCGGTCTCTCGCAGAAAAGATTTCAATGCGTATTCCGAGGATCTTTCCACCATCTATGGCATTGGGATCCGGATCTTGCACTCGGAAAGCCGTGATACCAGCAAAGGCGCGATGTAGATTTGTGACTGTTGTGTTCTCTTGGTTCGCAATCTGCTCTTTGACAAACTCGATCGCGGTGCGTGGAACGTCTGCATTCGGACTTGAATGCGCTATTTGTGACTTCAATCGACGCGACGAAAGCAGAGTATGCGATAACAATGAGCGTCGGTGACGAAGCGCTTCGACTGAAGTGAGGGTCAGCTTAGGCGTTGGCACGGAGACGACGTGAACACACTTTGAACGCGTACAGCAGCAATATCTTTGTCGATTGGCGACTCTGCGACCAATATTTGCTCCATCGTAGCGCAATGGTATGGGTGTAAACGTCTGTTCTCAGATGCCCAACTAAGGCGTTTCAGACTCGAGACTTGAGAGCGCGTTGTTTAGAGTACAGATCGTCACGTGCAAAATGTAGGGCTGAGCTTATCACAGGTCTCTATGCCGATCTTGGTAAAGCAGCTCACCTTTTCGCTCATCTCCGTCCCCCTCACAGCCAGTCGCTCGGTTTTCTCTGTCCCATGGGTGACATATATAAACAGTGCATTTCTCTGCTGCCTAATTGTCATTGCTATTTGACCTGCAGCCGTCAAACATCGATTCCAAAAAAGGAATGGCTTGTAGATGCAATACGAGAGGAGCCAAACACTGCCTTTGATTACCAGAGCAGACGTGTAGAACCTTCATGAATCTCACAAAACGAATTCAACTCATTGTTTTTGATTTCTACGATCATTACAGTGAATTTTTGCTTCTCCGAGTTTATCGAGATGGACCTTACGAGTCTTTGGACTGCCCCATTTCCATCCAATTCCGCCTTGACAACGTCAAACCTTCAAAGTCTTGAGTCTGGTAGCACCCGTTTTAAGATGACAGACGATTCGTATGAAGTAAATGCACAGGACGTCTCAAGTACAGATGAACCGATGCCGCTCAGTAGGGATTCCTCATCATTCGAGACCAACAGCGTGACCAACCCACGCCGGAAACCCATCCCTCGTAAAGGCCACACGAAATCAAGAAAAGGCTGCTACAGCTGCAAGAGAAGGAAGATCAAGTGTCCCGAGACGAAACCACAGTGTGAAAACTGTGTGAAAGCTGGTGTGACCTGCGAGTATCCCGCTTCCTCAGACAACCGGCTCGTTCTTGCATCCGCACCAGCCTCCCCTTTAGCCTCAAGTCCGACCAAATTTACAATGGATGATATGCGCTTCTTCCACTATTTCATCGTCCAAGGTTATCCACATCTCCCAATCGGTTCTGACCACACGTGGACCATGGAGATCCCCGCTATCGCCCATCAGGTAGGTTCAATGGTCCATTGCCTACATGCAGTTTGCAGATGCTCACAGATAAAGTATGAATATCTCATGAGAGCTATACTCGCTCTAGGAGCCTCACATTTAAATCTCACTACCAAAGAAGATCTACACTCAAAAGCTTTGGCACATCGAATCGATGCTATCACACTCCTAAACAAGGCTCTTTCGCGGGCAGCAGAAAGTAGAGAAGAAGTAGACGCGCGTTTCGCAACGTTCATGGTGTTAACGTTTCAAAGCGCATGTATGCCTGAAGGTCTTAATGACTTCCTGACTATGCTACGTGGTTGCATCCTGAACGGTCCTTTAGGGGAAGAATCGTACTTTAAAGCCTTCTCTGAGGGATGCTATCTGGAAATTATGGATAAGAGATTCACGGAAACGCAGATAGAGTCGCTGGATACTAAGACTCTTGGGGACGCTCTGATCTCGCTTAGCAACATCCAGGCAATGTGCGAGACGGAGACAGAAAAGGAGTACCATGCGATTCTGACACAGGTCGCGGTTAAGGGGTTCTCATCGCCGAGGGGAGGTCAGTACATCTACTCAGTAACCAAATCCAGCGCTGATACAGTACCAGCTTACCAAGCTTTTGTTAAGCTTTATCATTATATGGGAACGATTTCACACAGTGATTTCCAACGTCTCCTCGACAGTAAGAACCCCACGTCACTACTCCTGCTGAGCCACTACCTGGCCGCTCATGTACTACTGCGATATTTATCAGCGTTCGAGTTACACGAGCCCCGCGCTAGTCTCATTGACGAAATCCTGAAAGGCTGGATGGCCATGATTGATGGTTCCCTGCCGCCGGAATACAGAGTGTATAATGAATGGCCTCTGTTTTTCGTAAGACATTGGGCACCAGTTATTTTAAGCCGAAAAGCTATCACTATGTCTGCGTAGTGGAAAGTCAACTTCTTACCAAAGAAGAGAACGTTGCAATGGCGATACTATCCGAATTACTCAATTAAAGATTCTGAGGATCCACAAACCCGTTCTATCTATGGAAAAATCCTGCGAACCAGAACCAAGATAGCAGCGATACCAATATTCTGCTCCCAACGCCATCGCTTCTGCAGGGTATCATGTATTTTCCAGCCTGATACACTCCAAGCAACCAAAGAAGCTCACGGACAAAACAAAAACACTAAATCCGAGCAAACTATGCATATCTTTCACTCTCATGCTTTGCCTCCGTGACAGCTCTTCCATTCTGGCGTTCCTCAATCTGGAGCTCGCTAAATCTCTTCTTGGGCAAGTACCCTGGGGGAAACCAAAGACAGTAGATAGTTATGGCAAACAGCATTGGTGTAGCCTCGAAGACATAGAATGGCCATTCGTTGCTGAAAGGGTATCCATCAATACCTAACGCGAACTCGATGAGGCGGTAAACTGAGCGAGCCTAGATGCACGACCAGAGTCAGTCTTTGGGCCTTCATCACATTGCGAATTTGAACTTACCGCAATCATAGTCGTCGAGAAGACAACAGCCTCAAATGCTTTCTCCCATTTATCAGGTGCACCTTCTCTCTTATGCGGTCCAAAATATGCGCGCTGAGAAAAGATCCACAGTAGAAACAGGAAGAAAATCACCGTTGCCAATTGTGTTGCCAGACCTGCGAGCAGGATGTTTACACCGACATCCTTCGAATTTCCCTCCCAGCCATGAGACGAAGCAATACCAGAACCAACGGCCTGGATGACGAACGAGATGATGTCAACTCCAAGGAATATCTTTGTTAGGACGGTTGGTCGTAGTCCAAGTATCACCGAGTTCTCCACCGGTAGAACAGCAAGGTCGAGACGGCCAAGCAATGTGTAGTTGCCTGCGGCAACGAGAAGAGGCGCAAGGATGATTAGGGTTTGGGATGAAGCGTAAAGACCCTTGATGAGGAATAAGTTAACATAGACATATGCTAAAAGGCATTGTAGTAGTTCTTACAAGGTCGCAAACGTTCTTAACGGACCCTATTCGCAATGCGTAACCCGCAACTTCGAAGACACCACCTACTACCACAATAGTAAAGTACCACGTTCGAAAGTTGAGGATCCTGTGCATTGTAAACACGGTAGGAATAGCGTACAGTGCCGTGAACAGTATGGCAGCCGCGAGGGACGGATTGTAGAAGTAGATGCTACAGTCGTCCATGATTGCAAGCGATTTAGGCGAGCCTGTCTCGTTGTGATTGTTTATATGGGCAGCGTTAGATGTTGGAGTAGCAAGGCGCGATGTGAGAATGTGGTCAAAAGAATGTAAATTTTGTCCAAGGTCAAGGCAACACAATTATATACATAATCTCCTGATGTTTTGCTAACAACGTTTGCCTTGAATGCCCAGTCCTTCGCCGACGCGCCAGAGGCAAGTCATATCCGCGGAATCTACCTGATTTGGAAAGGTCATACAACAAAGCGACAGGCTCTCTATGGCTACGGCCCTTAGTGGATCTGCATTCGGATTGCAGAACAAAGAGTGCGCTGGGTAGAAAAACAAGCGCCACTTTACACTACACCAACTACGGAGCATGGCACGATGGTTTTCGTGCGAAAGATATCGATCAAGAAATGGCGTGAGAAAATTTCAAGGTTGGCATGGTGAATCAGCACCGTGTCATGGTGATCTGCGACGAGGATGCGAAATGCGATAACATGTGGAAGAGTCGTATTTCCCTTGCGGATGACATCACAAACATCGACAATCCAGTCGCGTCTTCGCAAATCTCGTCATCCGGTATGCACACATCTGTCGGAAAAATCAGGAATGAAAAAAAACCTAACTGTGAGCTTCTTCGAAAAGTTGCATTGTCGGGATGGAGATACCGCAATTGTGTCTGGCTGGCAAATTTCACAAGCGAACGTCCGTAACTTCGGTATACCGAGCGTTACCCGGCCTCGGTCCGCACGCCATCTTGGCAATACAGCTTTAATCAATTTAAGCCTTCCCCATCAGTTTTACAGTGACGCAGTGGATGCATGCTCGACGTCACTGGTCATTCTCTTCTTCTCGTCCTCAACAATTTCCTGCCTCGGTCGTTCCTCGACAGTCAAGGAATAGTCACGGGAGAACAGCGTCAGAACAAACATTACCCCTGTCAAAGCCACCACAACCCACCAGATGGTTCGGAGGCCGGAAACAAATGACTGAAGAATTCTTGTTGTTTCTTGCGTGTTCGCCGGCATTCCACGCAAACGCTTCACCAGCAACACCGCATCTTTCGCAGCCTCAGCACCAAGCTCTTTTGCAACCTGGTTGGTAAATGCTGCTTGCGCAACGACGATTCCACATGCCTGACCTAAGACACGAAAAAATGGATTAAGGCTTGCCGCCATGGATTTGACACGTTGTCGCTCTTCAGCTGTACAATTGGCGCGATTTTCTGCAGACGCCTGCGTAGACATGGACAAGGATGAAAATAAAATGCCTATCCCCAGTCCGGATGGTATGTTGAGGACTATCCAGTGGTAGACAGAAGTGCTTTGCTCCAACAAAGTCAGCTCAAGGGCACCGTAAACAAACAAGAGCCAGCCGAGTATACTGAATGGTCGCGTCAAGTGAGTTTTTGCGATAAGCAAGCTAGTTATAATGGTCGAAGGACCGGCGCCGACAAGCTGTGGCAAGAGCGCGACGCCGACAATAAAGGTGGAATAGCCTTTGACACCTTCATAATAGAGCGGTAGGTAGTAGATAAGACAGAATTGGCAGAGGCCTAAGATGAAAGTTCCGCCAAAGCTGACAGCTGCAGTACGGTCGCTGAGCACAACGGCTGGAATCATTGGGCTTTTACAATACTTGTATGAATAAATGAACCAGGCAGATAGACAAAGAATGCCAAGCAGTAATGGGAGCAGTGTTCCAGCACTGCGCCATGGATGGAGAACGCCGCCCTGTCAAAGAGTATGAGTAGCTGTGACAACGAGCAGCCGCTGTGCCTTACCCAAGAGATCGCTAACAATATCAAAGCGATGGAAACAGCGAAGACAATATTTCCAGTCCAATCAACCGCACCCAACCGAGCCATCAGCGATTTTTCACTCTTGTTGTCAAATTTTAGAAAGAGGATGATCAAAACGTAGCAGATGGCGGCGAGTGGAAGGTTGATCCAAAAGATCCATCGCCAGGAAACCAGCGCGAAGCCGCCTCCAATCAATGGCCCAAGGATGGTGCAGACGGTCCAGACCAAGCCGACGAGGCTGTAGTATCGGCTACGTTGCTCAAGGTTGAACAGACGTGCAAGAACTACCCAGGTCGTAACCATTAGACCCCCTCCTCCGATCCCTTGAATGCAGCGCCCTGCAATTAGCACAGCGATGTCCTTTGCGAGCGCAGCAACAAGCGATCCGACAGTGAACGAGGTCAGCGCCGTCAAAACCGTGTACTGCTCGTGGACCAATGATAGAGATGCGAAAATCGGCTGGACCACAGCGGAGCAAAGAACAAACGCCGCTCCAGCCCAATAAGTCGAAACACTCGTCGCGCTGAAATCTTCTGCAATTGTCTGGCAGATGTCAGCGTTCATTAGTCTCTTCTGTCTTGTGCAAGTCCGAATCGTACTGGCAAAGCGACAGTCAATGACGTAGAGTCAATGGCTGCCATGAAATTCCAACAACAGAGTGCCAAAACACAGAACAGCTTCGAGCCTGGAGAAGGCATCGTTATTCTTGCAGACGTAACGACTGGCTCACTCTGATACAATTCGGCAGGAGAATTCTGTTGTGCGGCCTCGAATCAAAGATTATATGTAGCCAGAGCAGAGAGCCAATGCCAATCTATCATCTGAAGTTGAGATTCATTTCCGCGCTGGATAGCTTTGCATGCAGTCACACCAAACGAGGATTTGGAACGGGCGCGCCGAAGGTCGATCCCCAGGGGCGACTTAACCGAAGTGCATAGCACAGAACGCATCGAAAGAGGTCTCACGCGGTATATGGCTCAAAAACTGGATCGCGCCGATGTAAATGTCCGGATATGAAGCGCGGCCCATTCAGCCTTGCGTCGACGACGTTCTGCTGGAAATGGACAGGGATGTAAGTCCGGAATTTACAGTATCAACAGGTGTGGGTCGCTCCACCAAAGATAGGGACGCGAGCCATATACATGGTCTTTTTGGTTCATCAACGGTTGCCCGGTAGCTTTCTGTACACGTTGCGGTGCAGAGGTAGCCGAATTCTTCGATGCAGGACGGAGGCTTTGCGAAATCCATCATGGCCGAGAGCAGATTAGCGCCATGAAACAGCGACAGCGCTCGTGCATGCTCGCGTTTACACTGCCAATCCTGTCCTTTCTTGAAAGTTGGTGGCATTCTGCGCTTCTAACAACTGGCCGATCTGGTTACCATTCGGCGTTTGACATTCTGGCATAATTCTCGGAGCGCGCGATGCGTTTGACAGATGCAGATACTGGACGCGTCCGCTGATATGGGTTGCATCTTCGGCTGCATGATTTGTCCGTCGGCGACGGAAACATGGGTATGCTTTTGCTACTACGCGACAATCAAGTAGCAAAGGTATTCTTCCTCAAAAACGTCATTTAACGAACTAAATCAATGCTGTATTGACTGAACTGCGCGGCGAGCGTTGTATTCTTTCCCAGTCTAGCCTTGATTGCCGACCTGGGGGTGTAGCCAGTTTCAATGCAGTGTAACAACGGCGTCATGACTTCATGTAATCTTGGTAACTTTGCGTACCTCACTAAATGGACGGATCTCGCTATCGCTAAGCGCTGGAGCGAAGCGAGCCCCGACCTGTCCGCGTGGAGCCATGCGCGGGTTGTTAACTACTTCGCATCTCGAAAGACGGTCATCGCATGTTCCGAGACACTAACAGCAAAAAATTCGCGCATGTGAAGGTTCAAAGCAATAAGATACACGCCCAGGGACGGCGAAATGTGCAGAAAGAGTGGTCCCTTACATGTACTTGCGTGTCTGATCAGACAGTTATCCCACCTCCTTCCGTCTTTGACTGGCTAACCGAGCAGTCTAGACCACGCCTAATTCTGACGGAGTATAGCTTAGATACAAGATGCTAATCGTTGTATTCATCCGTATCCTGCGGCAGTGTCCACCGACCAGCGGAGAAGCAGTCCACTTATCTGCCCGCATCACATTGCTCGCTTGTACAGGGCGACATATTCTCTCTGCTGAGCTTGTCGGTCTAACGAGCTAATGCTCGACACTGCCAAACCTATCAACCTGCCCTGGCTCCGTAGTATGTACCCACATGCTTTGATCTCAAACAGGACATTGGCGCACTGGAACAGGTCCCGGAGCCATCGCGTTGGCCGAATTTACCTCCACCAAATGAAAACAGATTGTCCCTGTCAGAACGTAATCGGTTCGGCATCATGGTAGGAACTGGAGTGATGTGGCGTGGACCCCTCAAGGGACGACTTCAGAAGGAGACGTGGAACTGAAGACATCTCGATGCCCAAAGTTATGGTACCGTCTGCTCACAGGGTCGATATGTAAAGACGTGAGTATATATATGCACACCAGCCCCGCTGCCGTCCTTGCCACGAGATCCTTTGCATTGATACTCACTCTAAAGGATTCGACTCCTCAACATATTCGTTATGCCTTCAAATACGTTATCCCTTGGCTTCGACAATCTCAAGGCGGGTTCCTCAAAAGTGCATAATCAGCGTGTATGGAGCGGAGGCTTTTACTTTGTGCTGGGAGCTGTGTCTCAGCTTCTACTCCATGAGCTTTACGGAATGTTCAAAAATGGCAAAAGCACCCTGACATCACCCACGCTCACTTTTCAGACCGTATTCGACACGCTGGACTTGCTGAATGGAAACCACACGTTGGACTTGCCATCGATATATTATGCCGAGACATCGAGCCGGCAAATTCAGCAAGCCAAGGAGCATTGGGTGAGCGTTCAGCATCAGATCTTGACCTTGCCGAATTTCTTGCGGCCTCTCTTTCAAGACCATGCCGCGATATATCTCCTATGCGGCAGCTTCGCTGTATATGTTATCGCGAGGATCGCGCTCGAGCTTCGCAGGCGAATGCTGTTTGCTCGCCACGCGGCAGCAAACGGCTGTCTGCCTCCTCGGACCATGCCACACTCCTCGAAACTCAGCCGATACCTGGAGGTTTCCAAAGTCGACGCCAACTTGCTGGACGAGTACTTGTTCAAGAAGTACCAGGCGAACGGCTTGACGCACGTCTTGGCAACGTACTTCACTAAAAGGGTCAAAGCCATTTCGACGATCGAGCCGGAGAATTTCAAGGCTGTACTTGCCACCTCGTTTGACGATTGGCAACGGCCGCCCTTCCGTGCCGGCGCGGCCCATCCCTTTCTGAAAGTCGGCATCTTGACACTGGTGAGTGTACTCGTCCAACTAGCCTGCCTTCCCTTGCTCTGCATCGTTTTCTGGGCCAAAGTGGCATTCGGGCTCACGATGCTGTTTTAAAGGACGGCCCGCACTGGGCGTACTCTCGCAAGATCATGAAATCCCAGTTCACACGGAAGCAGATTGACGCCAATCTCGCAGCCAGCGAGCGTCACCTGCAGGACATGTTTGAGGCGATGGGGCGGACAGACTACAACGGCTGGACGGACACCATCGACCTCATGGAGTTCTTCTTCCGCTTTGCGATGGACTCGTCGACGGAGTTCCTCTTTGGGCTGTCAGCCAACACGCAGCTGTGCGCCATGGTCAGGAAAGGCACCAAGGACGCGACCGCGGCCACCGTGTCGATGGACGGCTTCGAGGAGGCCTTTGTGCGGGTGCAGAAGCACGTCGGCGTCCGGATGAAGATGGGCAAGTCGTACTGGATGGTCGACGGGTGGGGGTACCGCAAGGCGTGCCGAGACCTTGGGAACATCATGGACGGATTCACGCTGGCATGTATGAAGCATGCGCAGCAGAAGCTCTCGCAGCCCGGGTACGAGGCCAGCAATGTGATCGAGGCGCTGGTCGCCAACGGTCACGACCACGACTACATTGCGAACCAGTGCCGGCACCTGATCATCGCCGGGTTCGAGACGACGTCGGCGCTGCTGGGTTTCAGCTTCGCTCTCGCCGAGCGCCACCCGCGCGTCTTCGCCAAGCTGCGCGACGAGGTCATCGCCAGCTTCGGCACGGAGGGCCTGCCCCGACTGCCGCTGACCTTCGAAAACCTCAAGAATTGCAAGTACCTGCAGCACTTCCTCAACGAGACGCTGCGCATGTACCCGGCAGGGCCGAGCATCCAGCGCGTCGCCGCGCGCGACACCGTGCTGCCCCGCGGTGGCGGCACCGACGGCACCGGCCCCATCGCCGTGCCCAGGGGCGCCACCGTCCAGCTCGGCATCTACCTCTGCCACCGCCGTACCGACATCTGGGGTGACGACGCGGCCGAATTCAGGCCGGAGCGGTGGGAAGGGAGGAAGAAAGGGTACGAGTACATCCCTTTCATCGCAGGCCCTCAGATCTGCCTTGGTCGTAAGTTTGTCACCCCCTTCGCCGCAGCCGTCTTTCTACGCGCTCGTGCGCCCTTCAATCGTTGCCTGCTGACGGACTTTTTCTCCGCTTTCTAGAACAATACTCGGTAACGCAGGTCGGTTACGTGCTCGCTCGCTTCTTGATGCGGTACGATGCCATGGAGAAGCCCATCGGACAGGACAACCTTCGCAAGGGGTGGCAGACCGTGTTGACGCCCGGCAACGGCGTCAGGATGCGTCTGCACCTGGGTCCGGATCACCGCGCACTGAACTTGCTGTCCTCCGCTCTGTAGGCGTTGCGCGAGCTCTGCCAAGTCGAAGAACAGTCACAGTGAGGCAGAAGCGAAAGGAAAACCGGCCACTCTGAGAGGATTATATTTAGCAATTATGTTTCTTCACATTTTTTTCCCTACACATTCCCGCACTTGGTGCAACTCCTTGTTCGTGCCGCGATGGAGCAAAACTAGGAGACGCGCTAAGTCGGCATTAGGCAAAAGACACCTTCAAAATATTTCTTCCACGTGCTAGATCTCATTCCTTCCACCACCTTTTCCACCTTTTCCTCCACCCTCCCTCTCTTTCCTTGTCATTTGCAGACCCGAGAATCAACTCTGCCCAGATTCTCACGTCGCCCATATGTTGCACGCCCAAAAGAAGAATGTGGTGCAAGTAACTTTTGGTTGTTCAGTGTCGTTGAGAGATCAGCGGAGCAGGACCTGTTGTAAGAGGTACATTGCGAAATAACGATGTCGATTTCGATGAGAATGAGGACGATGCGTGATGCGTAATGTAGATGCAGAAGAACCGACGTCAGATCTATGAAAGGGTATATGCCAGAGCTACCGGAACCAAGAGCATCGACTTGATAGGCCGCTGGCTCCACTCAAATGTGTCATATCCTCCGGTAGAAGAGAATGTAAGCCACCTTATTATCTTTGACATTCTCTTTCCGCGGCGTCTTCGTGCCAGCCGAACTTGGCGTCATGTTGCCGTTCGCGATCGCGCTCCACTTCTTCGTTCCTGTCTCTTTAGGGCCGGCTGTGTTCCATCCACCCTCGGACTGATTGTCCTCCTCATCGACGGCGCCAAATTGGTCAAACAGATTCTTGCTGCTTGCGTCCTTCTTGTGCTGTTCCAAAGCCTTGGCTAGCACTTTTGGGTCTTCCTCAGCGCCACCCTCCGCGACATCTTCAGCGCGGAGACGACGGATGATCGTGTCGTCGACACGAATCCATTCTCGGCCCTCCTGACGGCGTATATCGACCGTGTAGTGACCACTGCTAGCATTCTTTCCATGATGATAAATAACGCCTTCGAGCCTGTATTTTGGTAGGCCGTTGATAGCCAGCTGTCCTCTCTTCTGTTGGGGGAAAACCTCCTTCGGGATGGTCAACTCAAGCGGATAGCCGACCTTCTTCCAGATCTTCTGTGTGCCGCCCATATTGTTGTACTCGAATCGCTTCAAGTGCAGTATGAGCACAGGTGGAAGAGTTTCAATGAATATTTGCTTTGTGGCCGCGACATCGGGGCCACGGGGTGAGTTGAAATCACCGTGTATGGTTTCGGACCGCGTCAGTCCCTTCAGGGCATCTACAATATTGTGTACATCAGGTGCACCGATATCCAACTGCAGCGGCTGATATGGCTGGAACGTAACCGAGTTCTTCTTACCCGGTACACGAAGTTCAGATCGGAGAGTCCCGCCAAAGATCTTGGTGATGGGCGTATCGTTGTATGTATGGCCAGAAGTATGGGTAATCGCGGCCTTCTGCTTAGGGCCAACCTCTTGCCAGCCTGAATCAGCGACAGACGAGCGCTCGCTAGCTGGAGAAACTGGCTCCTTGGATTCGATTGCGGAAATGGGTATGGAATTGATTACCTTCACGCATTCGTCGTGGAGCTGCTCAAGGAAGAAGATGAGAAATTCTTCCGCATCCTGCTGGTGCCCACGTCTCATGGAAGAGAAGCGCGGCAGTCGCTTGATGGCATCGTACACATTATCAGGCCTGAAAGCATCTCCGAATTGCTCCAACTCTTCGCTCTTCAGTCGCATGCGGAGTTGCTCGACGGAAGCGGCAGAATCTATGACTGGGTATTCGCGCAAGAAGAGAATCGTTGCGTCAAGAAGCGGGGTGTCACTCTTGAAAGAGTGAGCAGCTCGCTTGCCGACCATATCGATGAAGTTGTAGAATGGTGTACAAAACACAAGAGTTTGCAAGACCTAGGCTTCTCGTTAGCGTGAGCGCAGGTTCGTTACTCGTCCGTCTACCTACAGAATTCATATAACACATGTTGCCCGTGTTTACAAGGCCTCTGGGCATGATGAAAGCAACTTTTTCAGCTGAATCAACGGCGAAAGAGCGGACAGCCTCAGCCATATTGTTTGCCTTAGATGCGCCGGATGAAGCTCCTGTAGCGATGCCATTAGAAACTGAGGGAGAAGGACCAGACGAAGAAGCGCCTTTGGTCCGCACGAGGTCAGCCCAGAGTTTTGGGGCTGGTTTGGGCGCAGAGACCGAGGAAGCCTCGTTCGTCTTAGCAGGCCCAGACTCGGGAAGAGCGGCGTCCGGATGCTTAGCCTCTTCAGAAGCAGAGGGCAAAGGAGTAGTAGCTTCAGCAGCAACAGCAGCGTCTGCCGCGGAGACCTTTCCCGATTCGCTTTGCGACGCCGTGGAGTGCTTGCGAGTCGCCGAAGCCGGAACTTTGGGTATGATTGGTACAGCTGGGCGAGTGTGTGCTCTAGTTTGACTCGAAGCGGGAGTGGTCTGGGACACAGATGACGGTGTCACAGGCTGCTCCCCCGCCTCTGACGGTGCTTGCGATGTAGCTGGCGTTTCCTGGTCCGATGGTGCCGCAACGGTCGATGCTTGCGACTCCGTCTGCTCTTCTGTAATCTCACCCGGCTCGAGTGGATCTTCGTTCTGAGCAGGATCTGCCTGATGGGATTCTGCGTCGCGTGTGGGGAGCTCGAGACCAGGCGTCGAAGCAGCTACCTGACCATGCTTTCGTCTCCGTCGCCGAGCTGCAGCGGGAAAAGGCTGATCTGGTACTGACAGCCACGGGAGCTGCATACCTTGTTAGCTTTGTAATCTTTCTCAGCCTGCACGTCGGCAAAAACATACCGGGGGCTCAAAAACGGTGTTTGGTGCTGGCGTGCTCTCGATATCCGATGATTCTGCAGGGGCAGGGTTGGCAAGCTCTGCTGCTGCCGTCGACGGACGAGAAGGTGTGGACGTTGGAGGAGGCGTCGAGATCGCTGTGGACTGTGCTGAAGGTACAGGTGACGGCTGGGGCAGCGAATGCACAGATGCGGCCGAGGGGGTGACGGGGGCAGGCTGCATTGGTACTTGCGAGTGTGCCACCGGAGGCGTGGGGATGTGCGGCCGTGTCATGGCAGGTGGTGTGTAGGGGTGAATGTGCGGCTGCGAGGAGACTACGGCAGGAGTATACTGCTGGGGAGGCGGCATTGGAGGCGCGTACTGCTGAAAGTGCTGGCGCGGAGCCTGCGAATAGCCCTGGGGAGGATACGGCTGCTGCGGATACCATTGATGTGGGTGGTAGGGCGCATTGGGTTGAGCATAGTACGGATGTGGGTGTTGGTGAGGGTGGTAGTAGACCGGGTGCGCCTGAGGAGGATAGCCGCCATATTGGTAGTCTTGCTGCCGCCTATTGGGAACCATCTGGTTCGGCGGCATGGTGGGCATCATGATGCGAAGACGAGCGATTTGCCGTCACGGCGGCCTGGTTGTCACGCCAGCAGCCGCCTGTGAGGCAACTCGATGACTAGCGCAAACGGCGTGGACGAGCCGCGTGCGCGCACAGAGACGGACCGAAGCTGGACAGGGCGAAACCGCGACGCGATGAGGACGAGGACGAGAAGGCGAAGATGAAAATTGAATCGCGGCCGACGACGACGGTCGTGTCCGTGTGCTGGGCTCCGATGCGGACGGGGTCTACTGGGACTCACGGGGTGAAGATCGAGCACCACGCAACAAGCTGCCGAGAAAAGCAGATTGGACGCCCATGTCGAGACTACGACGAGACGGAGGATGGGAGCGTGCAGTCCACACGACGCCCGACAGATGGACGGGGCGATCCGGCGCGGACAGTTGATGCAGGCGGTGAAGGGGGCGAAGGTGGTAGATGTGGAGGTTGTGTTGGTGGAGGTGGTGGTAATGATGATCGTGCAGCGAGGAGTCTCGGGATCGTGTGTAGGTTTGGGTCGCGGCACAAATTATTTGTCTGACTAAGCCGCGTCGCCAGTAACTTAACTTAAGTTACGGTAACTTACTTAACCTACGAAAGCGTAACAATGAGGCCGGTCCGCTCGCCACCGCGTGAGCAAGGCGACGGAAAGGAGGCAGACCTTGGCTCTTGACTCTCGCTGCTGCTGCTGCTGGTGCTCGTCTGCCGTCTCCCGGCCACGGTTCTTGGGTCGGTTCTCGTCCAAACACGCATCAACTTTTTTCCCTTTCTTGATTGTTTCCTCCCTCGTCACTGGCCCGCCGACCCGCTCGCCTCCGTGCGTCGCGTCATTGGTCACGTGACGCGGGCCCTGAGTCAGAGCGCAGCTGGTTCTCGGGCGGCGACCCCAACTCTGCTCACCACCACCATCCTCCTCTTACCACAACCCCAACACCTCTCGGAAGGGGGACTCATCTCCCCCCTCATTCAAACTTATACATGGTCTTCGGACCGCTCATGTCGCTTGCACGCGCAGTTGTTCCTCTCGTTTCACTCCACCCTCGCCCTTCCCCTTCGCGTCCCCTGTCTTCTGCTTCGTAGGACCCGTGGTTCGGCGTAGTGTCTGTGTCTCCCGACACGCCGTGATGGCATCCAACCTTTCGCCCGCCATTGCCGCCTCCAAAGCAGCTAACAACACAAAGACAAGCTCGACGTCGGGCCAGCTTTCTCCAGCGTCGTCGCAGGCATCCTCTATACCCGTCGGCGGCCAGTACCCGCCGCAGCGAACGAGTGGGGTACACGGACAATCACGGGCTGGACCTACCCCTCGCAACAACCAACATCAGCGCAAACAGAACAAGTCCAGCAAACGATACGTGCGCTTGGCAGATGAGGATGCCATTGCGGAATCCGTGTGTTCCTCTGCCTTTGCCCGCACGAAACCTGCGGTGACGTCAAGCATTCACTGACGCCCTTCCAGGTCGCCATGAAGTCGTCCACTTCTCGGAAGGGCCAAACGTCCATCACCCATCTTATGAATTTCTCGCTGCCTCCTCGTCCGCATCACCATTATCAGCATAGTCACAGCCATCGCAGCTATCGCAGGAACCCGACCTGGGGTCTGGGTTCTGGCTATCACGCAGTAGACAAGGCTAGGTGAGCCCGCACATCCAACTTCAGGGCATCCATGGAGCCTTTCTTTGTCCGTCTAACACGAATTTTCAGATACGTGCACGCCAACTATCGCTTCATCGTCGATCCAAGGGGTGATTACCACAGCCAAAGTGTTGATCCTGACGTGTACCCCGACTGGAGCAATGTTCTCCAGATCCTTGCGTCGTCACAATCACAAGTCGCCTCCTGCCCAATCTGCCTAGGCGAACCAACTGCGCCTAGGATGGCCAGGTGTGGACATATCTTCTGTCTTCCGTGTCTGATTCGCTTCATGCACGCGGACGACGAGTCGAAACGCATTCCCGAGAAGAAGGCTAGGTCAAAGAGGTGTCCCATCTGCGAGGACACTATCTATATGTCAGAGACCAGGCCAGTCAGAATGTACCAGGGCCAAGAGGGCTTGCCTCCAATGGAAGGCGGTGACGTAGTCCTACGCCTAGTCAAGCGAGATGCAGGCAGCACTCTTGCGCTCCCCCGCGACGGCGCTACGTCGCTGCGAAAGGACGAGGATATACCTTGGTATTTTGCAGCTGAGGTCATGGACTTTGCGCATATTATGAAGGGCACAGAGGACTACATGCTGTCGCAACTCGATAACGACATTGAGGCGGTCAAGCTGCAAGAACAGGAAGACGCGCTGATGTTCCCAGACGACACTTCGGAATGGTCGCGTCGGGCTGTGCGCATGCTCGAAGAGGCCAAGGAGAAGGTCAAGGGCATCGGTGGTCCGGTTGCCGCTGTTCAGCCACCTGCGGAGACCGTCAGGGAACGTGCGCCCATTGAGTTTCACCCTGAATCCTCTGCGCCGGCGATGTACAACATCCAACACGCGTCCGGCTCCGGCCAAAGCGTGTCTGAAATAAGCTCTGTCCAAACGTCGCCTCCAACAAGCATCGCCTCGGCTGAACAATCCGATGTTCAACGTAAGCAGCTTGCTCCCCCGCAACCACGCCTCTCAGGGCATCAACACGGCCACAGTGGAAACCAGGCACCGCCTGTGTATTATTACTACCAAGCACTTCTACACTATTATCTTTCACCACTAGACATCCGGATTCTTCGCGAGGCATTCGGACATTTTTCTTGCTTTCCGGCGACGATCTTACCTCGCGTTGAGCGCGTATCTACTGGGCACGTTGTTGACGACGAGCTGAGGAAGCGGACAAAATATCTCGCGCATCTTCCGTACGGCTGCGAGGTCAACTTCCTCGAGTGTGACTGGACGGACACGGTTGCGCCCGAGGTGCTCGAGAAGTTCAGGCCAGAAATTGAGCGGCGTCGCAAGAGGAACGAGGAGAAAGAGGCGAGAGAGGAAAAGGCGCGTCTCAATGCGGAGAAGGAAGAGGAGAAAAGATATGCACATCTTCGGCGCAGGAGGCCTGACTCTGTAACGCATGCATGGACTGAGGAAGACTTCCAGCCTCTAGGCCGTTCCGAAGCCATTGAAGGCGACGTGGCCGCCGTGACTGGTGGTACGGGAGCCTCTCCACCTTGGGCCACATCCCGACAGGGCTCTGCTTTCGCCTCTTTGGCATCGATCTCGACGTCACCCAACACTGCTAGGACGGTGTGGGGCACTGCAGCTGTTCCGCCATCTTCTCCACCTCTTTACGCTGAGGCGGAAAGAGAACCTGTCGACGATGGCTGGCTTCAGGGCTGGGAGAAAGATCTTCTGCAAGAAGAGGACATTGTGGCGCAAGTACAGGCCCTTTCATTGGGCGAAAGCTCAAAGTCCGGGGCAGCTTCTCGCAACGCCAGCGGCGGAGGAGGTGGAAAGAAGAAGAAGAAACAGAAAATTACGCTCATGAGCACGACGACGCGACGAGGCGCTTGAAGAAAGAGCGTCACTTGGGCTACTTGACAACGGATTACGGGGTATGTGGGAAGGCGTTGGTTCGCACAAGCGTCTACACGTACACAATCCTATTTGCTGGAGCAATGCAGCTGTTTGCTGTCAGCTGAATCCTTTTGCTGATGTATTAATTTAGCGAAGTAGAGTCGGACAGAGACATAAAGAAGAATTTAGTACTGCTCTGCAAGAAATGATCTAGTGTGATAGGGGATACAACTGTCGTGCTCTCACTCTCGCTCTCGCTCTCTTCCTGTTTTTCCTTTCTCCAGACGTAAGTCGTGGAGTTCTCGTGATTGTGATATGCAACCGCAGACACGTTCTCGTGCTGGGTTTGAGTGCACTTCCTGGAATAAGATTCAACAAAGCTCTGGTGGTGGGTCTTTGACCAGCGTTTTAGTTGGCCTCGGCTACTCACAGGACCTTCGATGCGATCCGCCTTGTGTGAGCGCGATGATTGGGCCGAGCAGAAAGCAAAAGGCTTCATTGTGGGACCAAATTATGAAATTGTGCATGCGCAAATGATGGTGACGGCTGAGCTAGCCAAGCCAAAACAACATCGCCGTTCATTTTTTTCCCTTTGCGAAGTCACCACCTTCAACGCCTCCGGCCCGTCGTTCTGCACAACACACAAACAAGACGCGCACGCACGCATACACATTCCACTTTTCCTCCATTCGCGCATTGGACTGTTCTGGGCGCGAATTGGAGCACGATTCCTCTGTCTCTCCTTTCCAAGCTTCCGACCGTGATACGCGGCTCGCGTGTTGGATCCTTTCTCTGCGCACATCAGGATGAGCAGCGGCCGTCTGACGAGGTCGCAGACGGGCAAAACGCCCAGGTGAGTCTCCGACGGCGTTGGCCCCTTTCTTCCTCATAACGAGTGCGAGCGTCAAGCCGGCCAGCGCGTGGATGCTACGTGTCTGCATCCGACTTCTGTGACGGCCTGGAGAGCCGCGCTGCGTTTCCCACGCATGGCGGGAAGGGCTGCTGACAAGATGGAACGTGGAAGACTAACGGGTGTCCAATGAATCAGGAAGCCTGCGCATCTAGCCGACTACGTCGAGACTCCGGGTACCTACCGGCGCACTCGCAAATCTGTCGCCCCGGTCTCGCGCGAGGCCACGACTGAGACGGAAGAGCAGATCTTCGATCGCATCGAGGTCGCCGCGCAGGCGGAGGCGGAGGCGGAGGCGGGCGCCAATCAGGTTGTTCAGGACGGTGCCATCCATACAGGCTCACCCAATGGCCACGCAAACGGACACGCGAACGGAGCGGCGAAAAAGGGCGGCGGCAGGCGCAAGAAGGACGTCCCTACAGCTACGACTGTCGACCCCAAGGTCGACACCAGCGGCGAGTTTGAGTTCGGCGGCCCCCTCGGCGTCAGCTTGATCATGCTGGGCTTCCCGCTCATCATGTACTACATGTGGCTGGGCGCGACTTACTATGACGGCAAGCTGCCGCTGCCGGAGCCGGGACAGAGCCTGACGGACTTCGCCAAGCAGCTGGCCGGCTACATTTACGAAGGCGCTTTCCCGCACGCCAAGGCGTGGGCTATCTACTGGGTCTTCTTCGTCGTCGAGGCCATCTTTTACCTCTTCATGCCGGGCGTGTATGCAAAGGGCAAGCCGCTTCCCCATCTCGGTGGCAAGCAGCTTGACTACTACTGCTCTGGCGTCTGGTCCTGGTATGCTACCATCGTTCTCGTGCTCGCTCTGCACTTTTCAGGCCTCTTCCCCCTGTACACGCTCATTGACGAGTTCGGTCCCCTAATGTCCGTCGCGATCCTTTCCGGCATCGCCGTCTCGCTGATCGCTTACTTCTCTGCGTTGATTCGCGGCGCCCAACACCGAATGACCGGTCACTTCATCTATGACTTCTTCATGGGCGCCGAGCTCAACCCCCGGCTCTTCTACTGGCTTGACTTCAAGATGTTCTTCGAGGTGCGCCTACCATGGTTCATCCTCTTCTTGCTCTCCCTCGGCGCGGCCGCGAGACAGTATGAAATGTATGGCTATGTCAGCCCGGAAGTCGGGTTCATCCTCATGGCGCACTTCTTGTACACGAATGCCTGCGCAAAGGGCGAGGAGCTCATCGTGACGACTTGGTGAGTAATCGTTCTTGATGGTCTGTGTCGGACTCATCCCCGAGACTAACGTCTTCTCTCTCCAACAGGGACATGTACTTCGAGAAATGGGGCTTCATGCTCATCTTCTGGAACATGGCCGGCGTGCCCCTGAGCTACTGCCACTGCACTATCTACCTGGCAAACCACCCGCCCTCCGAATACGCGTGGCCAAAATGGGTGCTCATCATCTTCTACACATCCTACCTCTTCGTCTACTGGGTCTGGGACACGTGCAACTCCCAGAAGAACATGTTCCGCGCCCGTAGCCGCGGCTATGCGCTCGATCGCAAGACCTTTCCCCAGCTGCCTTACAAGGAGGTCAAGAACCCGGTCACCATCCCCACAGACACTGGCGATGACCTGCTGTGCGACGGCTGGTACGGAAAGGCTAGGAAGGTACATTACACGTGCGACGCGTATTTCGCCACCATGTGGGGCCTGATTTGCGGCTTCAAGAGCCCGTTCCCGTGGTTCTACTCCGTCTTCTTCGTCTGCATGATCATTCATCGCGCGAGACGGGACGTGATGAGATGCAGGGAGAAGTACGGCAAAGCGTGGTTGGAGTACGAGAGGCGGGTTCCGTATCTGTTCATTCCAGTAAGTGCCTTTTCTCTGCGCATGTGAACAAGAATAGTCTTTGTCGTCCCACCCCCGCAAAAAAACGTTTTTTCCCTTCAACCTTTCTCCCACACGCTCTTCCCATCTTCGTTGCGCTAACGCATACGTTACAGTATGTCTTCTAAACACCTCACTCCGCGGAGGGCGTATTCACATGCCCCTTTGGAATTGCCATTCGCAGTTGCTCGGGCCTTGCTGCGCAACGCTTCACGGGCAACATCTGTACATAAGTGTAATCCTACCAGCCTTTTAATGTGCCGCCATCAGACACGGTGAGATGACGGAGACCTGCCTCAAACTATTTGCATGCTGTGGTGACATGATGCAGGTCGTGTGTTTTGCAGAGACTGCAGAAAGAAGGAGGGTATCCACCACAAAGTCCCCCGACCCATCTAGCAGAATAATCGTGTAGGAAAGAAAAACCTCTGGGACACAAAAATAATTCCGTGTTATATGTAATGCATCGCATGTTATTTTTTTTTTTTTTTCTTCAAGATGTACAGTCTATAATGAGGCAGATAAGCAGAGAAGCAAATGCGAGAGAATTCTAATAGCCACGCTTCCTCCGTCTCTTCTCCCGCTCGTACTCCTTGGCCTCCCTGCCCTCCTCGCCCTGAATCTCCGCCACAAGCCTGCGGTATTTCTCCTCATATGCACGGTCCTTCTCCTTCTTCTCGCGCAGCTGCTCTCTGGCGAGGAAGTTGGCATCCTTGCGAAGCTCTCTGATAGCGCCCTTCTTCTCGCGCTTGTACTCCTTCTTAAGGCGCGCCGTGTCTGCGCGCTGGCGGTCGGGATCGTAGTGGCGGTCCGGATTGAAGGACTCCTCGAACTTGGGCACGAGCGACTTGATGGGCAGCGGGCGGTGGTTGTGCAGGGCGAGGGGTCTGCGTTTAGACTGCGACTGGTTGAGCAGGAGCTGCAGGTGGTTGCTGAGCTTGGCCTGCTTCGCCGCTTGGAGGGGTGCCATGAGCGGTTCGACGACTTCGATGAATGCGCTGTGGTTCGACCACAGGTTGGCGAGCGTGCGCACGTTGCTGTAGAGCGTCTTGCGGACTGAGTCTGGAGGGTTGGCTTGCAATGCGAAGGCTATGAAGCGAACAACTTCGGGCACGTAGCGTCTGGAGAAGGACTGGTACTTTAGAGCCAGCGTCGTCAGGTACGCGCCCGTGGCGAATTCCTTCGCCGAGCTAGGCCTGGTGAGACCAAGCCAGCGTGCGATGAGCGTCATCGCTGGCGTCACTACCTGGTGGAAGTGATCTGATGTTGGGTAGATGGTGCCGATAGCTGTCAGCACCATGAGATCCCCAGCCTCCATAGTTTGTTGCTGGTGCATCTGTTCAAGATGCAATCGGAAGGCCTTGCCGATCGCATCTGGTGAGGTTCGCGACATAGACTGCAAGTGTCGAGCGATGGCCTCAAATGTTTCCAGGCCTGGAGGTGAAGACTCGTTTGGTCTACGACCAAGATAAACGACCAGAGCCGTTGCGAACGCCTCCAACTTTTCCCTGTTTGACGAACTTAAGGCCGCATCGTACTTCAAGCGCACTTTTCGAATCAGAGTGTTCGCGCTCTCAGCTTTTTCTCGCTCCAGCAGTCCGACGATATCGTCATATGTCTCGGGGCAGCTTGTGACCCGGCTCGTGGAGACGGCGACCTGATTTGCCCCCGTCGACGACACATTCGGCGTCTCCGCATCCTCGTCTCCGTCCTTGAGCATTTCGTCTTCCGAGCTGTCGCTGATGCTCTCGGCATCAAGTGCTTCTTCGTCAATTTCTGAACCGCTCGCGACAAGATCCTCGTCAATGATGAACTCATCCTCGTCCTCAAAACCTGGCGGTCGTTCCATGACGTGGCTCTTCAAGCCGAAGGCCTCGGCATCGTCGACACCGACCTGGTAGACTTCGCCATCCGGCCCGACATCACGAGAATCGATCTCCTCATCACTTTCTTCGTCCTCCTCACCCTTCATACGACGTAGCCGGCTTTCTTCTAATGCCTTCTGCTTTTCAGCAGCGGCGGCCGTCAACTCCTCTTCGGTTTTCGTACGGTCCGTTACTCGTGCTCGCGTATCTTGTGCGAGTTTTTTGATTTGAATATCATAGTCCTTGTCTGGATCAAGCTTTGCTTCCATAAGAGCAGCACGCCCAGGATCGACACCTCCAATATGCTTTTCTTGCTGCCCATTCGATCCGTCCGTTGACGCCGTAGCAGCAGCAAGAGCAGCCTTTCGTTTTTCAAGTGAGCTCTGGAATCCAAACAGAGCGGCTCTTAGATCACCGATACCTTTGTCTAGAGCCTCTCTTGCTTCCTCGTCGTCCTCTTTGGCTTGCTGCCTCTCGTACTTGTGTAGCTTTGACTTCGCGATAATCTCTTTCATAACCTCTTTCTTGCTCTTCTTTCTTTCTGGCTCTGCCTCTACGGCAGCCAGCATCTCCTCTGCGGCCTCTCTTTTCCGCTTAAGAAGCCCACCTGCATTATCATCCTCATCGTCGCTCCCATCAACGAGACTGCCAGCGTCGAAGTCGTCCTCATCAAAGCCTAGAGCGCGCCCACCATGTGTAAGCAAGTCCTCTTCTTCCGCTTCTTCCATTTCAAGATCAAACAATGCATGCTTCTTGCTCTTTCTTTCCTGCTCCCTTGCAAATCTCTGCTGCATCTTCTCCTCCGGGGTCATGTTTGGATCCTCCTCGCCAATACGCCGATCCGTGATCCCACCAACTTTGTTTCGCCTCTGGAGCTCTAGGAGTAGCGACTTCCTTCGCAGCTCTTCTCCCTGACTCTTCGTCACTCCTGGCCGGCCATATACTTGTGCTGGACCTTTGCCGGCCGTCTTCATGGTCTGCGGCGTGGTGACATCACGCTTGTTCGGACGACTAGCCACTTTAACATCAAACGGTTTAAAAGCATCTCGGATGCTATTAAGCGCTGCTTCGCGTTGCTTGCGCTGTGCTGCGCTTATGCCCTGCTTTTTCTGCTTTTTCGACTTCTGCGGGCCAACAAGGCCTTGCTCTCGCAGCGATGCCTTCAACTGCTTCAGCTGAGACGCAGGCATGATGTTTGTTCCTGGCCGCGCTGATGTCTCAAAAAATAAGAGGGCCCGATACACCGTCAGAGAATCAATGGCGACATGATAGCTTTTGCGTAGACTTTTGCGGTCGTTGGTGAGCTCCCAGACACGGGTTCAGAAATTTTTTCTCTATTTGGATTAGAGCGCGTCTTATCGATTGTTAGCCGAAAAGCACCAGTCAGAACGGTCATCATGATTGAACCTCCCCATAAAGACAACAAATACGTTCTGAAGAACAAGGACTATTTTCCCTCCTGTTCTAAACTAATTGAGTTTGCTATTCTCAAACGTTCCGGGGCAGATACTTGTGTTAGGGCCATTGGGCCAACTGGGCTGCCCCTTCGCTCAAAGCTACACAAATGCAGTGTGATCTTCTGGACGCCAACTTCGGTGAAGCACGCCAAACAAATTCATGCTCTGGTATTCTCGACACTTCCTTTGCACTTCCACTAGGCAAATATCTATGCCGAAGCTGCGTGAGATTGTTTGGCCCAAATTAGCGCACAAGGCTTAAAGGGTCAAATATGGTAATTCTGAAGTCCAGCCAGTCCCGCAATCGATTGCATCAGCCAACCACTAGAATGAGTCAAATGTACTATGTGCTCCAAAAGCAATGCTATCTTTTGTCTGATAAAGAAGTTCATCTGGCGAAGCATTATAACACATAGAACAAAACAGTGGTGGCATTCGCCAAAGCTATCTCATGTTCTGAGCATATCGTGACCCAGACTCGGCGTTTAAAGGAATGGGTTTCTGTGACGGCGATCTTCCTCTGCACGAAAGAAACCAAGTCATTGTGCTTGGTAAGTAGAAATACTTTAAAAAGAAAAATTAAAAAAAAAAAAAAGAAAAGAAAAAAGGTTGGTCTTGGCTCCGTGTAACTTGAATTGGCTCTTGCCTGCGTGGTCAACTTTTCTGTCTGACGTGCCGTTTGCAGCCGCATCTAAATGTTTCTCACTTCACCTTCACAGACTTGAATCTTTCCACACTAACGTGCTCCCAAAAAACAGGACATCGTGGGCTATTACTTCTCAAGCATAAGCCCTCAAAGAACAGCCTGTCATACTTTCTAAAGCTGTAAGTGCAATATCCCTTAAATCGACGGCAATAGAGGCAGCGGCAGGCCATATCATCTTCAGCAAGACTTGACAATGGACTCACCCTCATGCAACGCTGCGTCAATTGACGCCTGCTTCCCTCTTCTCGAACTCCCGCGGGAGTTACAATTGAAGTGCTACGGTATGAGACCTCCTTTTCAATCGTTTAACAGCCTTGGCTAAGTGCATTGCAGAGCTAGTTGTGACGTTCCCATACCCACAGTATCTACGGGAATTGACCCCAATCAGTCGCGTTGATCCTATTGCGTATTCTGCCGTCGGTTTCTGGACTAATTCTCCTGGATGGACACCTGGCCAGCCAGCAATTACCAAAGTTTCTCGTCAGGTTCGCAAAGATTCTTTAGAATTGTAAGCTTCGATACCATGATTGCGCCGCTTCCTACTTCCCAAAATATTATTAAAGTCAATTAAATCCTTTCTATTCCATTTCTTGGCATATGGCCAACGTGTCTCTCAACGAGGAGTGCTAAATCACACGCCAGGTACTATAAATGTAACACCTTCATCATGGACTACAATGTGACGGAAATAAGTTGCCTCTGGCCAACCTCACGCTTCCCTAATGCTTCCAGCGCGGAAAATCTACGTTATCTCCGCTCAATCAACTGCCACATGAGACTCGACGACAAATGTCCAAATCCTGGCAGCCCAAAACTAAAGTGTCAGCTCAGTCTGAACGTAAATGTCAGGATCTCGGGCGAAAACAATATCGAGGTTGAGCTATGTGGTCCAGAGAGCGTTAATACCCGGGCTCGCAAAGAGTATCTTGTACGAGAAGTGAAGGCCTCGATTGGAGAGCCTGGTTCCAAAGGTTACGACGGCATCCATCTTCTCAAAGCCGCAGTCATATTGCACGAAGGCTTAGTTTGCACGGATAGTACACCTCAGTGGCGAGATATTGGACTTCGTGTGAGCGAACACAGACTGTTTTTCGCCCTCGTGTCACAACCAGAGGTCCCAAGTCAGGCTGCGTTCAATCCAGGGGGTGGAGGTGCGCCTTCTGGAGGGATTTCTGCACCTAATCCCCGTCGATTTGATCAACTTCTACAACGACTTCAAGGTGGTGGACCTCCTTATCCACCGCCGTTCTCTTTTAACAACAACCTTCCTTCCACTCAACAAGCAACCACTGCTCAGCCTTCTACTCTCCATCAATCTGCCTCTGCATCCCATGCTCAAGCCAATCAATCGGCTCCAGCTCCTGTTGATAATCCCAACGACGGGCCTAATGCCACAAACAACAACCAGTAGCCACTTCAATGGCATGAACAATCCCTGGAAGCCAGAAAACGCGACTGCCGCCCTGTCAAAATGGGACAGCTCCCGCACAACCTAATTTGCTTCGTCTACCAACTAGACAGCACTAGCTCCATCTACTCAGAAACAGACGCACTCAGATGCTCCAGAGCAGCAATATGAATATACTTAACGTACTTCCTTCGACCGTAATAGTAATGACAACAATAAAACGCCACGTGGAATAAGCCCACAAGCGCGTCTCGTCGTGTGAGGCTTGAAAAGGTGATATTCCATAAATTCAGCATATGCAGTGACGCTGGGCGAACTTAGGCGAGTTTCGGGTTCTTTCACAGAAAGGATAATTCAACATTGGGGCGCCCCTGCCTGGATGGGAATGAATGAGAAAGCAACAGGTTCTGGCACCAGGCGAGGCTTGCTCGATGAGTTCATTGGCTTCGTGTGGCATCGATGAGCTAGAAAATGATAATCAATCGGTGCTTTCATGGAGACGGGGGGCTGTTTTGAGGACGAGGTGCTTTCTTTAAGGCCATTATCGAGTTAGACTGTACTTTCTAGTGTCGTATAACATCCAACAACAGTGCTTGCATCTTGGTCCATCTGCAGGTCCGAACGCCTTTGCAGTCGAAAATTTTGGCAATCAAACAAGTCCAATGTCACCTTCGGCAAAATAATCTGGTGAACCTGTGCCGCTATTTGTGCGATTCGCTACTTGTACGCACGGCTGTTCCCATAGATCAGATATTTTTTTCGTAGGCAGTCACGATCATCTGACAAGCGCAGCAAATCGGAGCCAGCTGCAGCTCCAGATACAGAGAACAAACGAGTCACCTATCCGGTGTCAAGGCCCTATCGACGCGCGATATTCATCCCCTGAACAGCCTGGTCTGCTATTCGTCCAGGACGATGGGCAAGGTAGGGAACCTACACGAGCTGCCAGACTACGCAGCGCACTCAGACGAAGGAGAATTTCTCCATCGTCTCATGCACTGGGGCCAGGCTTCTTGCACATATTGCTCTGCTGCCGAGTCCTTTCTCGTATTATGCATCCATGTCTGTCAGGACTTTGAGCACGTTGCTGAAGAAACCATGCTGTTCATGCTGAGACTCGGCATCCAGTCTGTATACCGCACTCACGCCTTCGCGGTACATAGATCGAGACTGGCCTGGCTTTCGCTGCCGGACGATTGATCGTGATGATTCGCCGACGTGCTAAGCAAACGCGTCATGGTCGCTGTTCGTTGAAAGGGAAGTCACTGGTGACCTGACGGCCAATTTCGAAAAATGATAGCACGCGTGAGCAGAGGCGAGACTCGTTGAAATGAAGAATCTTACGATCGCTAGGACGACTAGGCTGCGGCAAAATTTGCCTTTTTGTCGAATGCTTCCACGCTCAGTATCAGCTGCAAAATCACGGCGAGGCATTCGCTACGGAGGCGAGAAGCGGGAAAGCGCTTTGATAAAGGGAGGAGCATCAATCCGTCAGACTACAATCCTTTTTCATTACTATTTTGAATTTTTGCTGTTCAAATAACAGTGTCCATGGCGACAACTATGTCTCCTTATCTCCTTGCGGCGAGGAAAGCAGAACCGAAGTTGTAGAGACCGAATATGGCGACGAGGCTGAGGCCTACGGGGACAGGTTTGCCGGACTTGATAGCTCTGGGGATCGAGGAGCCTGCGAGGACGACGGAGGCGAGAAGTCCGAGCTCGACGCCGTAAGGCTGCCCGTTGCGGATGCGGAGGCCGCCGAGGCCGTACTGCACATTGCTTGTCAGCCGGCGAACCAGCCAAAACTCGGCGTGACGTGGCGATCATACCAGCGCGCCGACGGTGACGCCGGCAGCTACGGAGGGAACGGAGCCGGTGCGGACGTAGCCTGTGATGCCGCCGCCGGCCGTCAAGGCACCAAGGAAGAAAGCGATGTTGTCGAGAGCCTTTTTGTCGGGCGCACACGTTAGCAGGCCTTTCGCAGAACCAAGGGGAGTAGTCACGCTGCAAAAGCCGGTGGTGTTGTTTGGCCGAAGAAGTATCAGGCCACACGACCAGGCGGCGGAGCTCGGCTGAGGCAAAGGCAAAAGCGATTGCGCACACGTCGGGGAGCGATGCTCAGCCGGTGAGCGCGAAGGCATGTCCGAGAGTGAACTCACCATTTCGAGCCGACTTAGCTATGCGTTACCGAAACTTGGACGGTTAGTTTGCGGAGGAGTGAAGAAGAGAAAGTGCGAGGATGGGGGAAGCGCATGTCGTCCGCCGAAGAGCTGGCGGAGCCTCTCGTCACCTTCGAACCTTTTCCCCGGGTAAGGCGCAACGCACCCGCAGGGATCCAGGAACCCGCGTCGGGCCCGTGCACGCCAACGTTCTACAGGTCGCTAACAGGTGGCATCTGGACAAGGGCGTACGCAGCCTTTCGTACAGTCCACATACACATCCAACCTACATCCGCATACGCACCCAATCTCTCTCCCCTCGGCACTCCCTCGTCTCTCCTCGCTCCCAGCAAGCGCGCGATCCCGCTGCAGTCCACCCGCTCCCGATTCGACGCCCTCAACCTCCGTAGCGAACGCCGGACGCAATGGCACGCAAACAGGCCCAGCCGGCGGCGACGATACCAGCGTCCGCGGCCGCTCCCACGCACGCACAACCGTCCGCCGGAAGGCCAGCTGCGGCCGCGCCGTCGTCAAGCACGAACCTCAAGAACGTCCACGACCCGGCGGCGATCGCCAACGCGGTGTGGCAGAACTACCTCAAGCAGACGCCGCAGCGCGTCAAGCTGATCGACGTCTTCATGGCCTTCCTCGTCGTCGTCGGAGCGATCCAGTTCGTGTACTGCGTGCTCGCAGGCAACTACGTAAGTCCCCGCCACGGGCGATGCCGCAGATGCTGACCCGGCCTTGCAGCCCTTCAACGCCTTCCTGTCCGGCTTCAGCGCCACCGTAGGACAGTTTGTCCTCACAGCCAGTTTGCGGATACAGACCAACCCGGAGAACCGAAAGGAGTTCAAGGAGATCAGTGACGAGCGGTACGTGAGCCCATGTTCTCCTCTTCGTTTCCTCCTCTCCCCTTCTCTAACCCGTCTCCCATCCACGTTCTCCCTTCCAACCGCGCTGCCGCACGAGACGCGCAAAGCAGGCTAAATACATGTCGATCCAGGGCGTTTGCGGACTTTGTCTTTGGCAGCCTGCTGCTGCACTTCTTTTGCGTCAACTTCATCAACTGAGCCGCGGCACCTGGGAATGATTTCGGGGGAAGCGAACAATGGCGTTTTAAGGAACGGCTCCGCGACCGCTCGCAAGATCTTGCTTGAACGTAGACGGTGTATGATATATCTGGAGGGGAGAAAACAGGAGCGGGAGAGATGTGTAAGATCAAAAAGGGAGATCATGGGAAGACGAAGGTAATCTGCCCAAAATAGAAAAAAAAAAGAGGCACGCGGTCGGTCTTTTCCTTTTAGAAAAGTAAATAACTCTTGGAGTGCTCCGGGCGAAACCCGAGATGATGTTTCACGCAAAAAAAGCGAGGCGGTTGCCACGAAGCAGATGTTCTATAGACTACTCGTCTAGCTATGCGCCGTTCATGAACATGGGCTCTGACGATGCTTCCCAATTGAATCCTTACGTTGCCCTCGTCGCCCCGGGTTTTGACAATTGGAGAAATTAAAGGGGGAAAAGAAATAAAAAAAAAAAAAATAAAAGACGTAGCCTCCACATTAATCATTTTAACGCCACGGTATGCGCGCCATTCACAGAGAGAGATTGTGTGAGTGAGTGCGGACCGCATCAGAGATCTAAGCATGACCATTTTCGCTCTCCTCCATCGGCTTCAGACCGAAGCTCTGTCGCACGGCCTCGCCAAACCTGCGGATGGCCTCGTTGATCTTGTCGGACGGAGCGGCGGCGTAGGTGGCTCGCAAGAAGCACGTATCGTGAACGGCGTCCTTCTCGGCGTAGAACCAGCTGCCGCGCATGAGCAGGGCGCCCTTGTCGATGCTGGCCTTGAAGATCTCCTCCTCGATCTCGGTGACGGAGCGGGTGGCCGCGTGCGGGTGCTTTTTCCAGTCGATCTGTAGCCAGTGCTGTCATCGCGCCGACGTTAGCAGATGGAAACCATGGTCCGAGAAAAATAAATTAGGTGACGTACAAACATGCCTGCCATGGGCGGCTTCCAGCTCACAACCTCCCTTGGCAAATACTTCTCACACGCACCGAGGATGACGTCTCGCCTCTTCGTGTACTCCATCCGAATGAAGATCAGCCAGTCCAGGTAACCCTCGTGGCCCCAGTGCTCATCCAGCAGCTTGAACAGCATGAGCTGGCTCATGCCGCTTGGGCCTTGTGTGCTAACATCGGCGTGCACCTTGTACCTGTCGACAATCTGCTCACTCGCCGTGATCCAGCCCACGCGCGAGCCCGGGCTGATAACTTTGCTGAACGAGTCCATCCTCATCACGCGTCCGTCCACGTCAATGCTTAGATAGCTTGGCACGAGGCTTTTGAGGAACTCCTCGTGGGACGCGGGAGGCGGCACGTCGGGTGCATCCTGGCCCGTGTACGGCTGCATCTGCAAAAAGTAGTACGGCTCATCCTCGATGATGTACAGATCATGCTTTTGTGCGACACGGTAAATCTGCTTCCGTCGCTCGGCCCCCTGGGTCGCGCCTGTCGGGTTCTGGCCGGAAGGCACGGTGTACAGCAAAAACGGTTTGCGGGCTCCTCCCCGCTGCACCGGGTTCCAGGTGGCAAGCACATGATCGAGCGAGTCGGGGAGTAGGCCTTGCTCGTCCATCTTGACGCCGACGACCTTGACGCCGAGCGGGGCGGCCGTCTCGACAGCGGTAGCGAACGTGTACTCCTCTGAGATGATGTAGTCCCCGCGATTGGTGAACATGCGCAGAGTCATGTCCAGTGCGGACGTGGAGCCCACAGTCATGGTGCATTCCCAGTCCTCATACGGCGGGGAGTGCACAAGTTCGGTGTGTTCGGTCACCCACCGGAGCAGCTGCGCGGAGCCATGGCCCTGGCCATAGTTGAACAAGACACTGATGTCGACGATCGACTTCCCGTCCCTGAGGTCGTGCTTCCCAGCGTGCAGGGTCGCACCCGTCTGCGCCGTCTCGGCCTCGGAAAAGTGTGGCGGCTGAGGCACTTTGATGGCCACCTCCTCGAAGGGGAAGTACTCGGACGATGGCAAGCCTCCACCGAGCGAGATGATGCCGGGTTTGCTCAGATACTGCGCGGCGCCCTTGAGGGAGCTGCCACCTCTACTCTGCGATTCCTGATTCAGACGATCTGTGTGATCGACGGTGTTAGCAGACAGCACAAAAATAGAGTTTGATAGGAAACCGTACGGTCCCATCGTTTAGCCTTCGGCTTTCTTTTCAGCGTGACATGCTTGAAACTGGAGCTTCGTGCTGGGGCAGCGACGCCCCATTGACCGGCGAGGGTCTTCTTCCGGCGACCGTAGATCTCATTCGCCTTGATAGGCAGAGAAAAGGGATCTGGAATAGTCATTCCCTGAGTGTCGGTAACCGCGGCGACATCTACTGCTGCAGGTGGAGGGGCCATATCGCTGACACGTTTGCCCGTAACGTCAACACAGGCAATTGAGCAAGAACCAGGCAGAGTCGAAGGAACGATTTGGTTAGCTTGAGCCGGTCTCTTTTTTTTTTTTAAAAAAAAAAAAAATTCGTGAAAAGATGAGATCAAGAAGCACTTGTTGGGAAGGAGGAAGGAGGAGGCCTTTTTGCAGGTAGAATCTGACTAGCGGCATGTAGATACGCCCTGCATGTCAATTGCAGATATCGGCGCCGGCCTTCGCGTCTTAAAACCAAGCATTCTGTTGGAGATCCGTAGTTTTTCGCTACCAAATCAGGACATCAGAAGCGGTTAGATGCGGGTCGCGTCGTCACGTGCCGCTGATGTTTTCATGATGTACGCTTTACGTGATATCAAGCCAGCCCATTCGTCGCCGCGACGTCTGCTTACTTAAGAGGGTGTCAACGTCGAAAGAGGTGTCCGGAATCGACGGGTATTCTTGTCATGAGGAGTGCGGAGGGGATAACGTTAGAGCACGTGTGGACGCGAGGTCGTCGCTCTGACGTTCGTGGCTAAGGAGGGGTGCCGATTGCGGTTCGCGAGAGCGTTGCACAGCAGAGCATGGCACAGTCCGTCCTCACAACGTGCCACTGCGAGCCGCTCTGTTGACCCATAGTTTTTTACTCTCCTTCGCCAGGCACTGCGGGTCCGCGGATCCTCCCTAGTGTGGGCAAAACGCGTGGATGCTTCCATGCAGGTTCCAAGGACAAAAGCTGGAACAGACAGCTGCAAGCACCACCGCGATCCAATGATCCAGGAATGTTCAGAAGTCCCGCCGCTCTCTACTCGAGCCCAGGCAAAGACGGTGAGCAGGTAGAACAAAAAACTTTTTTGTTTTCAATTAAATCGGAGGGAGCGTTTGCGACCGGCTTTGTCCTTTATTGACACGGTAACTCGCAGCGTTGACTTGACGCGATTGGTACTGATGATCGCTGTCTTTTTGATTTTGTTTTTCTAATTAAATTTCCTTTTTTCTTTGATTTTCTCTTTTCGTTGTGTGCCGACAGTCCAAGAGGGAGCCGCGGGGCTAAGATGGATTGGGACGGTCGGTCGGGAAAAAGGGACAGCCCAAAGGACTCTTATAATAATGACGGATCGCCGCAGAGGCCAATAATGACGCCGGGCAAGGAAACTGCTCGTTATTGTCTGCTCGTACGCACGAGCGCACGAGACGAACGCCCCCAGCTGAAGGCATAGATAAGCTCAAGAAGCCGACGCTGAGCCGCCGGGAGACCCCGCCGGTGGTCGCAGTGGAAGCGGATGTAGCGGACGCAAGGACGATCGTCGCGCGGGCAATCGCAACAGAAGACACGGCGTGATCGTCACCGTAGCCGCCGCCGCCGGTGTCGTCGCGGGTCGTAGTGAGACGCGCAGCAGAGGAGCGGCAGCCGAGCGCGGGCCCGGCGTGTAGCGCTCGGGGTCCTGACGAACTTTTTTTTTGAAGGCACGACGCGTCGACGGAGGCGCGGATGGGCCAACTCATCAACCACGATGGCGCGACTCCTGCACAGTTGGAGCGCCACGATTGGAGGGCTCGGCACCAGGCGGTCACACTGACAGCGAACGAGGTGGCGGGCTGGGTGCAGAGGGCCTGCGTGCTGGCCACCAGCGCAGCCAGCGCGTCGGCAGTGGACCAGTTGGAAATGAGCACGGCGGGTTGAGGCAGCGCACTTGCGGGTGATGCGCTGGTGGCCAGGGGCCCGACGGATCCCGCCAGGCGCAAGACGGAAAGGGGCGTGGGCATGGACAGAGAGCCCTCGAGGCGGGTGGGCGCGGGCTGCGGGCGCGGGCTGCGGGCGCGGCGCTGGCGCTGCGCTGGTGCTGCTGCTGGTGCTGCTGCTGCTGCTGCTCGTGCTCGTGCTGCTTCTGGTGTTGCTGCCGCTGCTTGGCTGTCGCTGTGCTGGCTGCTGCTCGCCAGAAACATCTTAACCTGACGACCTTTAATTTCACCCCCCCGATGTCTTTCACGACTGCTACCTCCACGACCGCCGTCTCCTCTGACTTCCCCTACTACCTCGCTTGTCCCCCTCGCCCCCCTCGTCCCAATTGATAAGCGGTAGTCGACCGTCCTGGTCTGGCTCGGCCCTGTCACTTCGCATTGCTGCTGCTCTCGACCCCTGGTCCACCTCTCCCATCGACGGCAACGACGACAGCGCTGGCCTTCTCCCCTCCTTATCCGCTCTCGCCCTGCGCCCATCCTACGCCTCGACTTTAGATTCGCTGTCTCAGCTTGCTCCTTGTCTCGCGCTGCCTGTCGCGGACTCCGTGCAGCGTCGATATACCAGAAAGCGCCCCCTGCACTGTGCTCTGGGGGATTCGCTGGCACTGGTCGCGCACCTCAAACACGGTGCAAGACTTGCATTATTCGGCCCTGTGTTTCAACAAGCATAGCCCGTTCTATGCTCGTCAGCTCCTCCCGCGCCTCGCTCAGAACACCACATCGCACCACCCGAATTTGTCCTGCGAAACTCGACCGCGTCAGCCGCATGCCATTTGTCGCATCACCTTCATTAGTCGCCTCTCCAAACCCTCGTAGCGCTCTTCGTCATGCCTTTCTTCTCAAAGGTCTTCAAGCGGGACGCGGCTGCTAAGGGAAAGAGCCAGACTGCCGATGCCCCTGTCGCCCCAGAAAAACCAAGATGGGAAGAGTCGTGGACGCGCAAAGAGGTTGCCGCCGAGGACGTTCAGGAGCTCATACACGCTTGCTCCCAGGAGATGAAGTCGCGAGGTACGTAAAGCTGCCCTAGACGTTGCCGCTAGACACGTTGGCTCGAAGAGAGGGAAAAAGGAAAAAAAAAAAAAAAAAAAATAGCTACGTGAAGAATTCACTTAGAAACTTGAACGGAAGAGGTTCGCCAACGAGGTGTGAAGAGAAGAGAGGTGTGGGTGGATTGCAACCATGGCTAACGTTTTGTGTGTCTTCAATAGCATTGGATATGCCTTTCCTCCTACTCCCCTTCCGTCCTGGCTCCGATCCTGTTGGCTCCAAAAGCTTCATCCGTAACTATTTCAGATTACAGTATGAGGGAAGCTGGAATGACAATAAGCATTTTTTTGAGCAGGAGCTCAGGCTCATGGACCCTCTGGTACGAAGATGGCACACATTTAAAGAAGCGTCTTTGCTTACACTACATCATAGGTCCTCGTCAGTATCATAAAGTGGTGCTGGAGCAGACTTCCCGGAGGCGTTGTGACCTGGGAAACGTATGATCTCTTCAAGCAGGGCGAGACCGGTACGCTATTCACAGTTCGGCTCGGTCTTATAAGCAAGCTGTTAATCTGCTGCAGATTCCAAGATGTCCAAGAACGCATTTAGCGTGTTCGTGCCCATTGCGACTGAATCGGCCGCACGCACAAAGATCGTCGTCGACTTCTTTGATCTGCTCGCTGCCATTGCTGCGCGGGGCAAAATGAACGGCCTAGGCGGGCGCAAGCTATCCAGAATGGCGGGATGGTGGGCATTTGAGCACTCGGATCACGGCAAGGGCTTCGACGGTGGATACCACTCGTGGGCGAGGTAAGGAAATCGCGAACATCCCAGCTCTGATCGTGCTAACACAGATCTTAGGGCTGCGGATGCCACCAGTCACCTGTTCTTTGCCTATCTTCGATCGCTTGCTCCGGATGAATCAACGGGCGTCAGTGGCATCTCTCAGCTTCCTCGCTCGTTGCAGGCCTTGCTTGCCCAGACCGAATATCCTCCCGAAACGCCCACCTTGATGTTGACCACAGCTCCCAAGGTCGTCATGATCGTGAACTCGGTTTCACCTACGCCGTTTGCACTCCTCCGCAGAGCCAGAAATTTCGAGTTCCGGGACGACGATGAGGCCTTGCAGCAATTTTCATCCTACGACGACCCTGTCCGAGCCTTGACGGATGAATGTCGTCGAGTCATTAACTGTGTATCGAACGTCAACGAATCCGTCGCGCCTACAAACGGTGGCGTACCGCAAGACGGCGCGTGGTCGCGTTTTGAGGACATGGGTTTCTCCAGCTTAGCCGAGAGTTTGCAGAGTCCGGGAGACCTGGCAACCTCACCTAAACAGACGAATGGGCTCAGATACCAAGCAAACTCGAAGTCCGGCGATTTCAATCGCCCTACCACCCCGTCATGGGCTGACTTTTTGTCCACGGGCTTCCCTGACGAGAACGGGCCGACACTACTGCCCCCGGACAAGTCGTTACCGCTACCCATCGGCGATCCGCCAAGGGGACACAGCTCTCAGTCTCATGTACGCAACGGCCTACAGATGGAAGATCTGGAGGCTGGCGAACTCGCAAGCGTCAACCAGTTCGACCTCGACGAGACTTTCTGGTGGGTGTGGATGACCAGTCTGGCCGGTGAAGAGACACCAGAGCGGAAAGCCGTCTTTGGACGGTGCGCTCTGATTGAGACGCAGATCCGGGGTGCACACTGGATGGTGATTGAGGAACAGATCAAGGGTGCTTCACCTGGTCAAGAAGAGGGTGTCTATCTGGCAGAGAAGAAAAGTCGATTCAGCTGGACACGACGCGGTCGAATGAGCCGCAAGAAGACCGTCAAGAAATCACAGACTCAGGCTATCGAAGAGCGCGCCGATCGAACGAACGCGGGCACTCCATCCAGCAGACTTGCTCCGGACCAACACGTCAAAGTTCGTGAAGCTGCAGCGAGGCTGAAGACAGAGAGTCTGGCCCCAACAGACAATCAAAAGCGGGCCCGCCTCGACGATGCTGCTTCCCAGAAGACAAGCAGCGTCCTTACATTGCAACCGGCTATTCTCAGCGAGGCCGGTCCCGCATTGAAGTGGACGAAGGACTATGATCGCGACGCCATCAAGGCAGCATATCTACAGGATCCTTCCGCAGGAAAAGGAGAAACGCCGCTTGGTAGCTCCAGCGCAGTACATCTGCTACGCACGAACGGGGAATCAACTCCAAAGGCAGCCGACCGAGAGCTGCCAGCTGTGCCACGACAAGAGCCGGCATCTCCAATTCAGCGCAAGCCTGTCAAGGTACAGACCCCTCCTGCGACTCCACCACATCAAAGTGACGAAGCTCTCTCTGCCGAGCCTGAAGAAGTGGCTGAATTCACGGAGAAGCCGAAGCTCGATAAGGCGGAGAAACACCCGGCTCTCCGAAAGCAAGAATCTCCGGAGTCTCAGCGCAGCACGAGTCCTGAGCTCTCCAGGGATGCCGCCAAGAAGTCCCTCAAGCCAACCGCGGCGAGCTCCTCGGGCGGCTTCAAGAAGCTTTTCGGAAAAAAGAAGACATCAGAGGCTCCAGCGCCAGCACCAGTGACAGAACCTGCGACAGAGCCTGCCCCTGCTCCCGCGGCAGCGTCAACTGCAAAGCCTAGCTCACCGCATAAGCTCCAGAAGTCTCCGCCGAAGTCAACGCCCAAGAGCATTCCAATCGAGATACCTTATCAGCGAGAACCAACTCCGGAACCATCTGTTAAGGAGACTTCGCCAATCCAGAGCATCAATCGTCAAATCACACACCCCGCTGCGGATCACTATCGTGCCCCAAGTCCTCCTGCGCCTATCACCGAGACTGAGCAGCTTGATGCCGATCGCGAGTTCTCCCGCTTTGACCAGGGTCCTCTAGAAGATGTTCCAGCCTTCGTACCTGAGAGCACACCTGGCAGCTCCATCGCAGCGATCTCTCCTTCGCCTGAGCAGACTGCATTCACTCCACCCCCTGCACCGGAGGAAGCGGCACCTCTTCCAGTTCCGGCACCGGCACCAGTCGTACGCAAGCCCAAGGGTCCCATTTATAGGCCTGCAAACGCACCTCCGGTCGAACCCACAGCCGTTTCGTCACCGCAAGAGCAGACCACCTCGCCAGCTACTGATCGTTGGGCACAGATCCGCAAGAATGCCGCTGAACGCGCTCAGCGCATGAACCAGCAGCAGGAAGAGTCAAGAAGAAGCCACAGCCAAAGCGGGAGGACTGATAAGACTGACGACGGTGATACGAGCGGTGAGGAGACCATCGAATCTCGCGTAGCTCGAATCAAGGCTCGCGTTGCGGAACTCACGGGTATGACTTGAATCGTTATTCTTCAGGAGCGAGGATTAACTTTTTCACAGGCAATATGGATACCCCTGGTATGACTGTAGGAGGCGCTAGACGATGATCTCTTTACACATGATGTAAGTTGCCCTAACGAGGGGTTCTTTGAAATATCAACTGACACGCCTTGGAGCAGACTATCATCATCAAACAATTCCGGGACATTTTTCTCCAGAGAACTTACGGATATCGTTCAATCTCTCGACTACTAACGTCATACTAATCACTCACGAATCAGAGTGCATATTTTTCTCCATCTCAGCACAACGTAACCTACAGCACGCACCCAGACAATGGCCACGCAAGAGCCGTCTCTATCTATCTAGTTTTTTTTTCCGCTCCATGATACCAATTTGCGCAAAATCCGACTCGACATCCTTATCTTTTTTTTTTCGTTTCCATGTCTCTATTGTGTTCGAAAAAGCTTTAAAAGCTAAAACCTCTTTGATCCTAGGGAGACGGCAAGAGACGGGAAGGTGAATAAAGAAAACTAAAGGCCGGTCGGCATACGTTTGCTCTTCCCGAGAAAGACAAGCGCGACCTCGATTTGCTTAATCCACTTCTTCGAACCTGTTTTTCCCACACCTTTTTTGCGATAGCTTTAGGAGATTCAGTACCAAAACACGAGATGGGACGTAATATACCCTGCTTTGTAATAGCGTTCTCGCATTGTTCTTTTCCCTCCCCAAGCTTCGCTTTTGTTCCTGGCGGCGTTTCTATCCTTTTCTCAACCAACACCCACCCTCTCATCCCTCTCAATCCCCTCCTCCTCCCTCCCGCCCACTCTCCGTCTCTCTCCCTCTCTATGCACTTAGAAGGCTGGCAAGCTCGTTCCCCAATGTTCTTGTCTTTTTTTTCCAGATCCCATCCTTGACTGGTTTCAAGGCGGGCACTTTTGGAAGAAAGGAGGCGAGCAAGGGACCGCAGGTTGTGGAAGACATATTAGCTCTTTTCTTCCCTTTACTTTTGGCATCTTCCGTGCGTCTTCACGACAAATGCGCATACTTTTTTGTCGAAAGGAAAAGCTGTAAAAATGAACGGTTTTTTTTTTCTAAAAAAAAATTAATTTGGACAGATAGTCTACAAGTGTACGGGGGAGTTATCTTCATGTTTCTTTTACATTGATCCCTTCAGATAGCAGATACGGCTTGTTCATTGAAAGTCTCTTTTCTTTCTCTTATCTTTTTTTTTATAAAAATTTTTTTTTATCACTGTACTCTCGCAACATGAGGCGGGAAGGAAAGGATTGAGGGTTTGGTATCTTTTTGGGGTAGTATCTTTCATTTCTCTCTGACATGAAGTAGTCATCGGCGTCCAAGGGTATCATCATGTGTACAAGATTTCGTAACATCACACTGCAGAATCTCATCTCAATTACTTCGTTTTACCTTCACCTCTTTGCACTTTCCCTCTCCTTTGTTCCTCTTGTTCTTCTCCGCTTGCGGTCCCCCCCCCCCGTGTTTTTCATCCCCCAAAAGTCGTCACCGCCATGCTCCAAAGGGATCTCCGACCGCGCCCGGCGCGCCCTCCTTTCGGAGCGACTGCCGACTGGTGCTCCGGCTGCCGTTGCCCAGCGACGTGAGGATGGTCGTGTCCAGCGGGGGCAGCTCGTCCTCCCACGACATGGGGCGCGACTCGGCTCGTGCCGTCGGTTGCGTGTTCAGCGGCCAATTTGCCGGCGCGGGGCTGCCAGTCCGCTCGTAGCCGGCTTCGATCTCCTCCGTGAAGATGACCTCGACGCTCTTCTGGATCTCCAGGGTGCCTTTGCGCTCCAGCCGCGGCGTGTCGCAGAGGCTTAGACCAAGGCCGGGGACGCCGGGCGTGCGTGCGGGCTCCTCGGCCACGGTGCGCAAGTGCAGCTCCAGCTCCGCGTCGTCCTCCTTCAGGTCCTGCGACTCGAACAGCGCCTTCATCTCCCGGCCCGTGATCAGCGGGTCCCTGTTCGACGGCCGTCGCCCTGTGCCTGCCGTGATCTCCGTGTAATTTCCCACCCGGTCCGGCCGCAGGTTCGGCAGTGAGTTGCGGAGCGCGTAGGACTGCCCCGACGAGCTCGCATTCTTGCCACCGGAGCCGAATTCCTTCGCCCCTCCCCGTTGGTACGAGAACCACGCGCTCGATCGCTGGCCCACAATCTGTTGCAGCAGCGGTCGCAGCGTGGCGATGCAAGCTGCCGCAATGCCCACGCCGGGTTCAACATTGGACCACAAGGCAATGTCGATCGTTTCGTACAGAAAGTCGGAATCCTTGTACAAGCTCATGATGAACGGCATCCGTACGATGGTCGCGATGCACGCTATGTTGGCGAATCCAAGTATGCCGGCGACCAGCCTCTTCTGCTTCGTGGGCATCTGGAGGTCTTTCACCATGAAAATGGGGATGATACCAAAGGTCCAGTCGGCGATCGAGTTCAGGCCCGACGAAGCAAACGTCATGGCGACGACCGTCGTGTTGTTGAAGCACCATCCGTAGTTCCGGGTGTAGGGTGAGTGCTTACGTATCCACCACGCGCTTATGGGCTTGCACTGGAAAAGGGCGAGGAGGAAGTAGGCTGATCCAAACAGCCCGCTACACACCATCATGAAGCGGACGATCCAGACGTGGTACCTGTTGATGGCGATGTCGTGAAGGAAGACGCCCACAGAGAGCTTCAGGAACACTGCGGCAGGAATGTAGAATAGTTCACATAGCCACCAGAAGACTAATGCAGTCTGCGCTCGCTCAGGTTGCAGGTCTTCCAGATGCTTGCCCGTACCGTAAACGATTCCGCCCGTTTGGCAAGCAATGTAAATTGCGAAAAAGGTCTGTCGAAAGTTATGTCAGTCCCCGTTGAGCAGTATGCGCTTGGAGAAACTCACGACGGAGCATGTCATCAGCCAGTCATCGATTCTCCATTTGCGTAGCAGGATCGCCCGTACGTAGACACGCAGACCGAACGTCAGCAGTGTCAAAGTCACGAAAGCTATGCCCGTTCCCAGCAGCTCCAGGCTGCGGTCCCCCATGGCGACAGCAGGCAGCGGGACAGGAGAATTCACCTCATCCCATTCGAAATGTAGAATATATGGTCGAGAGTCGCGATCCTGCTGACTCAAAAAGCGTCGTACAGTGACGATATGGCAGAGAAGACAATGAAAAAGACAAAGAGAAAGTCTCAGATACTTCCCAGGCGAGGGAAAACAAAGTAAAAAGGTGGGAGACGGGAAGCATGTGTCAAGCAGCTGACGATGAGGTTTTCTCGCCTACAAGTATAGGGACCAGCAGCCTCAGTTATGAGCGGCTTGACACCGGCCGGAAAGACTCATTAGCGCTGTATTTCCCGAGCGTGACATTGGTATGTGCGCAGTTCATGGCTCGTTTGTCGAAAGAATGCGCTTTGGTGAGTGCTTAGATCACCCATGTAGGACGGTCTGTACATCTAATGGCCAGCGCGCATGGATACTGGACGTAGATCTTCTTTTCGGCATCACCTTCAGACAGCGGCAAGCTCGTTGGACACTCGTCTCCGTCGGTGCACGCAGCAAGCGCATGCACGACATGGAACCCAACATCTCCTCACGTCTGCCTCGGAGACTATCAAGAACGGTGTCCAGGGTGGGACCGGTGGAGGCGACAGAACTCGCACGCGAGACGACTTTTCGAGATCCTCATTTCGTGATGGTTCGAAGGACCAGGGTCAGTGAAACATGCAGGATGACAGCCGCGGCTTCTCCTGCTGCTGACTGTGCAGCGAAGCGCTTGCTTGACACGTTCGCCTTTCGAAATTGAACTTTTGACGTGCATCCGAGGGCAGACGACCGCAATGGTGTGGCCGCGATTAACCTTCGCTTGGCTTTTGAACTTTCTCTTGAAACCAAGACCCGAAGGGTTTAGAATGTACGCCGTCAGATTGACTTGTTCCTGACACGGTAAACCTTCGAAACGCAGCATAGCCGCCTGGTTGGATAATCTAAATCCTATACCTGGATGAGATGATGCCCTAGATCTCGGTAGGAGATCTTGATGAGACACGCCAAAGGAATTTCTAGAGAATCAAAGGATTGCGCCTTGTCAGAGTGGATTTGAGTGTGCGATAAGACACTCAGTATTTTGCACGAGACCTGTTGAAGCTCCATGCAGCTTCTGGCCCGAAGGTTGAGGTCCTGCAAGGCTCTAGACTAGCTACTTTCCCACGATGTCACTGCTGCTGGGATAATTCTCGTCATCCTGCGTCGTCTGCAGCGCTGCAAAAGACAGCTTTGCAGAGTGGAAAGTCGTACGGGTGCAGTTCGCGTGGAGACATCCTGTTTCTGTAGCCGGGGACTTGCCGGAGACATGTGCTGGACGACATCGTCCGGACTGGCAATGATTAACAGGAGCGATTGACGGCCCTAGGCCGAGACGTGCGGTCCAGACATCAGATCAAACATGAATTTGTCGCTCGTAGTCAACTCTTCGCCATGAATTTCTGAAGAGATCATGATTATTGACAAAAGCTTTGTTAGCCATTCTAGCGCAGCTGCACTAGCAGCAGCCTTATGTCTCGCCGTTGGATAGTCTAAAAAAGGTATTGGCTGCTCATGAACTCGCGGTATTTCAAGTACGTCAGGAAAAGCTTCGCCATTGCTTACATGCCTTCATTACGCTGCATAGTAAATCAGACCAATCCTTCGCTAGCCGTCAGAGTGGACCTCGCTGAAGTCAAGTTCATAGCTGAATGGACTTAAGCTGTACTTCAAGTATGCTTTGGCCATCTCTGGAACTTCCAGCAATACTTAAACAAATACACTTGACGAATATTTGTCGCCAAAATCCCTGTGGCGGCCATCTAATACCTTGTGCCAAAAAAATACGATCCTTCCTCCGCACGACATGAATCTCATAGATAACAGAGCCGCATGACGGTTTCGCTTCTTTTTATCAGAAATTCCAACGGATACATGATGCAGCGTCACGTCGGATAACTTTCATCTATTCTGATAGACCTCGAAGCAAAACAATGGTCGTGACGATCATTCGCGTTACGAGCAAGGCCGTATTGCACAGCGCCAAACAACAGACCTCGATTCGAAAGAGCAGAATTTTGCTGGCTTGCTAATCGAAGCAATTCTGAGTCGCGGCGACGGAGGAACAAAAGCCCATATCGCTGTCTCAAGAAATAATGCGAGGGGATGCCTTAAATATTCGTATCGTATCGTTCGCAACAGAAACAGACTCATCTTGCATTTAGTAGTTCGAGCGCACTCTTGAATGCTTCGACTACTTTGATATCTGAGCCGTGTTAGCTCTCATCAACTCAGCGACCAGAAACCAGCCTTACAGTGTTGTCGTTTCTGTTCGACTAGTTCTTCAGAATTTTGAACGTGAAGCATTCTTGTTGCGAGACTGTAATGATGAGCATGCCTTCTGTGCTGAACTTGCTGCGTTGGACTTACCGCTTTGTTGCTCTCTCTGTCTCATGTGTTTGGCTTGAGCTGGCCCAAATCTGGAAGAACTGATAGCGTGGTCATTATGCAAAGCAATAAAAAGAGCTATCGACATGACAACTCACGCTGGTCAACTCATGAAATTCTCTCCAGAGCTGAAGCTCTTCAACGTTCCTTTCTTGAAGCATCTCTTGGAATCGCGTCTCCACGTCGTTCCAGTCAAAGTGGCCCAGTGGCAAATCTGGCGCATCTTCAACATCATCGGATTCCTGAACAGCTTCCTTGTCCTCTAGAGCTTCGACGATGCCGACGGTGATTAATTGCTTTGAAAAACGACCATCTTCATCCTCACAAGGAGACCTGACAGGTGGAGTTGTGGATTCATCCTTACGAGACGCTGTCGAGGGACCTTGTTCATCCATAATAAGCAAGAGAAAGTGATAATTGACCTTCTGAATGCAGCGGCTCGCTTTCTCAGCCAACTCAGCCTTGAAGGTGGCGCACAAGGCCTCTTTGGTGCTTCGCTTTGGCGTTAACAAGACTCAGCCATCATCTTAGGATCGAAATCAGCAAAGTAATGGAAGGGTGGGTGCATTAAAACGCGTCTACGCGACCTTGAATGGCGCCGGGATCGGCGGACCAGGCACTCGTCATGTGCCTCAACCTCGAGACTCAAGTTATCGCCAGCCTGACGTCGTGAAGACCTTCACTCTCCGTGTGCATACCATCTTATCTCAATCTCTCTCTCTAAATACCTACGTCTGTTCCATTATGCTCCGTTGACTGGCTCTGCTCAACGTCACAATGCTACAACACTCGCTGTGTTCAACGTTGTCACCGCTTGCTCGATATTACGAGTTCCACTTTGAACAGTACCTTGTACAAAGTACCTCTGTGGCGACTGCTCTTGCAGCACATTTATTTTACACAGGTTTTGCTCAGCACATATCACCCTCAGCCGGATAACCATGGAGTGCGACATATGTGGAAGAGCTAGCGGCTCCGGGGTTCGCTTTCATTGCCCGACATGTGCGCGCAACAGGCTGTACATGTTGCGTGCAGAGCATTTGGCGGTTCTCCTTGATAAGGAAGACATGGGGCGCAGAGTCGAGGCAGCAGTTAAAGGACATAGTGAAAAGCTACCACGAGAGACCTTGTCGCGCTCTGGCAGGATTATAGACACGCACGATTGTGCGAAGTCTTCGGAGATGGACAGTATCATCTCACAGTCAGCTTCTCTGGCGGAGCGTATAGACACCATAACTGAGCGTGCGCAAGCGCTTCGCGACGAGATGGAGCAGTATAAGACTGCTATCAAAGCCAAAAAAGCCTCGCTACAACAGAGGAGATCAGATGCCGAATCTGCCACGTTTGGTTTGGCTGAACGAGACGCCAAGGATCTTGAGTCCATCGAAGCCAGCATACGACGAACGAGGCGACGATGGGAGATGAAACACCACGAGATTGTCGATGGGAGGGCTGCGTTGTGTCGACCGGCAGCTAGGCTTGCGGGCTTGCGACGGCATCGACGGCCACGAGAGGACGGCAGTATGCGCGAGTACTACACCATCGGTTGTGGCATACCCATATTCGACCTGCGAGAGCTCCACACTGCCAAACAAGATGAACTTTCTGCCTCTCTAACGCAGCTTGCTTACTTGACGGCAAGAACTGCCAACTATTTGGCCCTGCGCCTGCCAGCAGAGATCACATTACCGCATAAAGATTACCCACTGCCTACCATTTTCCCACCGCAGTCATCATACCAATCGCGGGAAGTACCGTTTCCTGGCAGCACCCCATCTGGCTCAAGTTCAAATAGCCCAGTTGCATCTCGAACACTCGACACACGTTCCCTGCCCACACCACGGCCGTTGTTTCTGCGCATGCCTCTCTCAAAACTCGCAAAGGACGACACCAGACAATATGCGTATTTCATAGAAGGCGTGACGCTGCTAGCATGGGACATTGCTTGGTTATGCAAGAGTCAGGGCATGAGTGGCTTTGACTCCGAGTGGGACATATGTGCAGTGGGCAGAAATTTGTGGAATCTATTACTCGGAGAAAAGTCAAGCACAACAGAAGCCACGGCCAAGGACTCGGGAAACAAGCTTCCGCCAGACAACTATCCGACCCGTTTTGGAGAGTTCTCGCACGGTACGGCCCATTCGTTCTTTGGCTCTGCTGAAGGTAAGAATGTGATGAAGGACTGGCGCCTGCAGTCTCCTATGCGAGCCATTGTCAAGGTCCGGGAGTTTGTCAACAACGAGCTGCAGAAAGCGGAATGGGAGGTGCTCCACGAAGCCGAGTGGGACGTGGAGGCGGGCATGGACGAGGCGGTTTTGGTCGGTGGGAGAGAGCGCTTTGATCAGGAGCAGAAGGCGTCCACTAAAAGTGCCCAAGCCAAGTCGAAATCGCCACCGCCCGAGTCAGACTCAAAAAACAACAACTCGGTACGACCCGTAGGCAGACCCATTACAAATGACAATCCCCACGGTGCACCAGCGTCTGGAACGTCGGGCTGGATGAAGTTGCGGACAAGATTGTCAGAACAGCAGAAGTAAAGGTCGCATCTATGGAGGCGGTTCAAGCGTCGCGGCTTGACGGAGGCCAAGATTGTATGTACATGGTTCAGTTGACTCCTATTACTCACACGCAAACCAATTTAAAGAACATCGCCAGCAATTATGTGGAGCAAGGAGGGATGGACCATTTCGATTTGTTTGTCCTATAAATTATAATGAAGACCGTGTAGCCGCTTGAACGTGACGGGATGAAGATCAGCGAGGGGAACAAGGTAAAGCTGTTGCCTCCGCTTCGATCAATGAACGATGTGAGATTATCACTTCCGCATGCGGTGTAGACATGCTCCGTATCCGCTTTGGGGGAGACGCCCCGGTCAAGTGAACTTAGCGCATTTGAACGATGGCTCTGGGCGGTCAACAACATCAACACGGCGTGCTGACATTGTTGCCAGAGCCAATTTCAGGACGAAGCGAATGGAGTCGTGGGTCCCGGCTGCTCCAAGGACTCTCGACGAACCGGCCAACAGTCGCCGAATCAGACCAGGTCAAGATGCCACAGCGCGTGCTGCTGTAGGCTGCCGCTTGTTTGGATCGAATGCCCATCGGGAGCCTCTCCACATGACGGCACCAAGAGCGAAGAGGGAGATTGTCACAAGCAGCACAAGCGTGTCTGCATGTCCAAAGAAAGGTCATCCGCTAACCAACCCCAGTTTGGCGACCGCCCCCTCCAGCCAGGCACAGCAACGTTGTGGCTTGGATCTTTACGGAGGGAAATTTGGTTGGAGCGCCGACCACTCTGCCCCTGGCGCTAGGCCAATGACAGCCCAGCCGCCGTCCATCCATAGCAGTCGAGCGCCGTACGTTCCATATGGTAATTTCCCGTGCTTCTCTTATTGTTATCCCCTCGTCGTCGCTCGTTCATATCCCTTCCTTTCTCGCATTGCTCGTTCAACCAGAGCTGTCGTTCGCAATCTCTCCTCATATACTCCCACCACCGCTTCACTCGTTCAGCGGGCGCTCGTTGCTGTTTGCATTGTGTTTCTTTGCATTTTACGATCTCGTAACGCGTTTTCCGACCTCAGCATAAACAATGAAGGCGGGCATCGTCGCGTTGGCGGCGGCATCCCTCGTCGGATCTGCCGTCGCCGCTCCAGACTACTGGCCCGCAGCCAGCAGCAGCAGCCCAGCCGCCCCCGTCAAGCCGACAACGACCGAGGAATGCGAAGAGGAGGCAACCTCGTCGGCAGCTGGTTACTGGCCAGCTCATGCAAGCTCTTCGTCCGTGGCTTCGTGGAGCGCGAAGGCGTGGCCAAGCTCAGTCGCGAGCTCGTCGTCCGCTGGCTCATGGCCAGTGAAGCCGGTGAAGAGCTCTTCGGCCAGCGCCTGGGCTGTGCCGTCTTACTTCGAGACTGCCTGGGGCTGCTGCAAGACGGTTGTTACGGTCACTGAGTACGGTAGCAGTACGTGGACGGAACTATGACCAAGTGTTGCGCTTTACTGACAGACAGGAATAGTGGCCGCCAAGCCCACCGTGTGGTCAACTGCCAGCCCGGTCAGCCCGGTTCCGGTTCCAGTGGTGACGGCCTGGCCAAGCGCAGGTGTCTACACCCAAGAGGCGGTCACCGTGACCTTGACCAACACCGTGACCGTTGTGGCGCACAAGTCGCAGGCTCTCACCTCCGGAACGAACGTCTGGGGCGGTTCCTCCGTGACCGTGACCGCGCCAACCACCGTGTCTTGCGGCTATGTTGCTCACACCACAAGCGGCAGCGTCCTCTCCGAGTACGTTGCCTGGACCACTCTGGGCTGCGAGTCTGCTGGCGTCTACACCTGCGTTCCTGCTGCGACCTCCTCGTGCAGCGAGGAAACCACCATCACCTGGGCTGTTCCTACTGAGTACGCGCCAGGCACCTGGACCCTCCCCGCTACCACTGTGACCGCCACTGCGTCTGGCCAAATCTGGGAATGCCCGTTCGAGCAGGCGAAGCCAACCACCTCTAGCACCCCCGCTGCCCCAGTCGTCCAGCCTACATGGTCCTCCCCAGCTTACGTTGCGCCCGCATCCCCGAGCGCAACTTGGGCTGCCCCAGCCGCTTCCTCCAGCCCAGCCACCAGCTACGGCAGCGGTAGCGGTAGCAGCATTTCCACCAACGGCAACAAGTGGGCCATGACCTATACCCCGTACACCACTACCGGCCAGTGCAAGACCGCCGCCGAGGTCGACTCCGACCTGGCGAGCATTAAGAGCTACGGCTTCACCACTGTCCGTCTCTACGCTACCGACTGCAGCGGCCTCGTCAACGTTGGTGCTTCGGCCAAGAGCCACGGCTTGAAGATCATCCTTGGTGTCTTCATTGAAAGCAGTGGTCTCAGCGCTGCTTGGAGCCAGGTTGAGGAGATTGCCACCTGGGGCTCCGCAGGCAACTGGGACAACGTTGTCATGATCGTTGTCGGCAATGAGGCCGTCTTCAACGGCTACTGCAGCGCCAGCGACCTCGCCGCGTTCATCACCAAGGCCAAGGGTACATGGAGTGCTGCTGGCTACAGCGGCTGGGTCACAACCACCGAGCCGGTCAACATCATCCAGCAATACGCCTCGACCCTTTGCTCGGTCGTCGATGTTGCCGCTGCAAACATTCAGCCTTTCTTCACCTCGTCCGTCACCTCGTCTTCAGCTGGTGACTTTGTCGCTGGCCAAATTGCCCTCGTGGAAGCTGCTTGTGGCAAGACCGCCTACAACTTGGAGTGTGGCTGGCCAAGCGCAGGCAGCAGCAATGGTGCTGCTGTTCCATCCAAGTCTGATCAGAAGACAGCCATCACCGATATCTTGGCCAAGGCAGGTGACAAGACTGCCATCTTCAGCTTCGAGAACGATGCCTGGAAGGATGCTGGCGCGTTCGGCGTTGAGCAGAACTTTGGCTGCTCTGATCTGTTTGGCAGCTCAAGCTCGTACTAAGCTATGGGTTGTTGAAAGATGATAGGCGAGGACAAGCATGCGCTCGGAGATGCATTGATGAGCGAAAACCATTCGAGATTAATGTAAATGTAAAGTTTAGTGTTTAGTGTTTGAATCATTTTGTCTCATATTTACTTCACTTTTTGTGCGCAATGTATATGTGAGCATTATTCGCTTCCCCTTCACCCTGGAGAAACTTCGTAGCGTTATAGAGCAATTCAAGAGCGAGTGTTTCAAATGTCACGGCGCATTCTGCCATTCCAGATGGTCCTCCCGTTGCACTGATTGTTGAACGCCTCAATCATGCTATCACGCACTCACCCTATGCGCATAAGAATCGCTCAAAAGGACAGGCGATGCGAGCTCTGTTAGCTATCATAGCTGGGTGACATACCATATATAGGTGTGCCCTTGCACTTGCTCGCTACCAATGAATTCCCGTCAAATTGAGCCTTGGTCTTGGAGCTCGTAGGAATTCGGCACCAAAGTATGTCGCATAAAGCGGTCTAGGACAGCATCAACGTCTCGTCGCTTCGTCAGCGGTCGTTGCCGCCGCAGCTCCACAGCTGTATCACTCCGAGCAAACGGCTCACAACAGCTGGCGACGAGCGTCACTCCAGACCCTCTGACACCCGCGACCTAGCCCAGCGGGTCATCGCGCGGCGCGAGGCTGAAAGAAATGCACTTGGGAACGGCCAGACCGACGACCTGTTCGTCTGCGGTGGCAAGGATATCCGAATAAAAGATGTTCGGAGAGCATCTTCAACGTCTTGGCTCGCGGCTGAACAGTGCTCGTCCACGTTTCTTAACCTGTCCCGGCGGCATCTACCGCCGAGCCAAGCATCAAGACGAGCCAAGCATCAAGAGAAGCGATTCTGGTGCGGCTGTCATGCAGGTGCCGTCTTCGTGTCCCATCTGGACCATTGGGCTCTCGTATTGTCTTGCGAGCCAGCATGGCGGAAGCATCGGTATCCGACAGAACATTTGGATCCGCTTGTTGGACCGATACTTTTTTTTTTGGGGAGGTGGGTGGGGGGTGGTAGGCCAACACCCACGAGTGCTCCGAGAGACTTCCGATAAGCAGTAAGCGCACCGTCCGCATTACGAGCCTATCTTCGCGACATAAGCCGAAAGAAAAAACTAATCCTGACCCAGTTGACTAAACATTAGTGTTGCTACAGCCAAACATTGCCACAATGATATACTCAACAAAAAAGTTGGAGCGTGCTGGTGGGGGCTCTGTATCACTCATTGGCGAAACCAGACGTCGTTTGGATTTGCTGCAGGCTTTGCCAGTTGGCCAAGAGCGGTTGATAGCAAGCCAGCGGCTGAGATCACGACCTGGAAGGCTGAATGCTCTACGACAATTGTCTAAAAAGAAATGGTCGACAGCAACGAGGACCCTTGCATATACAAGCACAGAGGATGAATGGGCCCACATCCACAACGTTATCCTATTTCGAACATATTGCCTCCGTAACCCTTGTTCTGACATCGGATAGGCAAATTACCCAATCCGTTTGCTGGAGCTTGCCGTCGTGACCACCACAGTACTTGAGAGCAAGACGTACTGTCCACCGGATCCACTTTCGCATTTTTCTGCTTCTCTTCTCAGTACGGGTTGAGCTTAACACGCCCAAAAATGCCCTTCATTCATGATGCTATGGACGAAAAAATCAATCCTCAGAATGCATCACTGTTCTTCAGCCGACTGCCTGGTGAACTACGTAACCAGATCTACGAATTGGCCATGACCGCCGACAAACCGATTGTAGATCCCACCATTCCACCAACATATACAGCATTCGCAAAGGCGATGGGATACCGTACGGATCACCATCGTGTGCCCGACTTGAGTACTCAGTTGCTCCGAACGTGTAAGCGAATGCATATGGAGATCTCAGTAGGGCCTCTCTACGCCAATAACACCTTCCGCTTTACCACTTCGTTTAGCGCAGACAAATTCCTATCCGCGTTGCCGCACGAGTACCGAGGGATGATCCAAGATGTCGAAGTGGATCTTCGAGAGGTGAATGATGCGCATCCAGCAGTTGAAAGGGAGTGGATTCAATACCTGTCGTGGAAGCCACAAGTGGACTCGTTCAGGGCGACGAAAGTAGGGAGCCTGCGTTCTGGGGCGCCGAATGTGAGAACCTTGCGTATCAATATCGAGTGCTGGAGGGTGCAGGAGATGATGCGTAGCGTGGCGCTTCTGAAGGAGCTCCTGCAGGGTCCTCACAAGCTGCAGCGCATTGTTATGACTGGTGTCGATGGGAGCGAGCTACTTTTTGGGTCTAGAGAGCGATACCTTGAAAAATGGGGACCAGTCGCTTTTGTGGGTGTGATGCGTTTCGCGCGACTCGCTGGAATGACAGAATGGATGGCTAACGCCGTCGAGGGTGAGAAAGAAGACAAAGTCGTCATGTGGGAAAAGAAAGGTCCTTGTGTGAATCTCGAGATAATGACCGGGAGCGAGTATAGGTTGCAAACGGGGAAGAGAGCGTCATGGCTTGAAAAGGGAGCCACGTACAATCCTCTAAAAGGAGTCTGCTTGTTGGACGCGTACGAACAACGATGGCATTCTGGCGAATGGCCAAGAGATGGTGGCTACTGAGCGCTGGTGCGGATAAGTTTGATTCATGTCAAATGATAACCCACGTTCAATCCCACCTGGTCCTCACAACCGGCCTCGCAGGATCCCACGGACCATGAATCTCGTTCTTGTACTTCTGGAGCCCGACCAGCCACCAGGTGCATATTCCCATGGCTAAAACAGTTAGAAAGCTTCCGAGTATGGAGCCAACAATTCCAGCGAACCATCCACCTCCACTGACCGTCACGCCAACACCGGCACCGGCGCAAAGCACGAGCAAGATCGTGGTTGCTATATGTGCCCACTGGGACACATGCTTCAGGTGCCTGCGGAAGACTGGAAAAAGGCCGAAGACTTCAATGGAGAACAGAGTCAGAGAGAAGACATGCGTCGTGGAGCTAAGACGTGACGCCAGCACGGTTGAGGCCATGAGCGCTGCGTTTGTGGATAACGAAGCCGGGAATCTGAATTATTTTTGTATTAGCTTTGAGCCCATATCGAATATAGTACGTGATAGAAATAAGGACGGGTTTTGAAAACATACTTTGCGCCGACTCCTCCGCCGTAGTCGAAAAAGGCAACATTGATGCCCATGAGCCAGGAACTCATTGCCCATATGGAATCGCTTGTTGTTGACTTGGTCAGTGATTTTAGGATGGGCGACAAACCTAGCAAGGCGCAGTATATGAGAATTGATGATTTTATTGTAGCCAACCGTTTCTGTGTCCGTGGGGAGTAATACAGGCTTCGCTCACCATACGGAGGCACGCTGGTGTATGCTGCGAACGTAGATGCCCCCGTTGGATGGCCCACGGGCGTGGATGGCCCCGATCCCTGAGAAGAGGTTGGTCGTGATGTCAACGGTGTCCCAGTGGTACTTTCGAGTTCTCTGGCGTTGCTCGAACCTGGCGTAGCATCTCCGTTCGCCAGATCCAGCTTTTCCACGCCTGCCGTATGAAGCTTTGCCTCTTCCTCCTTCTCTTGCTGGCCAACCCAAGAGTCCCACAGGACCCATCCGACAATAGTAGCTATGCTACTCCAGAATACCACAGTGGCTGGACTGATCCTCTCCTGGTAGATGCCGGTGAAGCAACACAGAAATATAGCCACACTACAGACGTGCTGAACTATCACCGTCGCTTCGGCAAAGAGCTTCCAGAACTCGTACGGCTGCAGTCGCGGGTTGCGCTGCAGGTGATCCAGAAACGTGTACTCGTCCGTGTAGTTGTCCGGATAGCTCTGCTTCACCCAGAGCAATTTCGCCCACGCGCCTCTCCTTCTCTTACTCCCCCTTCGCCTGCCCTCTCGCGTTCTCGATCTCCTCGGATCGCCGACCCTGTCAGCCGACCCATTCGCCCCTGTTACACCCAGTGGGCTGCGCGCCCTGTCCCGCGGGGGGGAGCACACATGGTACGCATCTTCTGGTGCTAGGCGCGAGGGGTCGGTCGTGCTGCCGTGCTTGGACAAGTGCCCGTTGGCGAGTTTATTTGCGCTCATCGAAGAGCATGGCGCTGCATAAAGAAGGCTATGTGTTAGGGAGCGTGTGTTGATCTGTCTGGGAGAGTAACTCAATGCGAAGTGGAAAGGCTGGACATGAGAATGTCGAGTTCGAGCTTGGTGGTCGGACTGGAGTTGGGTACGAACCCGAGCAGCTGGTAGCGACTCGCGATCCGACTAGCTTGTTAGGCGCGTCGTGTTGGGCGCGCAGCGAATTTCTGGGACCGACTCACTCTCTGACATGACCCCAGGCCCAGGTACGAGGCTGAGATTCGTCTTTTTTTCGAGAGCATACAACATCGCACTCCCGCCAGCTAGTTTCTTGGTGTATTTCTTTGCTCCTCTCATTCTCTGGCCCCATACTCTCTGTTTTTATCTCGTTACATGCCCCCAGTCTGGCGTCAGCATACGCTTCCAGTGCGGCAACCATTGGCCCCTCTCGTTGCCGTGGGGATCTGTGTTGCTCTGACGAAGAGTGCAGAGCGTGCAAAGAAAAAGGCAACCGACCGACCGACGACGACGACTCGGCCCGGCCTCGTGCACTATCGCTCTCGCTGATCGCCTTGCCAACGCATCGCTGCCTGTCGTTGTCGCGCTGATAAGCACTGCACCCTCTCCTCTTCTCCTCCGCTGACTCTCCGCACACAACGCCACGCTTCTGCCTTCGCTACGCTCAGCAGGATCGGCAGTATTTGGACGGGCATTGCGCATCCCACCCATCGTTTGACACTCGCTCGTCGTCTTGGATGTCAGTATTGCAGTGCTCTTCGGCTGTTCAAGCTGCTGCGTCCTGCAGATTTTCGCCAGAGCATACTCGCTCCTTTGGCTGAGAAGATCCTTCCGCGAGTCGCCCTCCCCGTGTGCTAATCTGAGGCTACAAGACTCTCAAAACAAGGAGAGGTCCTGGAAATAGTGTTTGGCCTGTGTAAGAACCAGATTGTAAGGTTGAGAGTACGTTTGGCAAGTCAGCACCATCGAAGGACCACCCTGTGTTCTAAGTGCAAGTATATCGGACTCTCCCAGATCAATTTCGAGGTAGTCAGAAAACTGTTAGCGGCTTAAGCAATTAGCTTTTACGTTATTCTATCTTTTCGTAAGTCGATTTCCTGCACGTCCATTCCGCAAACATATACATAGAGGAGGCTGCGGCCATGTCTGACAGCAGACCAACAGAACAACCGCGATGGATCATGACCCTCATGACCTTACGCAACCGCTGACACAGAAAGTGCTGGATCCTCGACGGATTGGACGAAACAATTCAGGACTCTCAACTGCTGACATCTCAGATGTAATATGTATCCTCCACCCATCCTCCCCGGCGGCGTTTCGGATCGTGGCGAAGACGGCTAAACTGAAACCCCAACACGTCCTACAGAATGAGAAGTTCGAGACGTTGGAAAATGGTGCTGATGGTATTCCATTAGAGGAGCAAGAGACGTTTGTGATCAGCTCGGAAATAATGGATAATGCTCAGGACCTTGCTTTGCGATTCTCCTCTGAGACTGTGCAGCTCGTCCTGGGGTTCTGCTTTGGCCGCAATGCTAAAACATGCGACATTGTTATAGACACGGATAGTATGAAGCGTGTGAGCAATCTGCACTTTCGAATCTTTCTCAACCCTGCCGGTGTCCTGATGCTAGAAGACATGTCCACCAACGGAACGCTCGTGGACGAAAAGCACCTAAAAGGCAAGAACTCGCCTGTTCCTGCGACGAGGATGCTACAGGCTGGGTCGATTATACAAATACCTTCAATTAAGCCGGATGAGGCGATCAAATTCATCGTTCGAATACCCTCACGGGACGGATATCGAGATGAGTACACCAGTAACTTGCGCAAATACCTCAACCGGTTGAGAGCCGCGGAGGAAAAGCACCAGCTTAATCATCGAAACAATCCTAGACGGGCAAGCGTAACGCAAGCAATGTCAGATGTTCCACTTTATGTTCCCTCCAATAATTTTGGCATGAAATGGGATGGTGGAGAGCAGTACAATGTTGTGGGCTTGTTGGGAAAAGGAGCTTTCGCAACGGTGTATCAGCTTGCTACGAAGATGGAAGGAAAGCATTACGCAGCGAAAGAACTCGAAAAGAAACGCTTCATAAAAAATGGCCGTCTTGACCAGCGACTGGACAACGAGATGCAGATCATGAAATCAATACGGCACGAGAATATTGTCCAATACATTGGCTACCATGATCACGCGGAGCACCTTTATATCATCATGGAGTACGTGCCTTGCGGTGATTTACAAGGTTACCTTTCGGAGCATAAAGTTCTGCCCGAAACGGAGGCCAAGCTTATGTCGAGACAGGTTCTCGATGCCCTGCAGTATCTCCACGGCAAGCAAATCACTCACAGAGATATAAAACCGGACAACATCCTTATTGCACAGCACAATCCGTTTCAAGTGAAGCTCTCTGACTTCGGCTTATCGAAAGCTGTCAATACCAATGAGACATTCCTCAAGACTTTTTGTGGCACCTTGCTGTACTGCGCGCCAGAAGTTTTTCCGCACTACGAGGAACATATGGCTCAAAAAGGGGTGAAACGACGAAGATCTGGGAACGCCTTTGCGCCCAAGTTTCATTCTTATAGCCAGTCCGTGGATATCTGGTCGTACGCTGCAGTGCTTTGGCTCTCGATGTGTGGGAAACCTCCCTTCGAAGGCGTAGTGGATCAGACGGGCAAGGGCATGTTCAACAAAATCATGGAGACCCGGTTGGATATCAATCCTCTGCTCGCGCACGGAATCACGCCACAAGCAATTGATCTTCTGTGTCGAATGCTCAACACGGATCCCTCAAAGCGACCTACAGAAACAGAGTGTCTGCAGCATCCGTGGCTGTACGACGGGCGACCAGTACTTGCTTCTGAAGCTTCATTAGGGCCAATCCACGAAGATGTTGAAACCGCGCCTACTGTCGAGGGTCAAGCAAGAGCATTCTCCCAGCTTAGTGTCCATGACTCGGCCCCTACCGCAGGCGGCGCAAACAGGCAATTGTCGAATGTTCAAGAGGAAGAATACGACGAGCCTTTGCCAGAGTTTGACTCCGGAGATCTAGATTTCCTAGACCCTCGACAGTCGAAACGGGTAAGGGCGGATCAGCTTGTACCACGACACCACGTGCGGGACCAGGCAGCAATCCCGTCGTCGAGCCCTGAATCTTCGCCCACCGGCGAACGCAAGGACGAAGAAGGTCTCCCCATTCCCACTAGGCCACGTCAAGAAAAACCGGCTCGTTATTTTGGCGAGATCAGCAATTCGGCTTTGCAGAGCTCGGGCTTGTTGGGTGAAAGGGCGATCGAGGCGCTGGAAATGCCTCCGAGCGACGAGGCGGAGGCTGAGGCGACCAAGTCCAAGATGTCCCTTGATCCATCAATGGAAAGTTACCAAGCTGCTCAGGGTGACGATGGTATTCTCCGCAGTGATGCAGGGATGGTCCATTATCCCAGTCTTTTAGGGACAGACTCCGAGCTGCGGGAATTGAACATGGCCGATCTACCAAACCATGAACCAAACACGTCAGGTGATGCCTCGGATTCGTTAGACGAGCCGCAGACACCGAAGACGCCGGATGAGTATTCGGAAAATTCGTGCAACACAAAGTCACCGGTCAGTCAACCGAAGTCGGTGTCGAAAGAAGCAACGCCTAGGCAGGAGCACTATTCCCCAGCTCGCGAGCACACGCAGGTCCCTAGTTCGATCCCTCTGTCGATTGTGCCGGCGAACGGAAACAGTCGACCACTTCTAGGTGTTCTAAGGTCTACACCAGATTCGTTCGCGTCCATCGAACTCAAGCTCTACAATCGTCTCTCGCACTGGGGCCGCGACCCAAGCAACACATTTGTGCACCCTGACAAGTTCGACACGCGTATCTCTAAGCGCGCGTTCTTGATCTGGTTCCATGCTTACGGGATCGAGAAGGACGAGCGGGAGGGCCGCGAGTGGTGGCGAAAACCCGACATCCATACGATCATCAACACCAACAGCAGCACCTTCATCTCCGTCAACGGGGTAAAATTAACCAGGAAGGACGTCGATGGAGAGCCCATGTGCGGACGGCTGTACACAGGCGACGTAATTGAGGTGTTCAGGGGCAGCAATCGCATCACAGGGAGTCAAGAGACCTTGAAGTTCATGTGCGAGTTCTATGTTGGCGAGGCGGAGGCACGCAGGCCTGAGGACATGCCATTTGTACCAATCAGAGCGATCGAACCCTCGCAACCACGACAGAGCTTCTGAGCGGCCTCTGCTTTCTTGCTGATGGCGACGAGGACGGGGCACCCCTCATGACTCGCGCCTCATGGCCCGCATGCTTTCAATCCAGGCAAGCACGACGAAAGTCTTAGAATATATCAAAACAACCTAAAACAGCGATCCTTTCGAATCCCAGTTTAGCACGGCGTTTCATGTGTCAGAAATACACACACACACACTCACACACACACTATTTGTTTGTCATGATCCAACAAGGAGGGGAAGAGGAACAGGAGGAGAAAGAGGAGGAATGGAGGGCCACATGTCTCAAGAATGGAAAGAGCAGATACGGGCGGAGAAAAGAAACCGAAGTGATGCTTTCTTCTGGGATTAGCCTTCGCATTTGGGTGCTTGAGGCACCGCGTTTGTGAGCACGATACTTGTGCCATGGATAGTCCAATCGATAGAGTGGCGCGATAATTCTGCTCTGTCTGTACGTAGAACAAAAATCGAAGACTTCTGCTCGAGACAGTGGACAGAATGGGCTCGCAATGGTTTGCGAAGCCAAAATAGGAAAGTCAACTCGAACGTGAAGCAGGCGGCAAGGTCGCCAGCATGGAGCTGACAGCCACATGATGCGGTCCGCGATGAAGCCAAAAAAGGCGTTGACGAGCGGAGAGCGTAAGGGGGCAGCTTTCAATGGCTGGAAACACGGGCTGCACCCCAGATTATGTTCCGACGATCCAAGATCGGTTACTGCCGGCGAGGGCGGGCTGGGACCGATGAGGCAGCGCCCCGCGTTAGCGTTCTGCGGACGCGTGATGCGAAGTCCGGGGCATGCGGCTGCTGAGGGGCGGCCTGGAGAGGCGTGGACGGAGGGAGGCAAAGGAGGCGCACGCGTGAACGAGCAGAGCACACCGCTCGCTGGCGTCGAGCAGGTGACGCGGACACGACGCGACGCTAGACGTTGCTCTTATTCATAGCGCGCAGCGGCTGCGGCCTGTACGTGTTCGGCGGACGGAGCTCGCCAGCAGCGAGAGGCAGTCACGACCCAAGGCCGAACTGGCCAGCTGGCCAGCGCTGGGGCTCTCGTCACCTGAGCAGGCGAACAGCCAGGTGACGCGAGCTGGGCGGCGTGCACTCACACACTCTCTCTCGCTCGCGCACTCTGACGCTCTCGCGCTCGCGGAACTGCTCCGCCCGCCGAAAACAGCCTCAGCACCTTGCCGCTCTCCCTCTGCTCTCTCGCCCTTTCTCTCGCACCACTTCTCTGCACGCCCAAGACCCGCAAGAAAATCATCCTCCGCTTCCCCAGACTCGTCGCCAGCCAGCACCACCGTGCCTCCGCGGAAATGGCGTCCCCATCCGGCCAAGAGCTGGCTGTCCAACCGCTCTGAAACGTGCGGGTGAGGAGACGTTGGCGGAGATCGAGGGGAAGCAGTTTCTTGAGGGTAATGGGAATGCCCTTTCAGGATTACTATGACTTGATGAGTACAACCCTTTCACGCCTCGTGATTGAGCCTTTGGCTGTCTGGCGTTTGGGCTTGGGTGTCCGCCCTGCGCTACGCATGCTGGATCTGCTAGCAATAAAATTTTCGATGGCTGCTTCGTGCACATCGCCATTCCACCCTCTGCCGCCATCCGCGGCCATTTGCCATGCTTCTTGGCGCCGTCCGGCCTGCATCATCGTTGGCATACAATTATTCCATCAAAAGCTCCTATTGCACCGTCCCAGGGTCAGACGTCCATCGCTTGTGAGCATTTTCGCTCTCTCGGACGGCCTTACCTGGATTTTAGTCGACTTTTGTCGCATGCAGAAAACGTGCTGCCCTCCGACCTGGGTCTTTTGGTGCATTCTGGCTGGCCTTTAGTCATAACCGACCAGGTGACCGCTCCATAGAAACCCATCAAAGTTTTCGACGTACTCCAGTCATTCGCTTCCAGTACTGTCCCTCCCGTTGCTAGCCTTCTTTCGTCATATATAAACAATCTTTCGCCACTCGTTTCGTCTAACTTCGACGTGCCGAAAGGAAAAAAAAAAAACATAAAATTCTGTCGTCTCTGGCCAAGTTGTTCGTTGCCGTATAACTACCACGTTCCTGTCTGAGAGACCAATCATCCGCACAAAAAGAAGTACTTCACACTTAGTTTCTTGCTGTCATCATAGCATGCACCTGAACGAGTTTCCAACTGAAATCCTTGCCAGTATCCTCAAGTACGCCGCTGAATTCAATGAGAGGGAAGGTGTGACTTTCACCTTCGGCTTAAGCCAGCCGTTGCTACGCGACCAGAAGAAGGTTCAGCGATACGTACGAGGGCCAGTTCCGCCTCCACTTCTGAAATGGGACTCGACGGCCTCCATTAGACAAGTCTGCAGACGATGGCACGACTGGGGCCTCGGCTATGTTTTCAGAGACATCTACGTCCGCCGCTGGCGCGGAGGCGAGCGATGGTGTGATCTATCGCTCCAGCGTGGTGCGTACTCCTCTTGTATTCGATGGAACATGTGATGCTGACTAGATTGCAGACAAGTACAGCCTATATGAGATGATCGACAATCCGCGCGGTGAACGTGTGTATCGCAATCCATACCAAACGCTCACCCGAACGCGAGACTTCTTCGCGGAGCTTCCTCAGTTCGCCGTCAACGTCCGCCGACTTTGGTTCGATGGACTGTACGTGCCAGAGACCGATGCCCAGATCATCGAAATCTTGCACAGTTGCAGGAACTTGACCACCGTCACTCTGCCATGGACGTTACTTCGCAATGCGTCGCCACGCGACTGGGCTGAACTTCTCGGTGTTCGGCAAGCAGCACCGCTGCACACGCTCGAGCTGCACGCCATCGACCTGCCAGAGAAACAGGCGCAAGAAGTGCTGAGCGTAACCGACCAGCGACCACTGGATTCACGAATGGTCGACTTCTCACAGCTCCGACGTCTCAAGCTCTTCGGTGACACGAAGACTCGACCTATCAACGACGATGACCTGAAGGCCATCGCTCGCACCGCCACCTCGTTGGAGGACTTCCAGATCACTTGCATGTCCACGGTTACCTTGGATGGCGTCATGGCGATCGTGAAGGCGTCGCGCAACACTCTCCGGGTTCTCGAGCATTCGCCTCGAGCGCAAGATGGGTTCAGCCACCCGCACCCGGGCGTCTACTCCGAGAACGAGCACATCTGCGACATCTTGACGAGCTGCCCGAAGTTGCAGGACTTGTCGATCTCGCTGCCATCGATGTGCGCTAGTCTGTTCTCGAACACACGGGTGCTGTGGAAGGGAGATTGCCAAGTGCGCGCTTTGCATCTCTGCGGACACGAGGAAGGCTCGACGAGCAATGCGGCCATTGTGGCCATGAAGGATCTGTTGAGGCAGGCGCGCCGTCTCATCACCTGCCGTGCAAACGCCTATTTCCCTGAGCAGCTCACCATCGAACTTTTCTTTGGTGACTACATCTTCGACCCGCACATCGAGAGCGTCCACGGCGACTTCTCCATGGCTGAGCTCATCTCGCAGGGCACATGGCCATCTCGAAAGATGCTTTCACGCAAGGGCCCTTACGGTACCACGGGTCTCTATGGGAAGAAAGACGAGGAGCACCCCTTCGACCGGGTTTCTGAAGACGACTTCTTCAGCGGTGTCGGCCGAACCCTTGTTCAGCTATGATTACGCCTAACTCTCCATTTATGATTTTTCCCTCAAACTATTTTTTCCTGGCTCACGCTCCTCTCGGGCTCGTCAATTGCTTTTCGATGTCATTAGCGCTGGAGTTGGGACTTTACGAATCGGGAAAGTGGCTGGGTGGGCCAAACTCCAGCAACAGCATTTGCGTGAGCGGCAATTTTCTTTCTTCTCTTGGGCTGGTCTCAAAAAGCCATTGCAAAAACAGGCGTCGATGGAGGACACGAGCATGTCGACGAACGTCGACTATTCATTTTTGTTGAAGCGCATCAACGAGACATTACGACCGTAAAAAAAAAGTTATTGTACAACTAGTTTTAGGAAATATCAAAGCTGCATGTCACGAGCCCATTCGAGTTTGTGTGTTGCAGAAGAGTAGTGAGGTGCCCTCGTTCAGTGCGTATCGGCCCAAGATAATCATCCGAAGTATCCGGCCTACGTAAGCAAGAAGAACCACTTTTGACTGTCCCACAACGCAGATGGTACCTGAACGGTTGCGCTCTGGAAATGGTACGGTTCGTTTGAGATTAAATCCTTTTCCGGTCCCCATACACAGGTCATTCGTTGGATTTCTGTTCTTTTTTTTTTCCTTTTCGGAGGGCTGTTATGTTTTGGCTTTTTTCATGGGAACCCGTGACCGCTGACAATGTCCGCTCTGCACCGTGACGACGAGGCGAATCAAGTGGAACCGTTACTCCAGGATTCAGACGCCTACAGCTTGCACTCGCTCGATGCGGACGAGGAGCGCCCTGCGTCCGCGCCCAAAGCGGGAACGAGTCGGGCGAAATCAGTGACGCACCGTGTCGAGCCCATCTTCCCAAACGCGCAGTCCCTGGCTCTGAAGACGTTTGAGAGACTGGCTCCCTCGCGGACCCGCAAAGCCGTGGCCCTGGGCCTGGCATGTAGCTTATGGCTTTTGTACATGCTGTATCTCGTCCACCGAAAGACGTCACTGTTGCCTGTGCCTGGTTTTGGGGTGCCCAGAAGGCTGACCTGCTACTCCAATGCATTCGTACGTGAACGCCCTCGAGGGCGCACGCGGCAAGGCTAACCTCGTTCGAACCAGGGCAATATCGTCGAACGATATGCCGTTCCCTCATGTGACACTTTCACACCTGAGTGCATGTCTGGCATCCCGCCACCCTTTGCATTCCAGTGCCCTACCGGTTGTTCCGAAGCTCACATACAAGAGGAGCACTATCTCGGTGACAAGTTCGTGGACCACGGGATATGGGTAGTTGGAGGGGGTCTGGACAGCAACGGCCGATCGGTCTACCGAGCTGATTCTTATATCTGTGGCGCCGCTATTCAATCCGGTGTGATCTCGGACCGGGACGGCGGCTGCGGTGTTTTGCGTCTAAACGACGGCCAAGACGGTTTCCCAGGAACGGCAGCGAGCGGGATTGAGAGCATGGACTTCAATTCCAGCTTCCCCTTTGGCTTCACCGTTGAATCAATAGGTGAACCTGACCCGCGATGCTACGATACGGTCTGGATTCCTCTCGCCGCGTCGGTGCTTTTGACAAGCGTCATCTCCTTGCTCACAACGTCGCCCCGCGTATTTTTCTATTCTACTTTCACAATCGTCTTCTTTCAAACGGCACTTATATCGGACGCTCCAAGCTTTGACAGCTACCTGCAAGTCGTCCAGGTAGCCCTGGCGCGGTTCCTCCCGGCGATGTTTGTCGCCTTCGCCATCTACACATTTTGCGCGCGCACCACGCTCACAGACCTGAACGCCCCGATCGAGAAGACGGCGCTGTGGCTTGGAGGCTGCTGGTTCGGCGCCTTGGAGAACTACACATTCGACAAGCTCCCGCTATCGAGACTGACTCCGCGGGATCTCACCAAGCCCGGAGCAGCCGTTGTCCTCGTCTGTGCCATTCTCGCGATCCTTGCCGCCGCAGCTACGCAAGCGTGGGCCCTTTGGAAAGAAGGACGGTTCTGGACGTACTTCAGCTTTTACCGCTACCTGGGCGCTGTCCTTCTCCTTCTCAGCCTGGTCCCCGGCCTAAACTTACGTATACATCACTACATTCTGGGGCTGATCCTGCTACCCGGGACAGCTATACAAACAAGACCAAGTCTGCTGTTCCAGGGCTTCCTCGTCGGCCTATTCATCAACGGCGTGGCTCGTTGGGGATTCGCAAGTATTCTTGAGACGGATCGCTTCTTGGCGCGTGAGGGTCAACTCGGATCCGAGGTGCCCGAGTTCTTCGCACCCATCATGAACGGAAGCACAATCACATTCACATTTCCGTCTTTTCCGGAGGAATGGGACGGTATCAGCGTCATGGTTAATGACATTGAAAGAACTAGACTGGCCAAGTCGTCGGGCGACACCGTTTTTACCTGGAGCCGTTTGAGACTCGAGGACCTGTATTTCCGCTTTGCCTACACGAAAATGGGATACATAGATGGTATCATGATGGGCGATTTTACGAAACCAGGTACTTGGGCGGCAAATGGCACTTGGATCTTCTGATTTCTGTTTCTCCAATAGAAACGTGTAATGGCGCTGCGGCCTAGCGCTCAAAGTTGTACAAATGTGTATAATACTGTACAGAAATGCCGTCTCATGCCCTGGATTGCAACCAATGTTAATCTGGTTCTGTAGTGGTCGTGGACTTGTGTGAAGGGTAAAAGAAGGCGAACAGGACGTCGTTTGCCCTACGCCACGCGCTGCGCCACAGCTCTCTATGTTGACGCCATGTGACTTTCGAAAACAGAGCTAAAACGCTGCCTTGCATGAGGCTATCTTGGCCTAGCCAGGAGACTTGCAGCGCATCGAGAAGTACTTACGTGTCAACAGCAACAAGCCAAAGGCATGCGTTGCAATTGACGAATTGATTCGGTGCCTGCACTCCCAGGCCGTAATCATCGCACTCTCCGCCGAACAGGGTTTGGCTTCGGAGCCACGTCGGAAGTGTGACATCGGTTCAAAGTTCGCCCCAGAAAAAAAAGGCCAGCGAGGCTACTTTTGCAACTGGTAACCTTGGTCTTGCAGGTGGGCCAGTCGCGAGCGCATACACATGGATTTATGCCTTCCTCAAGTGGCAACTTTTCTTACATCCCTTCATCTTTGAATTCGATTACTTTGCCACCAAATCCGTTTGAAGTCGACATACGCTACACCCCACTCCACGTTGCGCACGAACGACAGGTCCGAGCCGGGAGAGAACACGGGTCCCAAGAAATCAACGCACAAGAGCTTGATATTTTCCAACCTTGTGCTCATCCTCAGAGAGAGACTGCAAGCCTAGATACGTCGGGCCCACAGAAACGAGCCAGCAAGGAGGACGCGACCGTTTCCGATTCGGACGGCGAGAGCTCTGATTCGCCAACCGCACCCTTACTCGGTCAACCAGGCGCACAAGGACAGGACGAAGAAATATCCATGGGCAAGAGGAAGGCGTCGCCGCGCACGAAGAACGTCGTAACCAACGGTCACGCAGCGGAAGCCGCAAACGGCCACGCCAGCGACGGCCGCGCAAAGTCAACGAACATGGAATCTTCATTACTTGGACATCGGCGTAGGCATTCGGTGCTGGACTCACCTACGTCTGCATCAGGTGCCGTGCATCTGATGAGCAGGAGCAACTTCTCGCTAGACGAGGATGTTCCTGACATACTTAGCCACGAGAAGGATGGCAATTCGAGAGGATTTACGGACCTGCCTGAGCAGGATAAGAAGAACTTTTTGCTCCTAGTACTGTTGTACTTCTTGCAAGGTGTGCCGATGGGTCTAGCCATGGGCAGTGTCCCGTTCTTGCTCAAAAAGCACGTCAGCTACGCGCAGATGGGCGTCTTCTCCCTAGCTTCGTACCCTTACTCCTTAAAACTGCTGTGGTCGCCCATTGTGGATGCCGTGTGGAGCCCAAACGTTGGAAGAAGGAAGTCGTGGATTCTGCCCGTTCAGACAATGTCTGGTTTGAGCATGCTATGGTTGGCGGGAAGAGTAGAGGCTCTGATGGCGCACGCCGCAGAAAACGACGGTGCCAACGTGTGGGGATTCACGTGGTGGTGGTTTGGCCTGGTATTCATGTGTGCGACGCAGGACATCGCAGTGGACGGTTGGGCATTGACGTTGCTCAGCCCAGAGAACTTGAGCTACGCGAGCACCGCGCAGACCGTGGGCCTGACGGCTGGCCAGTTCTTATCAAGCACGATTTTCTTGGCGTTCAACTCGGCGGAGTTTGCGAACAAGTGGTTTCGAAGTTCGCCTGGCGAAACTGGTCTCATTTCATTGAGTGGAGCGCTCTCGGCGGCTGGATGGCTGTATCTGATAGTCACAGTGGGTCTGGCCGTCGCGAAGAAAGAGGAGCTTACCAAGAATGACGAGGGTGTTTGGGATGTCTACAAGGTCATGTTTGGCATTTTGAGGCTGAAGCATGTCCAGACACTGATCATTGTCCACTTGATTGCGAAGATCGGCTTCCAAGCCAACGACGGCGCAACTATGATGAAGCTGCTGGACAAAGGTTTTGGACAGGACAACCTCTCACTCACGGTACTGATTGATTTTCCCTTCGAGATTGGTCTTGGCTACTACGTAGGGAAATACTCGTCGATTTATGGCCCCATGCAACTGTGGAGCCTCGCCTTTGTAGGCAGAATTGGGGCCGCGCTGGTTGGACAGTTCATTGTTTGGGTATTCCCAAGCAACGGCGTTTCCTTTGGCTATCTAATGCTGGTCATCTTCGGGCATGTCTACTCCACGTTCATGAACACCGTCATGTTCGTTGCCGTGAGCGCATTCCACGCAAAGATTGCAGACCCGGTGTATGGAGGTACCTACATGACTTTACTTGCTACGTAAGTACTGAAAAAGCATCCTATAGAGCCTAAACACTGACTCCGCTTAGCGTGTCCAATCTCGGAGGCACATTCCCGAAATATTTCATCCTCAAATTCATCGACGCATTCACGGTGGCAACATGTGTACCACCCACGTCCATTCCACCCGATCTTAAGGGTGATCCAGTTATTTCACCTTTTTCCTGCGTGCTGGAGCCGGACAAGACAAGATGCTCGGCTGGTGGAGGTACTTGTAATACCACGACTGACGGGTATTACATCGTCAACATTCTGTGCGTCATTGTAGGGCTTCTCACTTTCTATGCCTACATTAAACCGGCTGTGAAGAGATTGGAAGCCCTTCCCGTCCGTTCGTGGAGACTCGTCGCGTAGAAAGAATACGCCGTATTTTCATATGTTATCATGTAAAATTATAGCTATGAATTAGTCTAGTGATAGAGAGTTAAGTCTCGCGATCTACATCCTGCAAAAAAGACACGGTTACTTGACGCCGAAGATGAGACACCTGCGCCGTGAATTTTTCTTCCTTGACCTGGGTTGCTGCGGACAAAGTCAAACTGATTAGAATCCAGTCAATGTTCAATACACATTTTCTTCTTCTTCTTCTTCTTCTTCTTCTTCTTCTTCTTCTTCTTCTTCTTCTTCTTCTTCTTCTATTACTACTAGTACTACTACTACTATTTCTAATTTGCGCCTTCACTGTTCCTCTGTTTGCCTCAGTTCTAATCAAAATGACTATAAAGCATCACAATGTTGGAATTGTCTCCATTAGCAACTCGGTCACATTGCGTTCTCGCCCCCCATCATAGAAGACGATCTTCTCGGCCACAGGTAAGACTAAAATTGCCTGGGTGGAGAGGAGGGAAGGGGAAATAAAGAAGAGAGGCTGAAGATGGGAAGAAGCAAAGGGACTCTAGAAGATGAAAGTACGTGAATTGAGTGGAATTTTCCTCAGGACATCGCATAGCATGCTACGTAGTCCTTCAAAAGCTGTGCAGAGGAATCAGAGCGCCAGAGGCGAGGCGGAAAGTTTCTGTGCGACAAAGTCGCCTAGAAGTACAAACCCCACCTGGCGCTCCATGCGCACACTCGTGAGCTCGGACCCTGACGTCCAAACCGTCGAGAAAGCTGCCAAACAGCAAGCGAGCCGGGCACCATTCTTTCAGAGGAGAGCCTTTTTTCTTATTTTTTTTTTATTTTTTCTTGTTTGAAGGTTAATAAAAGCAACAACGACAACAAACACAAGAGCTTCAAGAGCGCACACGCAAGAACCCCCTTCTCTCTCTCTCTCTTCCCCCCCACCTCCCTCTCACTCTCTGGTCTACGGCGCAAAAGATGGGAGACTCGCAATTCGACGCCGCGCTCGACATCCTCCGGCGGCTGAACCCGAAGCACACGGCCAAGAACCTCGACCAGATCGTGGCGATTGCGCCGGCGCTGTCGGAGGACCTGTACGAGAGCGTGGACGTGCCGCTGAGCACGAGGAAGTGCCGGAAGTCGGGCAAGGACTACCTCATCTGCGACTACAACAGGGACGGCGACTCGTACCGGAGCCCGTGGAGCAACGAGTTCGATCCGCCGCTGAGCGACGGCGTCGTGCCCAGCGACCGCGTGCGCAAGATGGAGATCAGGGCCAACGAGGGCTTCGATGTCTACCGGGAGCTGTACTACGAGGGCGGCGTGTCCAGCGTGTACTTCTGGGACGTCGACGACGGCTTTGCCGGCTGCGTCTTGCTCAAGAAAGGTCTGTCCTTTCCTTGCCGCCCCCCC